TAAAGCTTGAACGACGCCTTTAATTTTTGACAAATTTCATTAGCTCCAGAAAAGTTTTCTTCGGGGGGGCAGCTTTAAATAATCCTGGGGCGAATTTATTCTGTTAGTATGCGGACCTTACATGAAAAAATGATAGGAGCGGTTTTCACCTTATTTGAAATACCACTGTCGCAGACCGCTACAGACCGACCTTCGTACTCCCCGGGTCGGCCCAAGATACAAAGCACGACATTGGGGGCATAGTAGCATCACCAAAGTGCTTCTAGTTCACCTGGGTGGCGCCGGCCTATAATTGGTGTTCGGGTGAGACGATGGCTTCGGCACAAATCCTCTTTCTCAAATGACGGCTGTACCCTTCGAAGATAGCTCACACTTCGCTCCTTTTCGCAGTAACATCTGGCAGGTTGGAGTTCCCAGAAAGTCGGGCGTTAAACACCAACCAAGAGACGTGCATCTCTTTAGAAACGATTATCTTGCCCGCCGAATGGGGGGTTCACCCGGGGGAGCCTTGAATCCAAGTAATTTTTGTGCTGGCTGCGTTTTTAAACCCTATGTAGAAGCGATTTCCCCTTTCTCAGGTGCGGGGACACCCGGCGACATATACTCCCTCCTGCCAATCCAGGCTCTCGGCTTGATATTTCTTCATACTGGGGGGCCGATGAAGGTGAGTGTTTTGTTCAGTGGGGTGGCGAGACACAAACACAGGGGGCATAAGAGGCGGATGGGCTCCTCCTCAACACGGAGAGAAGGCGCCCCCCCACAGAGTATTTTCTCCCCAAATCCACGCCGCCCGGAAAAAGATTAATAATCCCCCCCCCGCAAAACACGGTTTTTTGGGGGGGGGGGGGGGGGGGGGGGTGACGTGTTTATTCATGTCTTTAAAGGACATGACTTTCTTTTGTTGTGCTGACATCCTAAGTTTAAAAAAAATGCTAAGCTAAAAAAGCTATGCTAAGCTTTGTTTTAGTTCTATTTACTTTACTCAACTTGTGTGGCATTATTCTGTGATTTCAGCATTGTTAATCAATAATATTCACAAAGGCTTCTGGTCCTCCCTCTGCTCTGCAGGTCAGAAAGTAAAATGTGGTCCCCGCTTTCGTCCGAGGAAGGGAGGACACATCCGTACAAGATGAATCTGGCATCCGAGCCAAAGGTGTGTGTGTGTGTGTTCTTATCTCTCTTTTAACAATGACCTCACCTCTCTTATTTAGCCGTGAGTGTGGACTCCTTCCAGGTAGCTGCACGTTCTGCACCCATAAAGCTTTGTGGGTTGGGTTTTTACATTTCTTTATTCATTCTTCCCGCTGCCAACGATGAAGTCATTGTTTACTACCCAACAGGAGGTTTCCTAGGAGACGGTAGTTTATCAGCCAAGTTCTGACGCAAGCTTCAGTTCCTTCCTGCTGACCGCGGCCAAAGTGTAGGAAACGGTGTCCCGGGCGCTGTGTGTGCGCGCTTCAGAGTGTCGTGCATTTTTCTCACACACACACACACACACACACACACACATATATATATGTCACGCTTTCCAACAGCTCTTCTGGATTTTCACTTTAACGTGTGGTCACTGTTTTATTACTTTAAGCCTTTGGCCGTGTACTTTGTAGGCCTTTTCCGTGCGAGTATTGCTACAGTGTTTATTTGCTCCCAGAGATGTGCAGGGTATTTCTGGGATTTAATTGTCGTACGCTTGAAGCATGAGCTATTTGCGTGCTCCCACTGATGCATGAGCTGGATTCGGTTGTATTTATGTGCCCACGTCTGTGGCATGCCAGGGCCATGATGTGCTGCAATTAAGTCCGAATCCACAGTCGTGCGTTCTGCTGCTAATTTGTGTGTGGCTTTGACTCAAAGTAGAAGCAAATGAGACGTTTTCACTTGAACAATATTTTCCTCTTTTATTCAATTAATGTTGATCACCAAAAGTTGGGTGTTTTCAGATAATGAGTGAGATTATAAACTGTTCTCACCAGCAGTTTTTAACATGTGCAAGTGCATACTTTAAAAAAAAAAATTTCAAACTCCAGTTCATCTGAAAGCGTCGTGACCACCATTGCGCCGAGGTTTCACAACACGTGTTGCATGTTTCAGACGGCGTCAAGTTATTTCACAAATCTCTTCCTTTCACTGCCTCCACGCCTGGCCACTCGCTAAAAGCCTTCCGGGTGCGATCTCTCTGCAGGAGGTGAGGCACATCGGCTCCACCCACAACCGCAGCGCGCTGCCGTTCGCCGGCTTCGGCTCCAAGGTGGTGACCAACCAGTACAACAGCCCCTCCGCGCTGTACTCCTCAGAGAACATCAAGGACTTCAACTCGGCCGTGGACGAAGTCCAGACCCTCGCTGCTGCCAACGAGCCCCACAGCAAGTAAAGTGACCCCGGATTCCAAGGGAGGGGGCAGTTAATGTAGCGACAGAGACTAAAGCTTTGAAATGCTTTTGAAATGCACGTATATCTATTGTATGTTTTGGTATCAACAGCTAAACGGTGCTTTCCCAGCTGTCTGGTCACATACGAGTGTGTGTGTGTGTGTGGATGAAGTGCGGTTCCTTGGCTGGGAATGTGTTCACATAACATCACCTTTACGTCAGAGAGCAGGTCAAGGTCTAACCACATGCTTTTAGCAACACGTTTATCTACCATGACACACCCATTTATTTTTAACTTGAAGCCACCTAGCTGTACCTACTGCTCGACATTAAGGACGCAGCTGTGTCAACGCCTAAAGGAGTAAAGTCTCCCTCTGTTTGATGGCCTTGTTGTGGAGCGTCGTGGGAAGCCCGTCCCTTTGCTCTGATTGGCCAGTTTAACATCTTTTTTCTTATCTGTTTGATAAGTTTAAACAAAGAGTTCCAATGTTTAATCTTAAAAGAATCGATGACTCTTTAAAAAAAAACGGTGCCAAAGTTCTTTGGATCAGTTTGCTCAGCAAGATGCAAGTAGGCCTTGTCCCCAAATGCTGAATGATTCATGTTACAAGTACCAGTAGTGTGGACGTGATGAGGTGTTTATAAAGGTGGTGCATTGTATCACGTACAACTAGGAATACGCGTGACAAATCACATTAAACTCTATCACAGAATTAAGAAACGAATAACGGCGAGAAAAGGTGTTTTTTGAGTGTTTCCTGGGAATGTGACATATTGTGACGAACCCACTTCCTTCGTAGAGCTCCGTCAGATCTTCCTCAGACGGGCAAGCGGCCGCCCGTCGCAGCCGACTCCGAGGTTTACAAGATGCTGCAGGAGAACCAGGAGTCCGTGGAGCCGCCGCGGCAGTCCGCTTCATTCAAAGTGCTGCAGGAGATCCTGGAGACGGGTACGGGGGTCCCGTTAGTCGCTCACAGCTCCCTCCGTTACAATGTGCCGCTTCAGGTCAGAGTAGAGGTGTCTGAAATGTGAAGTATGCTGAGATGTGTCTCTGTGCTCGTAGGTGACCCCGATAAGCCGTCAGGGTTCAGGAGTGTGAAACCGCCCGCCACAAAGATTGGATCATCGGTGGGGAACACGGAGAAGTTGCCCTCCTGTGACAAATGTGGTTCGGGGATCGTGTAAGTATTGTTTCCTGGGTCACATGTGTCATTTCGAGTCTAACAGTTCTGCTTCGTCAGAACAAAGTTTCCTGCCCTGATTCACTGATCACCCTCCACATCGGGGCCGAATGGTGCACCGCTAAGTGCTAAGTGCCAGAGAGTGTTTGTCGGAGTTTGTCTCCACCTTGTGGCTGACTTTAGTAAAGACCGAGGGCGACGCCTCTTTGCTGCTGCCACAAACTAACTATAGCGGTATATTTCCCCAAAATGTGTTTGCGTCTATGCATTTTTCACTTGGTTTGAACTGACTGCACTGTTATTGGTTTCATATCCCCAGAAAGCTTTGTGGTTCGTTGTGACCAATGTTTTTCAGCTAATTTCATGTCTATGTTTAGATCCACTTACTGACCGAGCGTCATTATGAGAGTAACTGAAAGAAATGCAATGAAATGCCTTTTTCTTTTACGATAAGATGTCCAGTAAGCGGGTAAAGGTGTGTAGTGCTGTTGAACACGTAGTGAGCCTTCAGTACCTCACGTACCATCAAAGAAACAATCCCCGTCATTTTCAATCCGCTCGCCATCCCGTGTCTGGATAAATGAAACCTGGTCTGTGTCTTTTCCTCTTCAGGGGGATGGTGGTGAAGCTGAGGGACAAGTTCCGTCACCCCGAGTGCTACACCTGTACGGACTGCAACGTCAACCTGAAACAGAAGGGACATTTCTTTGTGGAGGAGCAGATATATTGCGAGAAGCACGCACGCGAGCGAGTGACTCCGCCGGAGGGCTACGACGTGGTCACCGTCTACCCCAAGTAGAGCGCTCGCTGAGCGCCGCCTCTGACTGCACGCCGTTATAGGACGCCGTGACATAATCCAGGACATGCCGACGTCCAGGGCTCGCTAATCCTGAGACCCTTAAGTGGTCTTCTCTCGCATTCTGCTTCAGCACGGTCATTGGTAGACAGAACTTACAACTACAGCTTTGAAAATGTTAATTTGCACGGTGACTTTGGCATCTACAAAAGGAAAGTTGATTTGATACTATGAAATGATGGCATTCATTTAATCTCTCCCCAAATTTTTGTATTTTCTTCATCATTTTCCATTTGTCAGCCGATGTGTTCAAGTGGATATTTGTCTTTGCATGGTCAGTACGTTCTCTTGACTTGTGAAAACAAAGAAAAGCCACACCTTTTCACCCTGTGATACATGTTTTATTCATTAAATAGACTTACTTTATGCAGCAAAAAAAAAACATTTCAATATCATTTACCAAAATAAATATTTTTAGCTTGGTTTTGTCGTCCTCCATGATTGTGCTCCTCTTGGACTGATTGAACATCCTTTGTCAAAAAAGCAAGTGCAACGTGGTCATGAAATGTCCTTTTAAACTCTTCTCATCTCAGTCATTTTATTCACATTTCATTCTAAGTGCTCTTAAAAACTACCATGTACACTGGTCGATCCGGAAGCGCACCATTGCTTTAGGTCGGACCTCAAATAAGTGCAGCTGACCGACTCATAACTCCTCCTAAAAAGTTAAAAGCACCACGTGTTTTTCGGGTCCTCTTCCCCGCGGGCCGACTTGAGATAAAAGGTAACTGGGATGACACCGGACGGCTCTCTGGAAAACATCTTACTCATCTGACGCGCCAGCGTGTAACAGCCCGTCGGGTCACAGGCGGCGGATGGAGCGCGCGTGCACCCGGCGGGTGAGTCCGAGTCCCGCCCGGCAGCGGGGCCCCTGCTCGGGCTGCTCCGGTCGGATCCCTCCGGCCGCAGGTACTCCGGCGCGTGCTGCTCGGCCATGCGCAGCGTCTCGCTCAGCGCCCAGATGTAGTTGTGGGCGAAGCGCAGCGTCTCGATCTTTGTCATCTTGGCGTCCTGCGGCAGCGCCGGCAGCACCGTCCGCAGCGCCTCCAGGGCGGAGTTCAGGTTGTGCATCCTCGAGCGCTCACGGTCGTTGGCCTTCATTCTGCGCCTGCCCCGCTGCCGGGACTGCTCGCGCCTGCTCTTGGGTTCGAGGTCCGTCATCGAGGAGGTGTCCAGCGGCTTTCGTGGCACGTGTTCAGCGGCGTCGCCGGCCTCGTTCGCGCGGCTTCGACCGACAGGAGCGCACCCGCAGAGCGCCGCCGCATCGCCGGATGCGCGCAGGTGACTCGGAGCGCACGGTGCTTTGGGAGACATCCTGTACGATGGACAACAACATTGGAATCAAAAATCCGAAATTTAGCCACAAACATATAAAATAGCATTTAGCTGAATACTCGAGACACAGTGAACCATTTTTTTATATGGTTTTGAAAGCCTTTTAGACTTTTTAACTTTCTTTTTTTTTGATGCGCCTCATATTATGAAGGCTTTTCATTTCACTCTTAAACCAATGCCTGTGTTTTTTTTAAATCTCAGAGTTGTTTAATTCTTAACAAGCAACTGGACTTCAAGAAATATCTTTAAAAGTACAAATATTTCCAAATGGAAATGATTTTCTCTTACCTGACAGGTGATGCTTGGATACGGAGACAGCCAGTCGTCCTTGTAAATCCTCTCTTGGAGCTGGAGGCAGCAGACGCTGTATGTGCAGGTGACAGTGAGGGATGGATGCGCATCCCTGCTATTTTATATGGCCTTTATCTTATCTTTTTGCCCGGTGGACGCCTGAATCAACAGCGCCTGTCAAAGGGCCAATCAGCTTCAAGGCGGCGCGTCCTTCACCCTCTCCCCCTCTCGGCGGTCTTCATACTATATTTCTTTGTGTAATCTTTGTCGTTCGTGTGGTGCATTTTGCCATATGTATGTAAACCGGATGAAAGTAGCCAAATTATATCTTAAGAAGAAAACTACGTTTTCTTGTTTCCCCCCCAAAGTCTGCCTTTCCAAATCAGCTGAGCAATTGGGATCAGTGCAGGTCTTCAGATGCTGCTTCGAGAATCTGAAAGTCAAATGTTTACCGTTTCTTATATAATATTCCCACTTAGCAATAAGTGCTGAACGTCCGGGTAGAATTACACTGACACGGGTAAAGAAGTTCATGAATGTTGTTTTAAACTCTTCATCCACGTTCAAACTGGAAATGACTTGAAACACGAATTCATCTGGAACCTCTCCGTGCGCGTCACAATAGACACGTTGCAGTAGCAACGTCTCCGTGTTAGTAAAGAGACGCCAGGAAGGTAGAACCAACTCGACTGGCTCTCCAATCTTGCGCACAAAGGCTAAAAACAAAAATATTTTACACATCACTGTATTTCTCTCCAGAACGAATTATTTAACTACGACGTGAACGTTTGCATTTGTAAGTGTTAACACACCCAAATCACTAAGGATACTTCCGACATTTTACGCACTCTAAATATTGGCAATTATTGGAAATAATAACTTATTGTAAAATGTACGTCATAATAACACAGCAGCAAGTGACAGTGTATGTAACACACTGTAGGTAAAACGGAGGTAAAAACAACAGGAGCTCCACAGTTTATTCCAAATAAAATAGTTAGTAGTAAATATACGGTTGCGTATTTGTGGTTGTGCGCACATCACATGACCAGAGGTCCAAGAGCTTTAAGCGGCTCGTAAGTTGGTCCTTGCTTGAAAATATATTTTAAGGAGTCACTTATCTCCGTGTTTGATCAGAGAATATTATCAAAATTGAAAGAACTGACACATTAATGGAATATATATTTGGAGAGAATCAAATATTTAGAGCGCAAAGCTCAGTTGGACATGGACAATTACGCATGGGACCACCTAACGTGGAGGACTCGAGAGGGAGAAATCTTTTGTGTGAACTGATAGGACAAAGGGTCCTGTCTTGTGTAACAACAATAAAAGCCTAATTTCTTCCGTAGTATGAGCCTACGTGTGTGCGCTATGACATCTCCAAAAACATCTCCATTATCGCCACAGCTCGGTGGCGCATTAGATTAACTCTACTTTTGGAGAATTAAAGAAAAGTAAAACATGTCAAAAGCACGCAGACACGTTTCAGCCCTGGTGGGGGAGGAGGAGAGCAGAGAGGGGGAGTGTGGCAGAGCTCAACCAGGATTTACAATTGCTAACAAAGGGATAAAAAAAGCTCTCCTTAACTTTCTGTCTAAATATGTATTTTGGACACAATCTGATAACCATATGCTTTCAATAAACTGGACAAATACACCGAGGTGATATGAGATGGTGCCTTGCTGTTATAAAAGGCACGAAAGTCTAAAGTAAACTGAATAATACCACTTTACAAATATCCATTGATGCCAAATCCATTTTCGGATACCATGGACAGGTGTGGGGTTTGAAGTTGTCAGTCTCTCTTTTTATCAGTGTGCCGTATAGTGTCCTGCTTGTTATGCAAAGTGAAGGCAAACATAGGCGCCCAGTTGCTGTGGAAATAGCAGATATCGGAGTAGACTTGGTACGAAAACTGATTTAACAATATTTAACAATAAACTGAGCAAGCTCCGGAGCAGGTGATACCTGCCCGATGCTCCTGATTAATAGTTCCTCAACTGCTTCACTTTACAGTCTCTTTTCATTATTTATTAAACGAAATCTATTTATTATTATTTTAGCAAACAGAGGTACCAGGTGGGGCTTTATTTTCGTCTTCAGCTTTTTGTTTGAAGGACGTTTTGAGGGGGGCAATCAAAGTCCAACAACTCGCTGACCAGATTGTTGTCATCGCGAACCAGCAGCGAAGCCTTTCAATGAGCCCCCCCTTCGTCTTCTTTTTTCCTGGCAAAGAGCTGCCGGGTGGGAAAAAAGAAGAAGGAAACTTCTTCAAGATAGAAAAAACATCTTAAAAACATTTAATTGCAACCCGGATGCCATATGTACACCTCTTGTGAACCCCCTCAACAATGTGACTGCCTTTTAGAAAGTATGGAGTGCGTCTTTGGAGACGTGTGCGCTTTTGGAGAGGTGCGCGCATCGTGACCAGAATGACCCCGAACGCACTTTACACAAGAAGTAATTCACTTTTAATGTGCTTTGGAGTTCCCTTTCACGGGAAAAGCATTGTACCTCTTACCTCAGCTTTAGAAGACAGTGTACACCAATTACAGCGGAATAGCTGTCCTATGGACACAGTTTGTCTTTTAGAAAAGACGTGAAGCAGGCTGCGGCAGCAAGTCGCCCTCCTTTCACCTCTTAAACTATGCAGAAGGTTTTTTCTTTCTTCTGATAGCTTGCTGTTGTTTTCTAGCGCGTCTTCGTGGACAAAAAGAACAAAGAGGCATTTTCTGCAAATGGATGAAATCCCCACAATACATGTTACCTTAAAATTCATTTTGTTTCTATGAACAATAGTCAATTTAGTATTTGATTAAGATTATATTTTTTTCTTAAGTAATTTATTGCTGTTTATAATACCGAGATCTTAATTCAGCGGATTTTAATTTCAAATTTTGGAATATTTCTTTATCACAACATAAATATTGATTGATTGAAAAGATTGAATTTCTCAAGCAGCTGCTCTCAAGGTTGATACAACAATTGTACCCGTAATACCAGTAATTATAATCTGATTTTATGTATATATCTTGAGAAAATTATAACATACCTCAAAATAAAGTATTTCATTTGTTACTTTTTGGTACATTTTTGGTCCAAGATGGAACCCGGCCATCTCAAACCTTAAGGGACAATAATCATCATCAGCAGCACCACAGGAGCGTAATAACTTGGAATCAAACATGTTGGTCCATGAGTTTTACATCAAGAATCATTGTTGGAGTAATACACGAATACCTTTTTTATGCTCTATATGCTTTCACTTCATCAGTCTATCTCATGCGTTAAAATACAAATAATAAGCAGTTGCCTCTAAATGACGGAACGTATCTGAACTAGTGGAGAGGTTTGTTTGTGCTGCATCGTGTGTCCTCGTGTTATAGCTCTTGGGTGTTGTTGCAGTGGCAGAACTCGGCAGCCTGGAGGCTGTTTTCACTCCTAAAGAGAAAAAACCGCTTCGTGTCATTATAAAAGAGAGACCAAACGATGCCTTCACGTAATGTCGTAAGCATGGAAACTGCACGTAAAATAAAGGGGAACGGCCCAACATAGTTGTACACATTGGTATTCCACATTTAGTAAGTTTTGAAAATGCAGAGCTTCGAAAATACATGGCTGTCGGTTCATCTCTTTGAAACACGGCTTGATTGAATGAATACATGTTATTTTAACGTCCACCATCGCACTGCAAGTGAATATTCTGGTTCCAGTAATGTTAATTTGAGGCTAATAAATAACTGTAGAATTAACACAGTTAACCAGAGTGGTCCAGTATTATAAACTATAGACAAAGTGTTATTTTAAGGGTTGAGCTAAATGATCTACTTTCTAACCTACGACCGGTTGGATAATGTGAAGGGAACAAACATGGTGAAGATGGAAATAGGTGCCTTTTTGTAAGCTCGTGAGAAGTTGATGTAACCCAACCGTTACAATAAAATTAAATAATACCATGTACAAAAAATGGAAATAAAATGGTAACGAATGATTCCCTCCCCGGTGGAATTATTCTTTACCCTACGTAAGTATTAAATGCACCGACATGACTGAGACGTGATGCAGTTGGAGTTTACGGGGAGCATTTGAACGCAGCTGCTCTTCGCTGTCACAGTCCGCTGTGGGAGTCAAATCGTGCGACGCGGCTGCGTCCTCGCAAGTAGTAGATCTACAAATGCACGCGCACGCTGAACACGTGATCGGACCCGTCCGCAGCGCAGTCACTTCTACGGCCGCTGGACCGCGCGCAGCCTCTCGGGCCGCGGTTACTTCCTGAATCAGGGTTAGCTTCGCTGCTGTCTCTGCTGGTAGCATGTAGATGAGAGCCGAGGACTCGAAGCAGGCTACCGGAGGGGACTTTCCTAAGTGGCGGACACAAAAAGAGGACTCTCGGTGACGACATGGATGTGCGGGTAGGGGTCGCTTCACTTTTTATTTGTTATTTATTTCCAAATGGCATACAGTTTGATCCTCGGACGGTGGCAGTGCAGCTACTCAGACGAGGAGGAGGAGGAGGAGAAGAAGGAGAAGGAGAAGACTTGTTTATCTCTGTGAAGTGAGCGAACGCTCCCAATGAGCCGACTTGTTTTGCTCACCGAGATGTCCCAAGTCCACAGGCTGCGTGTGAGACAGTGGCCCCTCGAGCCAAAGCCTTTCGCTACAGATTTATGGCTGTTTGTGAAGACTCCTTTCGCCGATATTGATTCTCTTCACACAAGTTGACCCCCGGTGTGTTTTCCGACTCTTATACAAGACCCTGAAGTACAATGCAACCAAATGACGTCACGTCAGTGCCTCTTTTAAGCTGGACCATTACTTTTGTTTAGTTGAAGATCACATGTCTTTTTAAGATTTACAGCTCTTCTTCCTCATGTCAGAAGCAGAAGTGACTGTTTAACAATAGGAATCCTGTTGAAGAAGCATCTGCAGGACGCTTAAACAAAGCATCACTGCAGAGACCTGTAAACATGTGTGCGGTTTTCCTTAAAGCAGCACAATGCAGTCCTGTTGTGAGCAGCCATGAGGCACAGAGGACTCCTCGCTGGGGACATCTGGTGTCCCACAAAGCTGCTGTTAGTGCAAACTGAACCACCTGTCACTGACTCACACCTGATCAGATCAAGCAACGGAAAGAAGTCCCCTAAAAAACTTTGGTCCTTGTGTTTTTCTTCCTAAAGTGTCCAATGTCACGTTCAGCTCTGCATCCAGTTAAAGGAAAATACCACCGCTGTAATTACCCCCCCCCAGCGATTTCTGGATGTGTGTTTGACTAAAAGCCGTTGTGATGTTTCCCCCTTGATGTATCCAGGAGCAGTCACCTCACACCCAGTACATTTCCATGAGAACATGACCTCCCCACCGAGACAACAAAAGCTCTCCTTACAGAATGCTGCGCCAGGGCCAGCAAAGGAATGGGCGTCCTCCGCTCAACAATGAGTCCGACAGCACTTGTGCAACGGGGTCTTTGTGTGACCCGAGTCGATTTCCCTGAGGCCTAGAATGAAATTGAATGGTCTGGAAAAGTGTGGGTGGACCTGAGAGCGAAGCACGGGCCCGGCCCGTGTTGGATAACAGCGAGAGGCCTGCGTGTTCACAGCGGGAGGGACCCGCCTTTCAGCGCTGATGTTAGATAACGCTGTCTTTTATCTTGTCTTTACGGCGGATGCGTGATCGCCAGCACACGCAGCAGCCCACTCAGGCATGATCCTGATCATGACACCCCCTCCCCCCCAAGTACTCCCTGTCTGGTTCCACGCAGCCGATCTGCCCTAACCTGTATGAGTGGATTTCATCCCAACAAGCAGGTGTGACCGCTGTGGCTCGGGGTTTGGTGGGCGGATCCCCGACTCGCTGACAGCCCTCCATTCAAGCTCCGCTCACTTAAAAAAGTGCCCCGTTAAACTCCCCTTTGTACAGTCCCCCCCCCCACCCCCCCCTGGGAGCAGATAATGCTCGGGATTCAAACAATGAGCTCAGTGTGTCATAAGCTTGAGGAAAGTGGCCTCAGCGTGCTATTACAGCATGTTTGTATCCGACTCCGATTGCGCAACGTGTTGTCTGTTGAACCTTAAGCTTTCCTGCATCTGGTGCCGTGTTGGAGAAACACGGGTCCACGTTATCAAAGTGCCTGCTATTGTGCCATAAAAACAAACCCTATCATTATGGGGAGATAGTTGTGCTGCACTTATGGAATCTCTTTCACGGGTCACTTTAGTGTTACAGCTGTGATTTCAGACTCGGTTTGATCTTCTCAGGCTGCGACAAATCCCCTCTTGGATCGACGACAGATATCGCAGCGTTTATTGACAGTCCGGCTCGGGGATAATTATACAACGGATCCGCTGGTTCCGTCCGTGTGGAGGCAGACCTCCTGCCGTGTCTCGTGGTGGTTGATTACCAAACCTCTGCTGGTTGGAAGTGTTGTTTGTGGCTCTGGTTGCTGGGAGGAGTCTGCTGATCGTTCAGCAGGCGGCCGAGCGCGTTCTCTCGCTCTCGCCTGGAGAACAAAGGGACGCTGGCAGTGTGGGTGTGAGGGGGCATCTGGACTCTGTGGATCTGACAATGACTTCCGATGTGAGTACTGACATCTGGACCTCTGGTGTCCTGGAACTCTTTAACTTGGAAAACAAGTTGCTCGCCTTTTTTTAAAAACCTTTTCTTAAAAGTGAGTTGCGGGAGTGTTTTTTTGCGTCACTGTACTTCAGGGCATTAATAAACCGTGCCTGTCAGGCTGACCGTGATAATTGCAAATGAATATTTAAGTGTGAGGTGTGAGGTTCTGGTGTCTGTGTGTCCAGAGTGCCTTGGAGGTGTACAAGGAGATGGCCCTGCTGTACCTGGAGGAGGGCCGGCGGCAGGTCAACGCGCGCTGCGGGGACATGGAGCCGTGGCAGATCATCGGAGCGACGGTCATCACCACGCTGGGAGCGCTGTGGGTCAAAGGCTTCGTCTTCCAGAAAGAAAGTAAGCGATCACGATCGTGATGCGTGGCTGGATTAAATCCAACATAAAGCACTTGAAAACGTTTCTGGGGCAAAGATAGCCATTTATAATCTGAATGTTTAATCCTGAGTGGTATCTCAAAATAAGCTCTGCGCAAATACAGAACGTCTTTGTAATGTTTTCCCGTCTTCCATACTGGTTCCTCCCTTATGTTTGTGCGAGTAAATACCATCAATCAACAAGACTTTCTAGATCTGCTATCCATCAACCAATCAGCGGTTAAATTCCTCAGTGACAAGCCCAGCTCGTCCTCGGGGAGGGAGTCGCTCTGAGTGAGGCGCGTTCAGGCTGCTCTCAACGTGGCTTCTCACGGAGCGCCTCGGCGTGCGGCGGGGAGGGGGGGGGGTCACAGTCAGCTGTTCGGCGTCCGCGGCTGAGCGTGCGCCGGCCTCTCACCGCAGCTGCTGCCTCGCGTTTGTTTCATTTCCCTCCTTTCCGCCGGCAGGTCTCCCGTCCAGAATCAAGAAGCTGTGCTTCCGTCTCATCAGAAAAATCCCCTTTGTTGGCGCAAACGTAAGTATCAGTGGTGAGCGGCTTCCTTCTTTTCCCAGCAGATGTGCACGGACTCTGGCGTTTGAGGCGCTTCGTGAGTCACTCTTGGATGACTGAGCCCGCCGGGGGGAGAGAGGGGGGGGGGTCAGACCTTTAGCACACTTAACATGGTGCTTCGGTGATAACATGTGGTTCCTTCGGGGTCATTACGTCACTGTCAGGCTTTATCAAAAAGAGGCTGAGGCCGAGACGCGGTGACGGACTTCCCTTCGCGTAAGAACTAACGCCTCTCCGCTGGTTCCAACAGATCCAGAGCCAGCTCAACAAGGCTTTGGACGACATGTCTGCCAGTCTGTGCACGCTGAAGGAGGGGATGAGCTACACCAAACAGCTGCCCTCCAAAGGCCTCTCACAGAGCCAAGTGCTGGACAAGATCCGCGAGTACGAGACTCTGAGTAAGACCTCATTCATCACCCGCGTGCCGTCTTTGATGCTGATGAGAAAGAGGGTGGGCTTTGTTTAGCTGTTGCATAGAAACAAATGTCTCGTGTGGCTGCAGATGAGGTGCAGTGGGAGAACGGCTGCGTTTCGGGGGCCGTGTACTGGGGCGACGAATCTCTGACCAATCTGCTGGTGAAGGTATGCATCTTTGTATCCTACGTCTCTCTGGCAAACGTCGTTGTTTTTGTTCTTTTTTTTTTTTTTTGTGACCAACAACAACCGTTCTGGCCTTCTTTTGATCCAAGGTTTACGGAGACTTTGCGTGGAGCAATCCCCTCCACCCTGACATCTTTCCTGGCGTGAGAAAGATGGAGGCGGAGGTTGTCCGAATGGCGTGCACGCTCTTCCACGGAGGACCCACCTCCTGTGGCACAGTGAGTTCTGATCGTGAGGATCACAGATTGCTCGTTTAAGTGAAGGGCGGACGGTCCGCAGCATTTCTCCAGCTCGCCTCCTTGTTGTCCAGGTTACTTCGGGAGGAACTGAGAGCATCCTGATGGCCTGCAAGGCGTACCGAGACATGGCGTATGAACGTGGTGTGACGTACCCTGAAATGTAAGACGAGCTTTATTACATTTGACTTTTCTGTCTTTCCAAAGAGTCATTTTGTCTTATTGTAACACTTAATCAGGATCCTTCCTGGGCAGTTTAAGGCTTTGAGTTATTGACCTATTTACATGATAACAACAGATTCACTCCAGCAGTTTGTTTCATATTTTCTATAAAAGGCTTTTATCTCTCGGTAAAATGTTTTTCTTTTTGTTTCTCAACCAAAATGTGACGTTCTCTGGAGGTATAGAATTATTCATTTGTGAATTTGTGGTGCAGCCCTCTGCTTTTGTCAGCCTTCGTCGTCATGACGACATTAAATACAAGTTCTAACGTTAACATTTCCCTCCTCCTTTGTGCAGTCTGGCACCCGTGAGCGTCCACGCGGCCTTCGACAAAGCAGCGCATTACTTTGGCATGAAGCTCGTCCACGTTGCCCTCGACAAGAACACCATGCAAGTGGACGTGACGGTGAGGACACGGTGGACACGGCGCGTGCGCCGATCGACGTCTCCTCTTGGACTTTTCGTCTAATCGTATCTTTTCCTCCTGCTCCAAGGCGATGAAGAGAGCCATCAACAAGAACACCGCCATGCTGGTGTGCTCGACGCCTCAGTTTCCTCATGGAATCATGGATCCCGTCGAGGAAGTGGCAAAGGTCAGGAGCGAAGCGCTTCATCCCCCGGGAAAAAGGCCGCGGCGCGACACGGCGGAAGTTGAAACGTCTTGACGCTTTCTCCCGGTGTGTTGCAGCTGGCTGTGCGCTACAACATCCCGATGCACGTGGACGCCTGTCTGGGAGGTTTCCTCATTGTCTTCATGGCCAAGGCCGGATTCCCACTCGCCCCGTTTGACTTCAGGGTCAAAGGTGTTACCAGCATCTCTGCCGACACCCACAAGGTAAGGAGCGGTTTCCCACTCTCATTTTGTTGATCTCCAAGCTGAAAGGATACAAATGAGGGCGTTTAAAGACCCACCGCTGTGTGCTTCTCTCCAGTACGGCTACGCCCCCAAAGGTTCCTCAGTGATCCTCTACAGTGACACAAAGTACCGTCACTACCAGTACTTCGTAGCTCCGGACTGGCAGGGGGGAATCTACGCCTCGCCCTCTGTTGCAGGCTCCAGGCCGGGCGGAATCATCGCCGCCTGCTGGGCGACCATGATGCACATGGGGGAGGACGGATACGTGAATGCCACCAAGAAGATCGTCAGCACGACACGCAAAATCCAAAAAGAGTGAGACACCTAATGGCCACCTACAAGGAACTCTGATTTCACACACACACACACACAATATTTACATATTTCTTTTCTTTCCCTTTTCGGCAGAATCAGCAAGATAAAGGGTGTGTTTGTTTTTGGGGAGCCGAAGGTGTCCGTAGTGGCAATAGGCTCAAATGATTTTGATATTTTCCGTCTGTCTAATGCGCTGACATCAAAGGGCTGGAACCTGAACACACTGCAGTACCCGTCCAGGTACGTGGATTAAAAAAAAACTAATACTCTGCCCTTATCATTGATCTCAGGGTTACCATTGATAGTCAGTGTAATGTTGATAATGTGATGTCCTCTTTCACAGCATCCACATCTGCTGCACAGTTCTGCACACGCAGTCGGGCGTCGCTGATCGGTTCATCCGTGATGTCAAAGAGCAGGTGGCCATCATCATGAAGAACCCCAAAGAGAAAACCACAGGGATGGTGAGACGCGCGCACACACACACACACACACACACACCCACTTTGCATTCATTATATAACTTAAAACAAGGGCTAGGTACAAAAGGTACAATCATCATAAACATCCATGTACGCACATTCGATTTAGTTTGTATTCAACCTTAGAATTGGTCATGCAGCCAAAGTGAGATGTGGCACAATTTCCATTTATCGCGCTCACGGCGAAGCACCTGAAGCGCGTTCACCGTTCTGTTGTCTACCGCCGTTGGTACACGTGGCATTTTGTTTTTTCTGCACCGACCGGTGATTCACCTTGACACGAGCTGCTCGTGTGTCTGCTTTAAGCGGAGCGGAAACTCCACCCAGCAGGCAGCTTTGTTGGGAAGGTTGGGTGGGAACACGCCCAACCTGACGGGCCGAATCCTGCTTAATACAGAGAGACTGAGTTTACAGCAATGCAAATGCCCTTTCACTTTCTACATTACTGCAGCTCAGAATGTCCCATTGACATTTGGGAGGGGCAGAACTGTGTGTCTGTCTTGTCTAATGGGGGGGGGGGGGGCTGCAGCGTCAAATGGCTTTCCCCCCGGAGGATGTGTTCAGCTCAGACAAACCGTCGTGTTAAAAGGAATGCTGAGCGGCGTGGCGCGTTTATTACAGAAGTAAAACATCAGAACATTTCCTTTGAGTGCCGTGCGCTTGTCGACTCATCCCCCCCCCCCTCGTGTTTCAGGGGGCGATCTACGGCATGGCCCAGTCCATCCCAGATAGATCCATGGTGACGGAGATCTCCCGAGGTTTCCTGGACTGTCTCTACAGCACCGAGGTGGCCAAGTCCAACACCAGCCACATGAACGGCAACGGCAAAGCCCACTGAAGCAGGATGGGGCCCCCCCGGCCCCCCTGCTCGCCTCCTCCAGGAGCCCCCGAGCCAGTGGCTCAAAGGTGGCCTTATCTTGCATACGTACACCATACTGAGAAGACCCTTTGAAGCACAAGCCATTCTCATTTAAAATCCTGTGTAACATTGTGCCTGAGTGGCACAAGAAACAACTAGTTCCAAACGAGGTTTAGTCATTTAATTTTATTAATGTGGTGGATTTTGTGGTTTTATTTGTTTTTAAAAAGTTCATTTCAATTTTGTCTGTCATAATCTCAACCCACTTACACAGCAAAAAACCCATTCCTTTTTTTAAATTTCTTTTTTACTGCCGGAACATTTCAGCTTGTTTTTTTACCATCTGTCATGACTCAGCAAAAAAAACAGACCACTGAAAGCTTGTTAGTAAAGCTATGCTGCCCTCTGGCATGAAAGCAGAGTTACTGCTTAATGCGTGTGTGGAGGAGGCCTGACGGAGCTGAACGGTATCATCCTCATCCCCATCTTGCCATAGTTTTTTTTTTTTGTTGTTTTTTTACTTAAAAGCAATGCAGTCCGGTTAATCTGTGAATCCCCGCTCTTGTTCTAGTAGGCGTTTGTCTGGAAGCATTTGTTAGCACTTAGTGTGATGATGAAACATTGTGGACAGAGGGAGAGATTTTGATAGTGGGAGATTTTAATGTCATCGATATTCAATAAAATGTACTAAATTCAAATAACAGCCCATGAATATTTAGAAAGTGGTTTGTAAATCCAAAGCTTTTTAGCCGCTTTGCTTAAATGTCATATTTTTCAGATTTGGTGCTTTAAGCAATTTAACCTCCCGTCTCTATCTGGACTGAAGGCTGTTTCCAAGTCTTCTCTACTACATTTGATCAAGAAGCAGAAATACAGTATTTCCTTCATAGACACTCGTCTACCACTTAAAAAGGAATCCATTGTCTCCTAATACGATCTACCTCGGTTTCTTCTCAATGCATACGTAATTTATTCCTCCGACGAAACACATTCTGCCCCCATTTCTATCATGATGAGCTTCCCAATATGACGGCATTTAACAAGTGTTCTTAGATACCGATACTGAATGGAGGCTTTATATCCACAGACTGACCAATGTGAGTCCCATGTTGGGAGAAAGTCCGCGCTGCCTGAGTGGGGCTTTATTTTGGTAAATGTCCATTCAGCAGGATATTTACACGCTCCGTAACAGGTTGAAGCTTAACGGTGCTTCTATAACACCAAAATGACCTTGTCTAGATCTTTCTTGTGCTTTCCTAATATTGCTTGTTGTAATAGTGCATTTCCATTAGAATAATTCCATGTTTGTGCAATATATAAATATATAACTTTTCCTTTTGAAGTGAAACCGCGGGGATTGCTCTATGAATGTTTAAGAGAAGTCGCATCGTATTTTATGATCGCTTATTGGCCTCGTTATTGTAATTTAACCATTTGTGTGACCACTGGGTGTTTTTCGATCGCTTCATTTAAAAGTGTTTGTTTTCAGCTTTTGTGTTTACATGCTAACGTTTTTAAAGAGATTAAACATGAATGTATCAAGGGACTTCAGTCAGCACCTTAAAGGACTGACAGACGTAAGATTCCCATTAGTGATTGAAGCTTCTACATCACATGTCCATCATTTAATACTGTGCCCAGTGACCGGGTGTGGAACCCTCACCCATGCAACAAAAAAAGAAGCCTGTTTCAACCATCACTCCTGTGGTTTGCTTTGGAGAAATACCTTGTGACAATTGAACGGTTAAGAAATCTCTTTTGGATAAAAGCGTTAAAAGCGTCACTACGAACTGTAACGGAGGGAGTGGAAATGGTGACATGATGTAGCAATAATGAGGGTTCACCTCTGTGCCTTCAGAGGTCCGAGCGGGTGACGTCATCGCACATTTTCTCCCCTGACATCCTCAGGGATGTGGCTTTGCAGCTGCATCATTAAGCTCCGCTGGTCTTTCAAACATGCACATAGTGGACCACGTAACCCTAATGCAGACAAAAGGAGCCTTGCATCGCTCTTTGAATGTATCATTCTGCTATTGTCAGAAGCCTTGAAAAACATGAATCTGTTTTTCAGAGTCCCATATATGTTTGACTTCTGTCCACCGCTGAACACAAGTTCACCCTGTGAGTCCTGAATGTACAACGTTTAAAGAATTGTCCTCGTGTCGGAGTACCTGCCGGTTTCCCTGTGGCCATTAACGCTGACCACAGCAGATGTCTGTCATGTTTTCAATAAAATGCATTCAGTCTGGTAACATTTATTTGTTTTTGTTTTTTTTAGTTATGACAAGGAGATTGAGTTTGGTACCAAAACATGACACATAAAATGTTTGCTTATGACTTACTTGAAGTGTAAACATTATTTTACCGTTGGTTCATCTATTCATCACGCTAAAACAAACACCATATCTTTAATACACACATTGGACCCTTTGCAGTACTGAGAGGAACATTAAGGCATCTTTGGATTGGCAGGTCACATATTCCTCAGACGAATGAATGGCGAGGAGCTGATGAACAGTTGCTCACATCAGGGATGCCTGGTCAATGAAGGTGGCCAAAGTGATGTCCCGCTGGGACAGTCCCCCACAGTCATGTGTGCTCAGGGTGATCTGGACCTGAGGTGGGGGGGGGGACAAAGGACATGTGCAATATTAACAGGAATGTTTGTTTTTGTTTGAAGTTGTTTTTTTCTAATGTTCTGCAAATTGTTAAAATCTGAATCTACAACTTTACCACTGGCATTTCAGGTAAATGACATTACAATGACAAAAAAAACTTTTTGGGGAATTTAGAAGTGAAATGGGGTCTTAAGGTTAAGGATCATATCTAAACAACAATGTTCAATCGAGCTGTTTGGGCCCTTTTTAGTTGGATAACCCCACCTGAGTGCGTGATGCACCGGTGAGTCCACAGGACACGAGCACGCGCAGTTGAGCGAGTGTGAAATTGTTTGTATTTTCGGTTCTATCCACTCAGACATGTTCTCAACGGGCACTGCTCATGTAGAACAAACCTCAGTTAGCATCCACTTGGTGTTGGGTTTGAATGACTGAGGCCCAACCTGCATCTCCACACTAAGCCCTGAACCCTCCCTGGTGAGTGGTTGATTGTGGGGGCTTTAAATGGTGCAAATATTAAGGAGAGAGTTGCCACATATCACGTCACCATGACAACGTCAAAAAAATGATATTACAACTGAGGGTATTTATTTCATACATATTACTCTCTGATTGGAATGTTTTTCAGGCTCTTTCCTCATAAAATTATTTTAAATGTTTTTTGTCAAAATGTATGAATTTATGAACAAAATAAATATGGTCTTGGTGAAATTAATGATTTTTTTTTTTCTTTATCTTTAATTCTCAACGTTTTAAATGTATACATGTTATTATGACAGTCTGAACACACGTGTGTCGTCCTGGGTTCTTATTATCCCGTTTTAAACACCACATTGCAATGACTTGTGGGTAATTCCCTTGGGCTAATTCAGCCGTCATTGCTGACTTATGGACAGGGTTCATAAAATGCTCACAACGTCGGCCTGAGAGCCTCAAATACTCAACAATTGGGACAAATCTAAACTCTCCTGGAGTCTGCGTGAGGTCTCTGTGGTCAGAACAGTGCTTGTAAATGTGTTTATTTTTATTCTTTATAATTTTGCTTATGAATGTGAATAACATAAGTTAATATGATGAATGATGGTCACAATATTCCTTGAAAGTCGGTCAGGACCAAATCCAGCTGTGCTCTCACAGAACCATCTATGCATAAGTCATATGTTTACCTTGTTATAGACATTGAACCACTCAGGGTGGTGGTCCATCTTCTCTGCTTGCAAAGCCACTCTGGACATGAAACCAAAAGCCTGAAAGGTGAAGAAATCATGCGGTTGAACATATTAATAATATACAGTAGCTGCCAATTAATGAATTGATTCATCAGATACCTGATTGAAGTCTTTGAAAATAAACTCTTTGTAAATGGCGTCCCGTCCCACAACCTCCACCCACTGAGCGTTGCGTAGCAGGGGGAGAAGGTGGGTTCTCTCCTCCTCAGTCAGACTCTGAATTTTCCCAGCCTGCTACGGCAGAACAAACAGGAACAGCACAGCAGATGTGAGAGGGCAGCTTCACTAACACAGGCTGTGATTGGCTGCACAGGATCCCATCTGGAATCAATGAGAGGCTGCATTCCTGCTTTACAACACTGGTTCAAAGTATATTCTGGGGGTGGGAGGGGGAGAGGGGTGGGGGGTGGCGGTGGGCCTCCCTTTTGGTCACTCAGTTCCTAATTCTGACACATGATGCAGGGTCACATGGATAAGAGTTAGTTCTGCTGCTCGCATGCAGCCGTCGCGACCCCCGACTCCAAAATAAATGGCACGTTTCACAACATTCCTCAAATAGAGGAAGGGTCATTTTGGGGGCTTCGTCCCCATGTGAGCGGTCATGCCTACAAACCAGGGCAAACAGATGACACGATCAGAGAGCAATGACATCAACCGGTATCCTAGCAACAGTCTAATCTGCTCTGTCGGCAGAGGGAATTGGTTTCCACCTCTGATACTCATCAGATGTGGTTTAAGGCAGCGCGCGCGCACACACACACACACACACACACACACACACACACACACACAGGAACATGTTCTAAGTCATTCTTAACGCTGCAGAATCATAATAGCACATTATAAACTTTGTATCAAAGGTCTCTGCATCCTCAGTCTGCCATAAAACATTATCTACAGGGCTTTTAACCTGTGAGAGATTACATGGCAACAAGTGTGTAGGTTGCGTGTGTGAGCAGCTCTGTGTGGCAGACTGAACAGACACACACACACACACACACACACACTCCGTGGGGAAGTTGTGTACTCACCATGTTTTCCTGCACACAGGAGGTTCGCCTCCAGCTCCCTGTAGCACAGATCTGTTCTGGCAGCCAGTGAGAGCGGCTGGAAAACAAACCATTCAGCCACACAAGCTGTGGGTCCTGATTAGCCGCCCCTGCAGGAGCCTGAGCAGAAATCCTCACTGCTGATAGGCCTCTCGGCAACATGTCAGCCCGGGCTTAATCATAAACTCTCATCTGTTGCACAAGGCGTGCGTCAGGCTGGTATTTGTAGTGGGATTCTGCACAGATGTGTACACTGTGTGACGAAAGCCACTGTCAGTCATTCGCACTTTTAGATGTTGTATTGTGTGTGTGTATATGCACACGTACTGAAACATGGACTTCATTGTCCAGAGTCTCTGTTTAACAGGACAGCAGGTTTGGAAGCGAGCGCCGCTCTTCTGGGAGTCCATGTCAAAGGTTAATGAGCTGCTGCTGGGAGACTGGCCCCGTGAACTCATCTGTCACAGCCAGCGCTCAGGGAAATGAGCTGGTTAATGAAATGAGGAGACGGAGAGGATGTGACAAGTGATCAACATTTAACAGTTGGCCGGCTGGGGAAATGAGAATGCTGCTGCCAATGGTTTGGATCGTGTTCGGAAATAACAAGCTAATCACTTTGACTTCCACATAAGCTTTTTAAACTGGTGAAGTATCTGTCTTTAACAATTCTCACTTTATTCATCTGTTCAACAAAATTGCAGACTAATATCACCCCAAACATTATTCCAAACATGTAAACAAGTTTGATGGATCCACCAAACAGGCGTGCACGCCGCACTTCGACCCTTTTTATGTTGGTCTGGGTGTTATAAAGACAATCGATTGAGGTGGCACTTTTCAAATAGCAACATGGAGTCCAGCAGAACACTTCAAGCAAGTCTAACTGTGTTAATCCTTGTAACCAGCAGCTACGGAGGACGCCTACAACCAGGTGAGTCTTTGAGGAGTCAAAAGTATCCCTTGACATTTGACGCATGATTCTACCAACATAGCTAAGTTTGCTGTTTTTTTGCCTTATCTGGCGTCTGAGAACTCAGTCGATAGTATTTGGTAACGTGGATCATAAATGAGTGCTGTTCTGAATCTTTGCAGAGCCCAATCTGAGATTGAACCAGGCTCTGTTAACGTTCCATAACCAGCTGACCGAAGAAGTGCAGGTCTCCTACACGTCAGATTACTGCTACAAGGTAGAGGACATGTGCTGTCTGTCTCGCCCCCCCATCGGTCTGGTTGTCCAGGTGGACCATGACATCAGCAAGTTTTCCTTTTGTTAATGTGAGGGGTTCATGTTTGACCTCCATGTTTCTCGCCCAAATCAAGAAGCCCTCCAATGATTTGGCAAACACTCAAATTCAGATTAGATCCTGATTATACATTTCCCATAATGCCTCTCTATGACTTGACTAGGCTTCTGTTGTCAAGTAATTACTCAAATCCTGTGTTGCATCTCACTCCATGTGTGTCGGGGCAAATAAACAATCGAATCCTTAATAACTTTAAATCATCATAAACCCTTTGGCTGTGTCTTGGGACTCTTCTGAGTGTACAGCACATTAAGTCAGTGTTTCACCTGTTGTTCTTCTCAGTGCTTGTTCCTGCATCTGGTCACGGTGACACACAGCAACAATGCATCTGCTGTGCTCAGCACAAAATTCGCCCTGACTCTGGAGGTGAAATCACACACCACGAATGCAACTCTTTGCAGGTAAGTATTAACTTTCTAACCGAACACCAATAACAAACACATCAAACCACCCACAATCCTCAGCGGTAAAAATGCTGATTAGTTCCCTGTTTACTCATCTTAACTAGCCGTGGGAGTGTATTGCTCTTGTTTCCGGCCTGATATACGCAGCGTGGTGGCATCCGATCATCGCATCAGCAGTCTGTGGGATTATTTACAGGGCTGGGGGAGTAATCCTGACCTGAGTGATGCCCTCCCTTTAAACTACCTCCCTGGATATTGATCAGGAGCCTTTTTGGGGTTAATAAGACCTGACATTACAATATTGATGAAAAGGGCTCATTAAAGCTTCAGAGCAGCTTGTCCTGTGGAAGCCTCAGCGGGGATGTCAACTGGAGGAGACAGGCGGCATATTTAAGAACAATTAGGACTGACAGGACACCGGGGCAGAGTTTCCCATCTGGGGGTCACCTGTAAACATGGGGCCAGAGATTCGGTAACATGACAAGCCTGTGGTACTTTTTCGTACCCTCTCAGAGGTCTGGCTGTGAGCTGCGTAGATCAATGTCCAGGTCTCTAACACGACTGTGCTGCTATTGATTCCCTTCCCCTTTAAAAAAAACAAACACTCCAAGTGACAGCTAGTATGTCATCCCCAGTGGATCAATACGAGTCTGTAATGCATGTTTTTGGGGCCTGACGGGAGGTCACAGGGATGCATGTAGAGTCTGCAGACACTAGGTGGTGCTCCGCAGCCTCACAGTCTTAAAACACCATTTTATAGTCAGGTGAAAAGGAAAACAACAGCAAGTGGATAAAAAGGGTAATTTAATACATGCTGCCGAGGAAATATGCTTTTGAAAGGGGATCAAATAAAAACAGAGTGTTGTTTTATGTGCTTTTAAGGGAAGTGTGTCTCAACATTTCCCTGTTTTGGATGCAGGTGGAGTCAGACATATGGAGAAGGTGGTCATTACTCGGTTTGGATCCAGATGTCCGAGACCGCCAATAACTCCAGCTGCACTTTCACTGTGGATAAGAAACCAAACAATGTTTACATGCGTAAGTGCACAACACCAACAAGGAATACGTGAGGGTGACGCTCTGCGATCAGTCGCATAGTTTGGAATAACACACTGAGAGTGAAGGGGATGGCTTCGGTGAGACACATTAACAGTAAAGGAACCCGGGTCCACGCTCGGGCCAGGCCTTTGATCCGCTCTCTACTTAATCGAGTCAGCAAAGAGGGGGATCACATCTACTGAGCAGCAACACTCCTCCATCTCCTGGGACACGATGTGTATCGATCAGATAAGACGCGCTGTCTTGAAAAGAGATAAAAGAAAAGCTTTTCTGTTTGTTCTGAAGGCCTGGCCCCCCCCGCGCACGTGGAGCATTGTGGGTAATACATTAGGGAGTGTGGAAGGATTAGGGCGTAATGGGATTTTGAAAGCGTCTCCCTCCATAATGTACACTGTACTTAACAATATTGCAGATTATGTTGTGGATCAGACTTTTGAGGCCAAGTAGCCATTATCCAGGCAGCTGTACGGTCAGCGCGACGGCACCCCTCGCCGCGTGATGAGCTTCCATTAGCTGTGCACACCAGTGATTACACCAACTCCCCGTAGGACTCGCTCAGCCTAAGTACTGGTCTGGTCAGCGGCTCGAGGCGGGTTAGAGTGGCCTTGCTAGGGAATTTTCAAAGTTTACTTCAGCGCTTGGGATTGATCGGCCGCGGTTCTCTGTGAGGTCATTTGGCGGCTGCGGTATTCTTCGAGGATATGTTTCTGTGCACCTACTATCAGACGCGTGCTTTAATCACGTTAGTACCGTACTCTGCATTGGTTCACCAACCACATGTCACCTGCCGAGGATGAGGGGGGAACTTAATCGAGTTGCTTTGAAACGAGCTCGTTCATTTTATGATCAATAACTAATAGAGCGAGCGGGGCAGAGATCTGCCGTGGTTCCACTTCATGCAGCCGAGATGCCGCGTAGTGACTCTTTGCTCAGGGTGGATGTCATCATGGGGATCAAGCTCAGGTGGCACGGCTGCTCTTTGTTTGTTTTTCCACTGAAGGCAAACACTGAGTGTACTGTCCCCCGTATTTCCTGTGCTTTGACGCAAGAAGACCAGACTGGCATCGCCCAGTTATAGTGTTATAGTTTTACCATTGGTTTCATCTTTGGTAACACAGCCGTAAAATGTCTCATCGATTTTTCGCTGCTGCAGATGGTGGTTGAGCAATAATGTAGTCAACAATTTAGAAACGTCTAAGTGGTTTTTAGCATGATGTGTCACGTTGGACATATCTCTCTATCTGTACATCAGTATCTACATTAATCAGGGAAACAGAAGAAGGGAACTTTCGTTTCTCAAACAGTAAACACATGTTGCCCGATCTTTCTCTTGTGATCTGGGTAGATTTCTTCATTCATTTAGCAAAACAAAACATTTCCGCTGCTGTGTTGCTGTTATACACCTCATCTCGACCTGACTCACCCTCTGGCAAACCAGCCCTCTCCCCGAGTCTTTGTTTTTCTTGTCCATTTTCCTTTCGGTGCGCCTGCAGGCTTAGATTAGCCAGATGGATCGAGCAGAGAGTTTTCCATTAGGTCCTTGTTTGTCACTTGAAGGATCCCCCTTGACACGGGGTTGACTGACAGAGAGCCACGAGGGAGTCCAGAGGCGAGTGAAGCAGGCGGTTTAGAGTGATAATCAGGCCTTTCATCCGCAGTCGCATCCGATTCTGATAGAGACGTACAGCATAACGGTCGTGACAGGGACAGACGGACAGACTGCAGATCGGTCAGATGGTCCAGTCTGATCACCCAATGTCCCTTTTTAAACATTTCCTTTTTTCCAGCTCTTCTGGTGGCAGCTCTCTTATTGGTCGTACTCGCTGTCCTATTCATTGCGAGACCCTACATCCACAGGTAACCACGTGTTTTAGACGTCATCCGTATTAAAAACACCTTCCTGCACTTATTCCTCCATCAGAACAGGGCAACTCAGGCTTGTTCCGTTTACAGGAGGTGCTGTGCATCCAAATGTATCAGGACCGTTTGCTGCCAAGGCCCGCAGCATTCAGACGATAATGTAAGTAAAATCTACCTCTAATGAAAACATTAGATTAGTATCTTACTAAATGCAATGAGATGACACAGATGAGTGGTTTGATTGATTCGATTTAGATCAATCATAAACCAATCCAATGGAATCAGAGGCAATCTCATCACTGCCACATCTCTGTACCAACCATAAAACACACAATTGTATTCGTGGATATTGTGCGTATGATAAATATGTATGGAAACCTTTATTATTATTTTTTAAACTGCTGCGGTATCTCACAATTCGAATCCTTCAGAGGAGCGTTTTGCATCACCACTTTTTTTTCCTGCACTGCAGAAAAGGATTGACTTCAAGCATCAAACATTAAAGTTGCCTTAATCCAACAGAAACATCGTATTATTGTCATTGGCAACTGCGCGGCCTGCGCTGCATACCAAAATGTCTCTGAGACTCCAGTCATCAAGACGTTTGGGAGACACTAATGGAATGATTGATACAAATGTTAGCAGAGCCGATTGTACAGAAACGATGCAGCGCCGCGTCCGTCCAATCATCCTGCTTGTTGGCAAGAGGCGCTGTGTAATTTCTGTGAGCATGAATGGCTCCTCTCATTCTTCCATTCAAGATGTCTCTGTCTTCCATATGCGGTCTGGATGGCATGCAGATCCATCACAACATATTAGTGCCGGTGTCTTCCTGCTCTGGCTCTTTAAACTGCTGCGTAAAGGCCAGCGAGTCAGGCTAATCCAACTGAGAGGGCAACAGGCCAGAGTCATCTCAGTGCTGCCTTCACACAGAGCCGCATGCAGCACCTCCAGCGGCCTTTACACCACTTCCGACCCATGCAACAATCAGGGTTTTGGGTTTTGTCAGCATTTTAACAGTTATTTAACTCTTAACAATTCTTTGGGAGGGCTGTATAACAGTTGTATGTGTTTCTATCTGTGTCCTGTGTTTTTAAACTCTCTAAAGTAGAGATGGAACAGATAATAATGAAAAAAACACATGCATTTCAGCTCGTTGTTTAGTATTTCTATTCTCTAAACTTGAATCCAGCCAAAGCATGCAGCTTTTTGGAATCAAATGCCTTCTAATAAATAAACTTCAAGCCTCCTACTCAGCCCCAGAATTCTGTCAGACACAGTTATCAGCTAGTGAGCAGTGACTGTTGGACCTAATCCTCAAAAAATGAATGAATGCTGATGTTCCTCTTGTATCACCTTTTCCTTGATTATCTATATGAGGCAAAAACATTTAACGTTTACAAATCTGTCAGTACTGCTTTAATAAGTTGAGACAAATAGCCGCCATGAGTAGAAACGACATTCAGTAGTCAAATACAGAGTTAACGCATGTTGCTGCTTTAGTAACACCTTGTATGAACGTGTTTAGTTCATTAAAAGCCCATTAAAAGATTTTGTTTCCTCTCCACCGTCTTCGACAGGAACTCGTAGAGGCTTGTGAGGCTCAGCAGAATACCACTAAAGCTAAACCAGCACGTCTGCTCTCACTGGACACTTTCCGAGGGTATGTGCGCCATCAACAACCATCCTGTTTGTCAGTCTATCACCACATGTGACTCGTTCACATGCTTATTCTTTTTAGAGCAGTCTGGGGCATGATGAAGATCTACAGACCCAATGTAATGAATAATTACAGGGGTCACAGTCTGGCCACAGGCTCCCCTAGGCTTTGTTATCGGGCGGTGCAGCTTCGGGCATGATTTGGGATGTGAGCGCGTCTCGGGTTTGGAACAGTGTGTTTCTGTTGGACAGGAGTGATGCATGTGATTGAATCTGGGCTCCCTGCTAGCCTTAATTGTGGCCTGGGGGTAGACACAAAGCACGCCTCTCTGGAAACAGGATGCTGGTGTGGCTTTGACCTCCCTCTTGCCAAATAATTGATGTAATAATACCGTCAACATATCAGCACACATCCACAGGGCCATAGATCTCCTGCCAAAATGAGGAGCGAGAGGAAATCCAGCAGCACAGAGGCAGCATCCAGCAGACAATTGGCATCTTCTCCATCTGTGACTTCCTTTTTGGATGGGAAGCCATGTGAAACCACCGCGCTTATGAGCCGGGCTCAAAATGTTTCTAGTTTGGGAGCTGAGTTAGTTGAGTGTGCTCAAACTCCCTTCTGTTCAGTTCCACTGACTTATTGGCTGAAATATCCCTGTGTGGTTACAGGTACTTACCACATATTGCCGTACCTGGCAACCCACATAATCCAACCATGACTCAGCGCTCCGGATTAACGCTGCGTGGGCCTCCACGGGCCCGTGATTTATGAACCACACTCCCCAATAAGTCACAACTTTCTGCAGGCAGCAGACGCATCGGGGACATAAACGCTGAGACATTTCTGAAGGCAAAAGGTTTTTCTTCTGAGCTGAAAGGTTTTCCTGATCATTGCTCAGGCTGCACTGACATGATATACAGAGACCAGCGGGGCACGGTAACGCCTTCATTTTTCTAAAAGGATTCGGTTTTTAATCTTGCGCCACGCCGCTAAAAGCCTGTCGCCGGTTTCCACACTGTGGAAAATGGCACCGTCAGTAGTTAGCAGTGCTACACGACAGAGGGAACCACGGTTACAGCAAAACAGCGGACTCCCGCTTGCATTTAGCACCAGCTGGCCGACTCTGTTCATTGTTATGACTGAGCTCCAAGTTCCCCTCTGATTGGGTTTCAGATACGCTCTGATGTTTGCTCCCCCCAAAAATGGCATTTCCACTCAAGTAGTAATTTATTATGACTAGATTGGAGGTTAGTGTGTTAGATATGGCCAGCCCAGTATGTAACTCAATCCTCTGCAGTGCAGAGTCCCACTATCCATTTGAATGGGGAAATGCACAAAGCGATACGCTGTACGTAATTCGTTATGCGTGTATACAGTGATTCAAATCAAAGTAGCCCATAAGCGTCTGTCAGCGAGTCATAACCGGTTGTCACTGCTGAAAGAAAGACACATTCATCTATAATCTGTTAGCTATAAATCATGAACACCGAATCCTAGACATAAATTAAGTCTATTACTGAAGTGACAAATGCTCATTGGAGAGCTTCACATGGATATTTGCAACTTCAACCTGATTAGGAACCAAGAAACACCCCTGTGGTGTTTCAGCCTGGATGTTATTAACTTTGGTGCAACACAAAGCAAAGTGATGTCACTGCACATCATATTAATTAGGCAATTAATAATAATTAGTTGCCGCTAGTGTCACGTGTGTGCGGCATTTTGTAATGGGAAATTGAGCTCCCATTTAACGACGCCCAGAGTGTTTTGATTAAAAAGACGGCCAATATGCGCTGATATTACAGGGACTTTCACAGGGCCTCATCTGGCCACTGATTTACCGCTGGTCTTTGTCACTATGGCGACTAATGGATGTGTTCGCCAAAATCTAAATGATAGCCTGCATTCATATGTGTGCGTGCTGCAGAGAGAAAGAGTACCGGGACACACGCTGCAAGGTTTACTCTACTTTAATGGCCCGTTTGAGATGATAGCGATTCAAATCTTGTATCAGCAGGTTGGGGCTAAAACATCAGTAATGGCTTTGCTGCTCCGCTTAATTGAATCCGGGCAGAAAAACCAGAGGAGGCAGAGGAAGATACAGCGCACCTTATCTGGGAGTCTTGCTCTTAGAGGTTATCCTGATCTTGTTATGACTCTTAAAGAATCCCTCAATCATTTTTCTCTTTTCTTTTTGATTCAATAAAACGGAAATTAAAAGCATAAATATTTAAGAGGGGAAAAGGCTGGATTTTGCCTCGAAGCAAACCTCTCGCACATACGGCCCTTTTTTGTTTGTAGACCCCCCCCCCCCCCCACCCTCCACACACACACACACACACACATTCTGACATGCAACGCGAACACCTCTCTTCCCTGCGGTGTCTGATCCAGTGAGGCACTCCATCACGTGTGCTGTGTTTCAGCAGCCTTGGCCGGTGCTAAACTATAAAGTGTATCATATATTAGAGGCAAAGTCTTTAGTCAGCACTCCTGCTTGGGGAGATCCAGAGGACAAGTGTTCATTTCCTGAGTGATTCATAATGCTTAGATTGCATTACCTTGCATTTGGGGTGCAACAGAATAAAAAAAAACCCTCCTCTGGCCGCTTTAAAACTTGATATTGTTTGTGATTTATTAGAGAAAAATTTAGATATTAACTTTTAGCGCTTGATTTCTATTTGTTTGAAAACCATTTTCACCCATATTTCCATCATTGCCTGTAGTGGGTGACGGTTAATCCAGTTCTTGGTGATTTATTCAGTGTGCCATGGTGCTGACTCACTGTAATGTGTTTGTAGGTTTTCCCTGATTGTGATGGTGTTTGTGAACTACGGAGGAGGAGGCTACTGGTTCTTTCAGCATGAACCTTGGAATGGTTGAGTAGAACCGTTTTCTTTCCCTTCATCTGCAATTCCAGTAGATTTAAAAGCTGAAAGGACAGCAGCCGACAGGGCTCCTGTTTCTAGGAAGGCACATGAATGTACGACTTCTTTCACATGACGCAAAATATGAAATGAATGTGTTTGCAGCTTTCTCCTCATCATATCTGTAACATTTTCAGATTTTCTGTCACTAATTATGAAATACAGAGTCTCAAATCAATCACACCCGACGCCAAATGATGCACAGTCCATAGATTATGATTGTTATTAGCAACCAGGGAGGAGACGAGAAAGAGGCGTGATGAATGTCTAGCTAGGAGGATTGGGGAGGGCAGAGAATGTGTAGTACTTCTTCTCCTGCAGCAGCTGCTCTTGAGGTGCCCTGGAGCAAGGCACCTCTGACTAAAAGACGCCGCGGTGAAGGTCAAAGCAATAAAAGTTTTTAAAAAGCAAAAATGGCACTGCAGGTTTTGTAGAAATCCATGTCCTGCTTTTAGGGTTGCTCTCAATTTAACTCCTATAATAGCCTCCTTTCCACATCTACAATGACGTATTGATTTCAGGGGAGGTTTGATTAATCTTCTCTTTGCCACTGTCACAGGGGTGTAAACATTTATCCACATTTAGGAAGTGGAAAGTTAATTACTAAAGTTGCACAAAAGGACATAACATTGTTCTTAATTAAACCGGTACTCCTTTTGGATTGCAGAGATTAGCAAAGAGCAAGAACTGTGAACAGTGTTTAATGGCATCCAATTCAGCTTTCTGTGTTTCTATTGATGATAATGGAGGCTTCTGGATTCATTGCAGGTCTAACTGTGGCCAGTCTCGTCATGCCATGGTATGACTTTTATATATGTACAAATATCCACGTTTGTGTGTATGTTTATGTGTTTTAACGGCCCAATACTGTTGTGTCTTCCAGGTTTGTGTTTGTTATTGGGACTTCGGTGGTGTTAGCTTTCACGTCCATGCAGAGGAAAGGAGTCAGCCGCCTGCAGCTGCTGCGCAAAATCACCTGGAGGACAGTGGTCCTCATGATGCTTGGCTTCTGCTTCCTGAACTACTCTCCCATAGACGGATCACGTAGGTGCAAGACACTCAGCACAGGAAGGGGAAAACTCATATTTTTCTCCACTTTTTGTTTTGTTCTGAAAATGAAAAATGATGTAACATCAACAAGTTTGACAGATTCTGGAAAAACGTTTTTTCAAGATTCATTCCATATTATCTCATAGAAACCTGCAACAAAAGCTGGATAAATAACTGATGGCAGAACTGATCTGATCAGCTCCATGTGGCTTATTTAAATCCTTGATTGATTTATGACTACACTTTGTCTTGACTTAACTTTTTTACCAAACTGAATATGTTTAGGTTTTCTGACTGTTACTGACACAAAACATGTATGAAATGTTTTACAGATAAAAAACAAATCAGCAGACTGATTCATTATTATAATAATCACTAGGTGCTGATGGTGCATGGAGTAGAGAGGGTGCGCCGGGAACCGCTTTGCATGTAATGTAATGCAGCTTACATTTTGTATTTTCCTACAATACACTGCAGTTGAAGACGAAGATGTATTTTGATGCAGATGTGTGATAAAAGCCAAAGCTGCAGGGCTGCGTCGAGGTTTTAAGGAGGGGGGGGGCGCCCTGCACACATTAGCCATCCCCAGTGCTAATGGACTTTCCTGGGCCAATGTCTGCGTAACTGCGTTAACAAAAATATTATTATTGTGTGTGCAGTCTCAAAACCCAGCACCAGGGGACGTTTAACAGAGGCGGATTGAGCAAAAACAACCGCTGCTTAATGGACGATTACAAACAGATAGTGTTACACTCTTCAGCCCCATGCAGCTGCTGTACAGGCGGCTGCTGCAGCTCATAACAGCACGACTTCTCCCACAAACTGCAGCTTTGCCCTCCATCTCCAAGGACGTTCTCTGCAGTTCAGCGCCAGGGTCTGATCTAATAAGGGAGTGGAGTCACATTGGCTCAATACGTTAAAACCATTCCGATGTCAGAGGGACGGGGGAAGGTGTCAACCTTTGACAGAAACTGTGACTCGTTTCGATCAAAGCAGTGACCTTGAAACTACATTTTTGGTTATTTCATTTCACTCAAATGGCCGACTTGCACACTCCGTTGTTGGTTACACCATTAGAAACGCACTTGATTTAATGGCTGTAATTCACATTCAATTAGGTGAACTCATCAGGGGGGAGGTAAACACGTGGCTTTTTCTCTGGATTGTGTCGAAAACATTGTTTTGCTTTGGCCGACATGTGTTTTCAATGTGCAATCTTTGGCGATTTGACATCTTTTTGGGATGGTGACAAGCTCCAGATGAAGATGAACTCAGAAAGCCAGATTCAACGCTGACTGACGCGAGGTCTTTAGAGGGTGTTTAAATCAGGAAAGCTCTCTGTTTAAAAGTTTTTAGTTCTGGTATTAGTTCATTTTTGTTCTATTGTTCTATTTTATTCTCTTCTGCTCACTTCCACCATTGAATCATTATATTATTCAATCAATGACTGAACGTGCTCAGAGATGGGATGCAGACAGCAGAGCTTTCTCTTCTTCAATGATATTGAGCATCAAAAAATGTTTTTACAGTTTCCTGCAAAACTGTGACTTTCAGTCAGTTTTTTATTTAGGGGACACACGTGTGTGGAGACACAGATGCAGTTAGTTATCCGGGTGGAGGTGTAACCTGCCCCTTTAACAAATGTGTCATAAGTAAGAGCTTCCTCCTTTCCTATGAAAGGAGAGACTTCCGCCTCTTATTTGATTTGCCCGGATCAATGATTGGGATTACACTGTTTTCGTGGCACTTTGTGCAGCAGAGAGCTTTTCAATTAACTAACGTGTAGATTACCATCAATCTCTCAACCCAAAAGAAACATTTTGTTGTGACAAAGAGATAACTGTGAACTGTGAATCAGCCTCCCGGGTTCCTGACATGTCCGTGTCCTGAAGGCTGACACTGTTTCCCCGTGCGGCGAGCTGTCCATCATCCCTCAGGAAGTAGTGATGTGGTGGAGCGACAGAGCAGATGTTCTCATGTCCTCCACTATCAATCTCCCGATCAGCAGGAGAGGCTTCTGAGTTGTATGTGTTGTGTGTGTGCTTGTACATGAGTTGTAAGGTCATGCATTCGTCGTGGTCTATCACGGCACTTGTAGTGGTTCACGCTGTGTGTTGCTGACTGTGTTTCAGTGTCCTGGTCCTGGCTGAGGGTCCCTGGAGTGCTGCAGCGTCTGGGCTTCACCTACTTTGTTCTGTCTCTCCTGCAGACTTTCTGGGGCCAGAAAGAAATCCCACTGAGAACGGTCAGCAGCTCTGTCAAGGCCTTCACCTTAGTCATCACACACCAGGGGAACAAAGGAAACAAAACATCTACACAATGCCAATCTGCTGCCAAAATGCACCTTGGGTTCCTTGTCATTGCTGGGATAACTGACCAAACATGCAAAGCACAGTTGGTTAACAGTGTCTGAGAAGATGTGTTTGTGTGCTGTGATGCAGTATCACTGGTGGAACCCCGTCCAGGACGTGGTCCTTTACTGGCCACAGTGGCTGATTATCATCCTGCTTGAGGCTCTGTCGCTCTGTATCACGTTTCTCATGCCCGTACCCGGCTGCCCCACGTAAGTCAAAAACCAGATTCCCACTGTCTTCCAACTGATCGAGTGCAATCCTCTCATTAATCAACTGCACACATATGCTAAAAGTGTAAATGTCTTCGTGGTGAGTTGATCTCCAGTTGGGGCTGCAAGCGGCGGTGTTAATGTGCACCTTGTGTTGCTGGTGTTATGAACCGCAGTGATTTATGGGCCTGTGGTGGATGCTTCAGAGGGCATAATTACCCAATCTCAGCCTGTCATGTGCAATAAGAGGAGTGGAGGCAGAGGATCTATCTTTCCCGCTCGACGTCTTCTGCTCAGCGCTGCTTTTCTCTGTGTTTCCCCCTATTTCACAGAAATAGAAGCACACAATAGTTGCACTGTATCTTTAAACATCTAATTGTTTTTTGGGGGGATGGGGGGATTGATAATGATGTGTTTTATTTATAGGTGTCCTGAAGGACACTTTACAGGCACAATTAAAACTGAGCAGCAGTGTATCATAAAATCAAACGTCTTCCTTGCATTTTATTATTATATTTCAATTATTTAATCATTTATCGTTTTGGTACGTTTTAATATTCTAAGATATACTTTTTATACCATTCTATATCGTTTGCTATCAGAGGGTATTTGGGAGCCGGTGGAATCGGTGATTACGGTCTCTACCCAAACTGCACTGGGGGCGCGGCGGGGTACATTGACAGGCGGATGTTTGGTCACAACCTATACAGATACCCCACATGCAAAGTAAGAACTTTTTCAAACAACACTATTCTTTATTTTATCCATCTATCTAACAACATTACAGGTGGACTTAAAATAACTTTGCTCATCTTTTTTTCTTTTTTTTCCCAGCAAATATATCTCACCACGCAGCCCTTTGACCCGGAGGGGGTTCTGGGTACAATCAACTCCGTTGTCATGGGATTCCTGGGGATGCAGGTAGGCGGGATCATTTATCTACACTGTTTTCTAAATTGTCACTATAATTCGTTTTTATTAGTTTCAAATTTCCCATTGCTTGTAGAAGGAGTAATGTTTTTCATGATTCTGTACTTTTGCTCAGTTTAGGTTATTTATTAAATGAATATGAAGGCTTCATACAGTCAGGTCACTCGTAATAGGTTTTGTGATATCTGACATTTCATTAATGGCTCTTAAACCATTTTAAATTTACAGTTTTTTTTATATTTCCACAAAAAGTTTAATCCCAGATGTGAAACTGGAAATGAAAACGTTTTAACTAGAATTAGTACTATTCTTGCCACTGTTTACAGCTGAATTGTTTTTCTCAAACAACCTAGAGTAAGTAAATACCCCAAAACTGCAACTGGCTCGGTATTTTGGTTTTGTATTTCACAAATATCTTTATTTCAACACTTTGAACAAGTATAATTGAATTGCAAGAGATGCTTAGCAAGATTCGGAAAAGATGTGTCTGTACAAAAACATCTGTATAAAATAACATAAAAGCTACGTTGTTATCCTTCTCTTTGTTAATGGGATTCTGCTGATAGCGGGATCCTAGTCTGGTAGCTGAGCACTACATACACACACACACACACACACACACACACACACACACAAACTCACGCGCACACACACAGAGCATCAATAAAACCTATATTTTATTCAAACAAAATCCACCTTAAAGTACCAGTACTATTTATTTTCTGGCATCAGTGCACCTTGCATAACTGGAAAAGGGGGACTTCTGCTAGTGAGATCTCAGGAAATCATTCTAAAGCACCAACCTACACATCCACCCGTCCTAGCAGGAGTTTACTGCACGCAAAGACTGCTTCCCGCCTAGTTGCAAGAGCACAGCTGCCCCCCCCCCCCCCCCATGTTAATGACAAAATGTTGAGCGGAAAAAGCGAGGAGAGAGCTTTTGGACTTTAGACGTCAGCTTCTGGTGGTGGCCGTGTCACTTATAACCATTTGTGTTGTGGGAAGAAGTCAAGCAAAAGCAGCCACATTGCTCAATTCCCAGTGGGCGGTCGGCGCGGAGCCCTTCAGTCAGCGCGTCTTAGACGACACGCCAGGTGCCCGCCGCCCTGCTCTGTGCTCGCCCGCGCTAATGTCCTCAGCTGAAGCGTATTCATCATCACCAAATTAATCAGAGGGTGTGGATGTCTTCCACTGCACATCTGGCTCAACGGGATAGGAGAAATGTGACCCCCGCGTCAGGGACACGCCATCGACACCCACGTCCCAGGCTTATTTGGTTACCCGGGGACAAATGCACGTCCTCACCCGGTTGTTGGTGTTTACATTGTATTTCTCATGAAATGGGATGATGAAATGAGTTGTGGTGTCTCTTCCTCCTTCTACCACAGGCCGGGAAAATCATCATTTTCTACAAGGGGAAGAACATCGTCATTCTCTGTCGATTCCTGGCGTGGGCCCTCATCCTGGTACGTAACATCACGGGGAGGCTTTAAACCCAGCTGGTAATGAGCAAAAGAAAAGTAAAACAAAGACGTAGTTCTTCCTCTATGAATCACACGGAACGAAGCACTTTTATGGTTTTGCCTGTCAACGTGTTCGTGTTCGTGTGTGGGTTTTAGCCATAGCTGTCAAACCCTTTCATTAGCCGGACTTAGTTGAGGAGATGCGTGTGATCTTGGTACAATTAAATCACATCCATGTGTGGCTGTGTTTACAGGGCAGGCATGGGTACCTGGGGCCCCGGGGCCATATGTACTGTACACTGTCTCTCATTGCCTGTGTGCCTCACATGTGGTTGTAGATTAGAAGAGTTTTGCCTGTTACTTGAACAACCGAATTGAAGAGAAAGGCTAATTCATAAAGTATTTACAAACCAATCACATGACAGTATGGACACAATGGAATAACAGAAGTAGATCAAAGTTCATTCAAATCCATATGAATGAAAGATGAATTTCTCTATAAATCTGTGAAGACGTTATTTGTGGTCATGTTTGTTTTGTATCCGTGGTCATTCTGGGTGGTCTCAAAGCACAAGAAGAGGCAAGCTGGCCCCTGTTTCATTGAGAGGGGGAACGCGTCCCACAGGGAGAAGCCAAGTGTTATACGAGACAGCCCCGTTTTGCATTTCTTAACCCGACAGGAGGCCGTGAAGTCTGCTCTAACGAGATTGACAGATATCCGTGTGGAACGGCCCGGCTTTGCTGAGGTGTGCTCGGCCACAGTTTGCGTGTACGTACAGTACGATGCTGCAGAGATGCGGCCCGTTCTCAGCAGGAAGCTGCAGGCCGGGGGCGCAGACATCCTGAGCCGGCCGCGCTGCGATGATGGAGCCGGAGGAGCTGGCTCCATCACCCGGCCTTTGAAATCAAACTGTGAAGGACGAAAAGGAGTGGCCAGTAGAAACACACACATCCAGTTAGTATTACGTGATGTGGTTGTTGCTCATTGCACTGCCTTTTTTTTACTGTTTGACCAACGGCCTTAAAATAAGTGAACCGTTTCATCCATCATCCATTAATTCTACAACTATATATTGTATATATGTATTGGGTTCAATATCTATGATCAAAATCCAATACAAGAAGCCTAGTAGCTGAGGAATGGGTCTTTTGTAGTTGTAATCAGGAAGAATCTTGTTCATATCCGTGAGAATCAATTGAAATTCTGTTGTAGCAATTTAATGTTGTTAACCTCATTTCAAAAATGACAAATCTCCCCATTATTCTCCCGGTGTTGAATCTTATTGACTATCATTGTGGAGCGAGTGACTGGAGGGAGGTGAAATATATTAGATCCATTTGGCTTCTCCCAGAGGCACAGAGTGATAAAGTAACATATAAGGAAATAAATAAACATTAGGCTTTTATGTTTTCCTCATGTGTCTCCTGGTTCACCGGCTAATGCTACATGGTGTGGATGCTCCTCAGGATTGTGACGCTGGAGATGTTATATTCAGGATCATACAGCGTTTATTGACTTAAAATACAGGGACTTAAAATACTGCTTAACTGAAATGGAGAATGACAATAAAAAAGATTTCCTCATGTTGCAAAGGTTGATAGAGAGAGCTGGCCTTCTTATGTTGACTCTGGGAAGGGAGACACGTGTTCCGCTGCACACGTGTATTTACTTTAGTTTGATCTAAATAACTCAAATACGGTATATCCCTTTTTAGTCCCACAAAAGAAAGAAAAAAAAGCACGTTTTTAATGATTCTTCTGCTCTTTATACTGACTTTTCTAACATGATTTTGCCAGAAAGGGAGGCGGTGCAGAGCTGAACCGCCTCTAGTTTCAGACATGTGCTCTTGACATTAGCAGGTCCTCTCAGTTCTGCAGGCAACCAACCACAGGATTGCTATTATGCCCAAGAGGTTTCCCAACCAGAACCAGAACGCGTTGATACAGTAAAAGACCAGCCAGGTTTTTCACACAGCTCTCTGTGGTTTGATTTTTAGCGCCCTATTGATATTCAGGGGGGGCAATGCATCTTCCTAATAAACAACAGCCCCAGTTAATTAAAATCCAACGATCAGGCTCCAGAAGTTAGATTGAAATTGAGCGATTGCCCCACATACCAGCCCCGTCCCACATCCTGCTGCCTGGATAGCCTGGAGACTCAATCCAGTCCTGGATAGGCTATTTCCACACCATCGATTCTGTCATCTATACACATGATGGATATGCACCTAACAAGCATGTTTGGGCTCTGATCCACTGCTCCGGGTTCCTCTCTGGAGCACAAAATGTTTCCTCAAGTCTCTAAATCACATGTAATAGAGGATACGATAATGATTGCATTGATAAACGAGTATCACGTATTAGTATGTATTCTGGCTGATGAGACTGTGGAGTTGTGTTCAGACAGGTGTGATTCTGTGGCTGTATCCGATGTGTACAACATTCCAGGAGGATCGAATCGGCTTGTTTGCATTCCGACATCGTGTGGGTCACTTGATGGAACTTAGATACATCTGACTTTCAGACAATCGGTTCATCTGCCAAAATGTCTTTATTCCGTTAGCTCACGTTTGAGCAGCCCAGTACTGCTTGCTTTATCGCCCTCCATCGATTTGAAATCTGTTTCATTTCCACCCTCAGGGAATCTCTACAGCCATCCTTTCTAAGTGCACACGAGACGAAGGATTTATACCTGTCAATAAAAACCTTTGGTAAGTGCTTCCTGACCCTCTAAATCCAGCCACTTTTCCTCACAAAGGAAAGGATGGGTTTCCAACAGGCACAAATCAAGGCTGCTGAAACACGCGTTTACTTACCTCTAACGACAGCAACGACGGTAAATAATCACCAGCGCTGTCGGGAGTGTGAGGTGGAGCGGTTACACATCCTCACAACATGATCACTCTTCTTTCCAGCCAGGAAAATAAAGGATGCTTTATCCTCCCCACTCACTCACAACACATTTGAGCAGCTCTGCGTGATGGAATGGGATCAGGCTCTGGGAAAATCATCTCAGTGCTGCTTAAATCCCTCCAAAATGTTATGTGCCATTTTGGTAAAACAAGGTGTGGCATCTTGATAAGTGTCTATAATGATTTTGCAGGATACACAGCGCAATTACTACCTGAGACGTGAATAGCTTTACGACCTATGCATTTGTTCCCCTTAATATGATGTGAATCATTTTAATGTTGCAGCAGGAAGAATGCCGTTTCATCTGTGATGTGTAAGCAAATTCTTCGTGATGTTCCGCAGGGGCCCCCGCTAGCGCTGTGCTCATCCCTCGCCATTACCTGCCTGGCTTTTATAGGCAGTTCATCATACACAGGTTATTGAGCTCTTTAGGACGCGTGCCTGCCTGGATGTCTAGAAGTAATTAACTCCCAGCTAAGAATCCTTTTTGGCCCCACTTCAGCTGAGATTAAAAAAAAAGAAAAGAGCCCTCAGCAAGGAGGCTCCGGGAGGCTGCCGTTTTACATCAGATGGTATTACATCAAACATTCCTGCACTTAGGTACAGACTGGGACACGGAGGGCTGGCACGGCTCCACGGGGCACGTGCCAAAGATCCACCGCTGATGCCCTGGACCAATCCAGCAAACCGTCCCGCAGTTTGCTGGAATTGGCTGGAGACCCCTGGGTGTTATTTAGCTGCAGCACGGGATTGATAGACTCTTGTGTTTTTACACCCTTGTTCACACCACAGCGCTTACATCTCCGTGATGCCTGTAGACGAACCGCGGTCGTTATCGACGTGTGACATGGCGGTCTGTCCCCCGCAGGTCGTTGTCCTTTGTGTTGTGTGCAGGCTGCTCCTCCTTCCTGCTGCTGGGGGCCATGTACTTTGTCATCGATGTTAAGGGCTGGTGGGGCGGACAGCCGTTCATATACCCAGGTACTGTTGGGCCACAAATCAGGGGCTCAATGCATCACACTGGTTTATTCTGCTTTGGTTACAAAGAAACCCCCTCAGAAACTAAAGGCACTGATTGGCAGAGCTACATGGACATGGTGAATATAGAATTTGATGCCAGATTACTGCGTGTGTTTCTTTGCTTCTGTTGTATTTGTAAAGAAGCAGCCCATTGCTAACAAGTTCGCCATATTAACTTTAGACATTATGATACGTCAGATTTGGGTTTACGGCTAAAACATCTGTCAATTCAGGGTTAAAGGTAAAATTCAGGTGAATTTCAATCTAGGTCAAATAATTGCATTGCAAGTTAAATTTGCACTCGCTGCCTCCATTGAAGTCATTGGGGAAAGAGCACTTCTGACAAAGCAGATCAAACCAAGTTGTCGGCCAGACTCGGAGGCAACCAGTTAATATGACTAATGTCAAATGTAACTGTGTTTTCAATGTTTTAGAAGTTTTCCTAATTGCCCCAATGTACTATATATTTTGTCAGAATACAAGTTGTCAAATCTCAAAGCATTCCTGTTGAGCAACAACTTATCCTCTCCTCCTCAGGGATGAACTCCATCTTTGTCTACGTCGGCCACACTATGCTGGGTTACTACTTCCCGTTCAGCTGGGAGATGCGCTTCACGGAGAACCACTGGGAGTGGCTCTTCCAAGGCCTGTGGGGAACGTCTCTGTGGGTGCTCACCGCTTACCTGCTCTACAGAAAGAAATTCTTCCTCAAAATATAAACCGGGCTGAAAAAAGGCTCAATTTTTAATTTTTTAGCTAAACAAACACTATTCATGTAAAATTATATTGATTTTTAAAACATCAGAATAAAAAAAAATGTGCTTGTTGTTTGTTTACTCTGTTTAATATACGGCGTGCTGAGGTGCATTTGAATGAACTGTACTGTACTGTGCCATCTGAACGTGCTTCAAGTTTGATCAAATACAGCACAGCTAACAAGTATGACATTGTTCCTCCATGAAACCCATTGAAACAGTGCCCAGCCTCTGAAGAAGATCTCTGCTTCATTGTCCGTGTGGGCAGCTGAGGATTTATTTGACGCCACTTGTTTTGTGCACTGAATAGACTGATTAAATCAAATACACTGAGGTACTACTTAACAAATTAGGACGAGTGATTCCACTACACACCAGGCCGGCCATTATGAGCCTGTTGCCATGGCCACTCCTTCTCCTTCAGTGTGTGTGTGTGTGTGTGTGTGTGTGTGTGTGTGTGTGTGTGTGTGTGTGTGTGTGTGTGTGTGTGTGTGTGTGTGTGTGTGTGTGTGTGTGTGCGTGCGCCGATACCATCTGCTGTCCAAGTGACAGGACTTTAATAGGGGTCAAGATGCACAGCTCACAAAGGAGTTTCATTAATGGGATCGACACCTCTTGCACTCATTGTATTAGAAAATCAGGGAAATTACACAAATCCAATTCATCAGAGGACAGAGACGTGCCCCCTCATGGAGCCTCAGCTCGCTACGCACGTTTCAATTTGACAAACGTGTTTAACACGTTGAGCTGACTCACCGACTGAAACAGCTCATTTTAAACGTTTGGATTTGAATGTTGCCACGATGGGGATGCGTGTGTAGAACTCGCTCGGGTGCGTGTGCTCTTAGCATCAGGTCAGCCGGTGTGTACATCATGAAATGGCATCTGGTTAATGAAATGGAAAAGCGTCGTGCTCTTCTTCAAGAGTGAAACCGTATTACGCGCTGCTCGGTAATGACATTGCGTATTATCGTGTAGTGGTTTTGGTAAGTGTCTCATGAGCAGATGTTGTTGTTTGAATCCCTGTAGGTGCATCCTGCCTTCTTGAACAACACTCAAGTTCATAATTGCTTTCACAAATTACGGTGCCAGTCAGCGATGGAAACAAAAAGCTGCATCTTGTTGAGATAAAAATGAAATCAATACAAACTCGCCACAGAGGTCTTAAGACATCTTTTGTGTGTTTGCATGCAATGATAAAGCTTTTTATTTGGCTATAAGCATTTAGCTGACTCATTATGAGCCACTTACAGGAACTGCAGCAGCTCGAAATCCATTAGAAACATATCGATAAGTTGTAAATACCGATAAAAATGAGAATATTTGGACTGCATTAATGAAGAACATTCTGCTTATGTTTCAGATAGAATTTCTGCTGAACCCGTTCTATAGAAGCCCATAAGATAACGATGTCCTGGTTCCACATAACATGACTATACCACAATGTTTCCGTGCCTGTATTGATTCTCAATGAGCATATGTCTCAGGATACCTCGAGTCTGTCATATGGAAACTTGATCCCAAATACGATGTACTAATTCAGACAGCGCAGCTTATCTTACATCACATAATGATCCCCACACCCTCCCTTGATACAGCCAGAAGCATTGACAGTGAACATTTGGGTACGCTATCTGTAAAACGTATTGAAATCAATATACTATCTGGATGAAAGTGATTTTTCTTTCTTTTAAAATTGATATATTGGGTTTTAGTGGAGGTAAATTAGTGTTGTGGGACTGTGGTACTGATGATATTGTTAATCTAATCTGGGTATTATACTTTCCACTTCTCAGTATAGCAGCAGGTAACAAGCCAAAATAATTTCCCGATGTACATATGTTAAGTATAATTATAAGGTGCTTTCTTCTAGTATTTCCCTTTTTATATACAGCCTTTTGATACAAATAAATTGGACCAATAGACAGCAGGTGCAAATATGGAATAGCAGTGTTTTCTTCCACTTGGAGGGAATCCCTGCTGTCCCCTCTGGCCCAGTGATCCCAGTGGTTCTGCCCCATGCCGAGACATTGATTAGAGAGCGGTTGCTGTGTGAGTGACTGGTGTCCCGCCCCGAGGCTGCAGCGATGCATCACTCCACACATCCAGTCACAGAGAGATCCCTCCCTTGATCGGTGGCCTTTAGCCACGGACATCCACTCCAGACCTCAGGCCAGAGTCACGCAGCTGATATTAGGTGATTTTTGTTCTTTGACCTCAAAGTGTAGGCAGACAGACACGGGACATGTCTGCTAGTTTTTTGGGGAAGTATAATTCATTGATGTGATATATTGGGGCATTAGCGGGCCAGTGGGTTTGGGTTGACTGAAATAGACCTTATGAAAGGGTTTGAATCCATTAAGGTAAATGTGTCACTGGTGTTACTAGATTGGAAATAATGATGCCGAAATGGTTACAGATTCTAATGAAGCAATGATATAAATAAATGAGCACACAGAGGCTGTACCTTGGAAACGCACCATTTAATCATAATTGTTCAGAATTTCCCCCCCGCAGAGTGTTAATGAGGTGACTGACCTGCTGTTAAATTTCCTGTAGATGCTGTGCAGCCCGCTGGTGCGGAAGCAGCGGGGCAGTGAGGAGCGAAGCAGAGGAGCAGCGAGCCTCCTCCCCCTGGCCAGAGAGCCACAGAGCCACGGAGCCACTGAGCCACTGAGCCATCCATCCACAGAGCCATCCAACCACAGAGCCATCCAACCACTGATCCATCCATCCACTGATCCATCCATCCACTGATCCATCCATCCACTGATCCATCCATCCACGGAGCCAGTCCGCCCAGCAGTCTGTGGGACGCTGAGGATTTCATCCCGGAGCCGCGCGCACACCGACACTCACCGCTTTGCGCGACCTTTTGATTCTTCCTTTTTTTTTGTTGAGCGCGCGCGCGTGTTGGTCGCTTTTTGAGGAACTTTTTTTTCCATCTCGTTTTTATTCAGAAACTTTCACTTATGGTTGGTGAATATGGGGTCACGTTGTGGTTTCTCTCGGGGAAACGTCTTCGCGCTGCTGCTGCTGCTGGAAGGTGAGCTCCGTCTTTAGATCCGCTGCTCGGGCACATGAGGGGCCACAAGATTCCGTTCTAAATATGCGTTGCATTCAAGAATGGTTTGGGCTATTGGTGCTTTATTTGAAAGAAATTTACTTTAATAATTCTTATTTTTGTAAATAAAAAAAACACAATGTTTAAGAGGAAAATGTGTTTTTTAGTGCTAAATCCCATTTGAGACATTATCTGTTAATCTCACAGCATTCGTTTTTGTTTAAAGCCGCCTCTTAATCGTCTGTCAGTTAGAAAGGCAATTACTTGTGGCATGAAATAAAGTGCATTGGGTTCGGGATGCACTCTGAATTCACCAAATGTCCGGTTCTCTGCAAAAGTCTCGGGGGGGGGGTGGAGAGGAATACAGAGACAAAAGATATCTGAGCTGCAAAAAGACGAGCCAGCAAGTCTAGATGGCAACTTACAAATGAAATTGACTGCTCATGTGTGAAGCTAAATAGCTTTTCTAAATTGCAACATTTTTGTTTTAATGCTTTTCCCAGAAGACGGGCACAAAGTGGGAATTGTTTCACGTTTCAGAAAGTGATACTTGCAACGTGTGCTGGCTGTTATGTGTGGTATGGCACACTGAAACCTGCAGTCAAATGACTACGGCCATATACCATAATATTATAATCCCACTCACAATCCCACAGCACAACTGTACCAACACTGTCCTCCCCTGCCGTCTATATTTAAAGTGTCTCTCATAGCTCGGGAGGGTGCAAATCTCAGCGTGTGGCTAGTATGTCAAATGTGACAATTATAGGCCGTCGTGTGCAACCCTTGAATTTGTTTTTGGACTATCAGCCCAGCGTACGATTGATCATCACATTGTTTTAGTGGATTTGAGATGTGAAGACTTTGTTCTTTTGCATGTTAGTGGGTCCCATGGCTGCAAAAACTAGACTCCTAATAAACTGCAGGCCGGCGTAATCGCACCACAGAACACTTACCTGCAATTTTAAGGTGCTACAGTTGTATTAATGGCAATTAATTGCTGTTTCCACCGCGTGTATTCTGTGTGTATTCTCCCATCACATGGATGCTCCTGCACACATTTTCATCCCTGCTCTGCCTGGTTCTGCGCCTACTGTCGCGGTGGCAGGCGTTTCCTCCTGACATTCATGGATGGGCATAGTTGGTTGAGTTCGATTTCATATGTCAAGGAGGTGATGGTAATTAAACGGGTGCTGAAACCCACACCTTACGTAAATGCAGCGCTCCTCACCTGCCTGTTTGCTGCAACAAAAGACCTCCACTTGCACGGAGGAGAAGAGGCGAGCTGCAGGCAGGTGTGCAGCAGCTGCTCCTATCTCTAGGCAAACACTGGCTGTTTGTTTTCTTTAGCAAAATATCGCCTGTTATACAAGTGCACACAGCGTTTAGGTTGCACTTCGGACGTTAACTGCTCTCAGAACAACACATCAGATTGATTTAGCTGTATACGTTACGGCTGATTTTTTATTTATTTCACCTTTGGAGGATGTTGGTGACGTCATGAACAATGTGATCGTTGCCTTCTGTACACTCCTTTGAAAGTTAAATCTCCAAATGAGTTTCATAAATGTGATAAAAGTAATTGAGTCACGTTGCGATGCACTTTTTGTATCACATAACCTCTTATGCGAGGTCGTTATACAAGTTATTAAATATTTGATGGAATCTAGGGAGGGTTAGATTGTAGAAAAAAAAATAAAGTTAGTGTTGGTTAATTCCCATCATCACAGTTGGAGGTAACTCATTAGTTTAGTGTTTCTTGCTGAGGTAATCGAACGGAGAAAATTGGCAATCAGAAGTTCACTATGAGAGCGATCAGCGTTTCCACATGTGACTGCGTTTCACTTAGTTACGCAGAAGAAGTAGAGCCGTCATCCAAGTTCCTGAAGTCTTCTGGTCCGTCGTTGCTTTTTTAACATTTAAACTTCTCATATTCGGAGGAAGCATATGGATTTTTGTGTTTGCTTTTCTAGGATCTTTTTCATGGAGGCTGGCTGAGGAGGTCTAATGACTTGGACTGGTTTAAATAAACGCGGCTGTCTTATGGATTGTTTAATAAAATGTTCAGAATTGAAACTAATAACATAATACCTTCTGTAAGTGAACCTGATATACGCCTTTATTGAAATCCAGCAAATCCTTTTAACAGACACTTCTGTGTAATCCATCAATTCAACAAGAGCCACAGATGTTTTCACATAAAAGCATTGATCCGTTTATCTTCCATCGTGGCCTTGCTGCCGTAGCTTTGACCCTGCTTCACCCTTTGACCTTTGAAACCTTAACCAAGTGGTGATAACCACTGTGCCTCCTCCTCCTTAGAATGATGACTTTCATCAGCATCTTTTCCGTTTGAGAAGGAACAGACCTATAAATCTCATTTGATATATGCTGCTATTTGATTTAGCTCCTTATTACATTATATGATTTAGTAAAGCTTCTGTCTTGTGCTGCCTATCAAGGCCTTATAAATCTCGTCAATGATCTAGTCTTGCTGTCACTAGGTCTCTTTTAGAATAATTGGAAAACATCAGAAGACAAGTTCTTTGTTCTAGAGTTTATCTCTTACATTTAATTACGTAAACAGCGTTGTTGTGATTCTCTAAAAACTAAATCATTTAACTACTCGTCTATGGAATTGGCACAGGGTATATATTTTTGGGGTCTTAGTTTATTGCTTTCTGTATAAAACTGTGGCACACAACAACTTGCCTCAGCATCCCTCCATCCATCTCGCCGTTAGCCTCGCTGTCCCTGAAAGGACAATAAGGATGATCACAATCAGAGCACTGATGCAGCGTTTTCAGCCTTTCAAAGTTTGACGCTTTGTCTTTGAGTCTTTGTTTCTCCTCCCTGCAAAAAGATCAACAAAATTCTGGCGTAAATGCATCATCCTACTTTTTATTATTAATCTAAACCAGTGTTATTTTGTTAGGAGGACGTCTGATTGGACGGACTCCAACCGCTGGATTATCACTTCCTTTGCTCTGAGAGTCCTCGCCCCTAATCTCTAACTCGGGACTGTTGCTTCTGCTGCTGTTTGCGCTGCACGGACGCCGCTCCCACCTGTCAAAGCGCTGTGTCTGATCCTCTAGTCAGTTCAGGGTCACACTTCCCTCTCATGCATGGGTAGAATCTAATTTGCTGTGGTGAAAGGACAAGGAGACATTGATTGAAATTTTGCCCTCTGGGCATCTAGTCCCCTCGTTTCACATGGACCTTGACAAGTTATTTTCCAGTCGCCTGGCGGTGCGAGCTGCGTTTGACCCGCCGCTTACAACAATGAGCAAAACAAAAGAGCGAGCTCAGCTCATTCGATGCATCGCGGTCGTGTGCCACTGCAGAAGTGGAAGTGGGTGATGGGTGTCGTTTTAATCGTTTTAAGGGTGCTTAGGGTACCAGCTTTAAACATGAACAACTCATTTATGATAAATAAATAACAATCCAGACCTCGTTCGGACCCGCTCTCTGACAAAGTAAGAATGTTATTGCGTAACTGCTCCTCCTCCACCAGCCCCACCCTGGCGTCACCCTGTGTCCATTTTGTGCGCTCCTTCACGTTAAGTAGGAAATGATTTTCCACCACCTGCCCGTGCCAGAAACTCAGAGAGCTTCACTTTGTGCTGAAAGATCCGTTCTGTGCCATGAAGCCACGGACTTCCCTTTGTTTCCGTACTGTAACCCATCAGACTCTCTGTGGATCCTGTTGTGCTCACACACACACACACACACACACACACACACACACACACACACACACACACACACACACACACACACACACACAAGTAGCAGCAGCACGAGGCTCATCATCTACACAGGGCTATTTTTCGTTTAGGTCCTGCATGATATCTTGTAGTGGTGAATATTTGACGAGGTCTTTGTCTGCCTCTGTGTCCATGTCGGTTAATCCGATGGCTTTTTACCATCGCTGTCATGACAATCAAAAGGTTTTATCAAAGCAGGCTAATGACCACTGCGTCAAACTCAGTCAGGAGCTCCAAGATGTTCCGCAATATGGATACGGATTTCAATTTTTGATGCCACTGTCACTCCCGCAGGAATCCTGAAACTGAATTTGTACATGCAGCTCATCCCTCAGGAGATGTTCTATTAGATTCCTTGATGACTGATGAACAGGGTTCATTGGATCTTAGCTTGTGTATTCTCTGAGGACTAATTGGATTACATTTTCGAGTAATTGATTATTATGTTACGGTATGCTTCATGGTAACCTGAGTAATCTACCTGGAGCCTGACTACCTCCTTCCAACCCAGATCAGATATCGTATTACTCTGATGAAAGGTTTGATGACTGTGTCATCATAACAGGATATTACTTTATTTCCTAATTATGCCGTATTGTTTGGAACCTCAATCAGGACAATGCTAAATTCAGGTTGTAGATCCAGCGTGAAATGAGATTTGATCATGCATACTGGCACGGGAAACCAAGAGGGAGAGATTTCCAAACCTAGTGATCAATAAAAGCCATCGTATGTAAGTGAATGAGCTAAACGTGCAGATTTCTGGTGAATTGATCCTTAATGAGACTCATTCACATTACTGTTACATCTTTGGAGGTTTCAGAGTGATTATGATTTATTTTGTGTTTGTTTCACCTTGATACGCTGCAGCTACTCTTGTTGATGGATTATTTGAAAATGTGGATATGAATGACTAAATTGGGGCTGCGAAATGAACACAACGCGGAACAAAAGGGTCCATATGACGTACCGCAGAGATGATTGCACACATGCGGCCATCGGCCGTTCTCCCCGTCGGTCTCATCAGTGGAAAACAATCAGCATCACTGTTGATTAGTAAGGTTATTGATTGGTCTGCTGCCAGATACAGGCCCTCTTCAGTGGGTCGTTACCAGGGGCAGATGCAGCGCACGTTGACCTTGGGAGAGAAAGGGCACCGGGCTGATCTCCCACAGCTCCAGTCGTACCAGCAGCGGGAATAGAGGGGGGGAAAAAATCCTGCACTCCTCCTGACGTTGACAAGGAGGCTCACCGAGGACGTCTGGCTGGGGGATCCACGTTTTTATTTCATTCACAGAGGCAGGCGCAAGCTGCGGGTTAGTCTACCACATGAGCTCATAGCTGGTAAATCTATCAGGCGGAGCACGCATTGAGCTAATTGAGTTCCTGTCTTTGTCTGGGACAACGGGGAGGGCGTCTCACCCTATCGGCTCAGTCCCAGACACACTGTGGTCTGTGGCTGACTGAGCACATGGCTGCAGACTTTGTGATGAGCGCGTGTCCTTTTTGTCCTTCCACAGTTTAGAATATGAAACGGAACTGACACAGGCCGTAATTAACTCAGGGAAAACTGCCGCCGTCAAAGGCATACGTGTGTAGACGAGTGAAGGTTATTTTCTGTTGTGGTTGTCGCCAAATAAGCAACGTATGAGTTCATTTTCAGTATACCTACTCAGGAGTGCATGATATATTTTGTAAACACAGATTGAGTGCTCCCCTCAAACACTGGCTTATTTACTAAATTACTTACCCTGGCTTTTTGAAGAAATGAATATGGCGGCTAACCATCGGTTTTATTGGTGTTTGACGGCAGTAAAAGGTCTGCTGGCGGTTTTAATATTTACACACTTTGAGTAATGGGGGGTCAAAGACAACGTATTGAACACGTATACGGCATAATCTGTAAAGGACACGTTTCAGTGTTCTGGTATTAGTGCTCCGTTTCAGTATTATTAGTTTCAATCGTTTTCTTGAGTGGTCATCAGGGATGAAATGTCGTTATGATTTCTGTATTTCTGTAATTCTTGCGCATCATTTAAGGGAGCTAATGAGTCATACTTCTGGAAAACCCTCATCATGGATACACAGAGCAAAGATGCCATTTGTTTAGAGAGACCTGCTCGATCCATTCAATTAATTAGTTTTGATATAAACTTGCTTGCTTTTTGTTGGCTTCAGTCCTGGAAAGAAATTTAATTTTGAATGATATAGACAAATTGTGTTGTGTTGGGGTCCAGTGGCCTTGGCTTTGAGCCGATGCCGGCATTCATAAATACACTCAGCCGTCACTGGTTCACATGTTCAATCCTGTAGCTCTATTTGTTAAGGTGCTGCCATCCGCTCCGTTTGATTCATGGCGGTTTCATGTGTAGGAAGTCTGATTCATTTCTCTATTAATAGAACACACAGTGTTGAGATGAGTATATTTGTACCTTGTTAAAAAAAAACAATTTAATCCAACATCTTTATCATCTGATGAAATTAAGACAAGCATTAGGCTAATAATGTATTATGATGATAAACTGAGCCTTTGGCAGTGAGATAATAGCACCCTCTGATGGCTCTTTGAAGTACATGTTGAGGCTGCATGCTTGTTTACAATTAATTCTTGTATTGTCTCACACAAAAAGACAAAATTCAGTTATTTTGCTCTTTGAAGTATATCTTTTATTAATTCTTAAGAGTTGCATTTGAAGTGTTTTCACAGCATGCATCCATGTTGTAGGCCTACTACTATAGAAAAGCCATCCAATGCCAATGATTCAGTCTGTCTCTAAAGGTCCTACAATGTTGCACTGTGTTTCCTCTAATATTCTATCGGTGCCCCCCGTGTCAGACGGTCCTACCGCCGATTTCCCCTGTTTTGTAATGCGAGATAAAGAGAAGCTACATTTTTTTGAGTAAGACATGAGTTTTTTTCTTTTTATCCGACTAAACAATCCCTTGTACAATCCTTGTTTTTTTACCAGGAACCTTCAGGTTATCTTTTCATGATGTTTTGGTCTTGTTTGAAATCTCCATGTTAAATTAACTTTGAAAGATATCCTCTGTTATGCAACTCAGGAAACAAACATAGCCAATTTGATTAACCTCGTTTATTTGCTGGTGAATATCTATTTCCCTGTTCTAGGAAGAACTTTTCAGATCTGTCAAACATAGTGAAGACTTTCATTTAAAAAGATACAACATTGATGAATGAATTATTTCAGTGCCTGCCCATTATATTTCTTGTCATATTCTCATTTTCACATTATTTTCAGGCTTTCTCAGCTTTTTTTAAACCTTTTCTGACATCATCATAAAATATATTTTATTACTCAACCGGTGCAACCAAGACAGGGGATTGATCACATCCTGATGGAACTTTTTGGGGTGACGTCTATCAGGTCTAAATACCAAAATCATTTGTCATCATGAATGACTCTAGTTATTCATGTTGGGGACAATATAGAAAAATAAGTCATAATAGTATGTCTCCTGAAACTGCCCCAGCAAGATTTAAAAAAACAAATGGTCCGTTGTTTGTTCTTGTCTCAGGATCACTTTTAATAAAAAGGGCTGCAGCCTCCCTGAGTGTATCTCCATCCTTCAGGAAGGACGGCCACATTTTATCCATCAGCTCGGCCTCCTGTCATCCAACCCCCGCGAAATTAAATCAATGTCTGAAACCAGAGCCGATGCCTCAACTGCACCAACAGAAATAGAAAATCCAGTTTTGCTGTCTGCTAATGACATTAGTGCGCTCCCTAAATGGTTGCCTACCGTCGTCAAAGAGGAACATAACAGGGATATAATTACAGGAGGAAACCTCACATCTCCACTTTCCTGTAAAACACATAGCCGCCTATAGCCCTTTATGGATTTCCACAACACACACGCACACATTCTAAACCACACCCCCCCTTGACAGGTAATGATTCATCTCTCCTCCATATCGTGTTATCCCTTGTAATTAAACTTTTCAAGGTGAATACAAGGAGAATCGGAAACCACATGTTATTGACCGTATGAGACGTTCATTAAAAGAGCTGCATAAGTGTCATTTGAGCCCTACTTTCAATATCCGCTAACAGATGACAGTCCTTACGGGGGGGAGGCTCGGTCGTATTCCATGTATGTGTTATTTCCATTCAGTGGCCAGACAGCATTGTCAGTGAGCATTGTTCTCACAGTTAAATACCCAGAAAGAGATGATAACTGCTGTTATCCTGCACCGTAATAATACTCAGGTTATTATCTACTGTCACAGCTTATTTTCAGTGATCACAATGTTTCCCTTAAACTAAACCCCCCTGTGACTCCCTTGGCCGCCCGCTCTTTAACTTCTGGTAATTTCTTCTTTCCGCAGGAGCGACGGGGCTGTACTTCCCTCAGAATGAGTACACTGAGACGGTGTATGTTGGCCAGCTGGCAGGGACGCCGATCCTGCAGGTCCACGCCATGCTGGACAGCGACTCCGAGCGCTCGCATTTCTACCTGTGCTGGACAAACCCACTCAGACGTCCGGCCTACAGCTCCTGGTTCAATCTTGACATCAACACGGGAACACTGTCCTTGAACAAAACCCTGGAAGAGAGCGACTTCGCCTCGCTACGTGAGTTGGATGCGACCGTTTTTACGGCAATGCACAGTTTTTGTCAGTGTGCCCCACACACAAGAGTGAATCAGTGTCTTGACGTTTATCCCTTTTGCATAATACTTTGGCTCCTTGTTCAGGTCTCTGCCCTCAGGATGATAATGCTAATTGCATAGAGGCAAAAAAATGTGCTTAGTCATGAAAAAGAGCTGTCTGAGATTAAAACGGCGCCTGATTTTGTCTCGGCTGTTTTTCCCGTCAGAACACTCATGGTCTGTGAAGAAGTTGTTCCTGCTTGCCATGGTGATACCGACCTTCACCAGGAAGTCCCAGTGCATCCGAAACTCCCCTCGGATCACCCTGGACTTTGTCAATGCCACGATGCCTCAGTGTGCTCAGACGGATATGAAGGAGCTGTGCTTCCCTCACAGAGACACCTCCAACCCCCACATCATGGAGAACCGGTTCCCCGGGGCTCTACGGCAACTCAGGCGTCTCACCAGACTCAACGTCTGCCCCAACTACACCATCACCTACAACGTGGAATCAGGTTGGACACTTGCACTTTGTGACTCGTGCAACATGAAATCGCACATTATTTCTTGACAAATTGACAGTTGAATTCAAAAGCAACAAGTCATAACTTCATCCAGGTATTCTGCACTACTAGTCTGACCGGTATAGTGTATAAGTTAGTAAACTTAAGGCAAATATGATCATTTTTTAACACTTTTTTAACTATCGACTTGTGTTAAACTAGTTAGCATTTTAGCTGACAATCACCATGGCGACTGTTAAGTCTAAATCACTGGCAAACCAGCTCTGACTCAGTATTGTACACGTGAGACCCACAGCGTGGTGGCCGTATACACATACACGCCTGACCTTGGTTGTTCCTCTTGTCTGCAGATACTCCAGCGCCGTTTGCTGTGAACGAGAACACCACAGAGCTGGTGGTCACGGCTCCGTTGGACCGCGAGGAGAGCGAATGCTACCGACTCCTGCTGGTTTGCACAGTCCGGACTGAGACGCTCATCACCAAGGTGGAAACTTCGCTGGATGTGTTCGTCGACGATGAGGACGACAATGCGCCGTACGTGAATGCAACGGACACAGCGGATGTTATCATCAGCTTCAATCGGACCAAGGTGAGGAGGCCGATATGACGGATCTGATCTATAGCCAATGTTGGCTGATTTGACCTTCTTCACATTTCTTCTTTCTCTCTTCTTCAGGGGGGCTCCTTTGGGGGCTTGTTTGTCTTTGACAGGGATTTAACCCCCGTCTACCCCATAGACCAGAGTCAGAATAAGTATGTGGGGACCTTGCTCAACAATGACCCATGGGTAAAGGAAACCTTTGCCATAAAAGGCACCTTCAGTGAAAAGAAAGCAGCTCTTGGTGGAATTCGAGAGACCGTCCACGACTACCGTAAGTAAACCTGGCGCTAATGCAAACCATCTGCGTTTATGAGCACTTTCGTTTTTCACACATGTTTGGTTCTTGATTTTAGAGCTGGTCCTGAAGAGGAACCTGTATGTGACTGAGAACCGCACCCTGCAGCTCGACTACCTGGTAAATGACACCACCTACCCCGGCCTGGAAGGAACAGTGCTGCTGCACTTCAACGTCACCATCTTACCCGTCCACATCCGCTTCGCCAACGTCACCCACATGTTCCCTTTGGCCCGCAGAGCCTCTTTCTACGCGCAGGTACTCCTGACTGCCTATCATACCAATCTATTACTCTCGGTTTAGTCTGCTGTTGTCTTAAAGTGTAGGTAGACATGCTTACATTTTAATGTATTAACTAAAAATCAAAAAGGTCTCAGCTGGATGAGCCGCACCTGTTTACATCACATCAGCTCCATTTAATTAGATGTTCCGCCAAGGAGATCAGGATTTCCTCAATGCTGAAAGATTTGAAAAAAGGATTGTCCTGGGAAGCAATACATAACAATACAACTGAGCATGAAACCCTTCTGTACAATAACACCCATTGATGTAACTTTTGGACTTGATCCCAAAAGGATTTAACACTTATTTCTATTCGCTATTGAGAAAATCCTAGCCCTTCAAACCACTTCAAAAAGGTTTTCACAGTGTTAAACATGATGAGGCTGCCATCTGCTGGCCCACTGAGGTGTTATTCGTGAAGCAGTATCTCTACAATGCAGTAAAGCTGTTACATTATGCCAACCTCGGTCTTAAACTACCGGTTGTCTTTTAAATCTCTCGTCCCGTCTCCCCTCAGGTCGGCAGAGTCTGTGTGGAAAACTGCCACCGCTTTGATGGCTTCAGGGTCACATACCGGCTCCAGGTGCCTGATAAGAACGCGTCTGCCGACGTGCAGTCCTGCTATGCAGCCATCAGCATCACCCAGGCCCCGGACGACATGTGGGGATTGCTCTATGTGAACGACTCGGAGGTGCTGTGCAGGCCAGAGTGCCAGGACCTGCAGTACCTGGTGGTTGCCGAGGAGGAGCACACACAGCTCGAGGCCAGCACGCAAATACACATCATACTGGATGGTGAGGCTGGAACAGTCAAGGTCCATTTCATCAGCTTTTAAAAAGAAAAGGTTTAGTCCTCACATGACTATGACATCTGAGCCGTCTCTTGAATATTCGGCTATGTGTGTCTTTGGTACATAGCAAACAAAGCCAGTCAGGAAAGCCAGCCGTACCTGTCCTGTGCAGAAAACAGACGGCGAGGAGACTGCGAGTCGGTCCGAGGCCTCGGGGCAACGACAGGGAGATGCCAGTGGAGGCAAGGCACTGAGAAAGGTACGTTTGATTTAACGAACACACAAACATCATTGGCTTATGTTCATACTAACCATGTGACCATGGAGTGATTCAACTGGAACCAAGAACCATGTGCTCTTTATTTTCATAATTACAAGCACTGTATGTTTGTCATCTGGTGTCGTTTTCACAGCTAGGTTTTCCTCTCCTGCCTCCTATTGTTTCAGGAATTTCTGAAAATTACTCAACCTGCTCCCCGGACCTGCGGACATGTCCAGATAGCTTTTGTGATGCAGTTGAAAGCAAAGATGCGTCAATATGTCCTCAAGACTGCACAAGTAAGAAACACAAGCCTTGCTTTTTATTACGCTGATGGAATTCTGCTAAACCGTGTAACTAACAGTTACAGGACATTTTGTTTGATGTTAAATTCAAATGAACAGGATGATTTATTTATTAATTATTTTGTCTCTGAAGAGGAAACTGTTACCGGAGGTCATGAACGGGGCTTGAGGAACGGGATCCAGGCTGGATACGGAACCTGCTACTGCTACTCTGAGAGATGCTTTTGTGAGAAGGAAGATATTCCGGGTGCGTTGTTGTAAATCGTAAACTGTCGACATTAAAGCAAAATACAGACTCTGAGAGGTTCCTCAATCATGTCATCTAAAAAATGAACCAGCTACTTTCTTGAAATCCCCCAGAGGCGAAATGTGACGACATGTGTAAGACCATCATCGCCACGGCGCTGCTCCTCTCCTTCATCGTCTCCATCCTCCTGTCTTCGTACTTCCTCCACCGGTACCACAAGAACTCGCCTAAGCCCCCCATCGCCTCCGCTGAGATGACCTTCCGCCGGCCAGCTCAGGGGTACCCCATCAGCTTCCCTGCAAACAACCTTCGCCGCGGCTCGCAGGACTCCATCGAGACAGAGACCTTTAAAATACCGGTGAGCTGCTTCTTTCGGCCTGTGACCGACGTTTCCGCTGCTCAACATTTTAAACTGAGGAAGTCATCAATGCTCGTTTGTTTTTCAACAGGAGGATCCTAAGTGGGAGTTTCCTCGTAAAAACCTGGTACTCGGCAAGACTTTGGGCGAAGGAGAGTTTGGGAAAGTTGTCAAGGCAACGGCATTCAGGCTGAAAGGAAAAGCAGGTTACACCACTGTGGCTGTGAAAATGCTTAAAGGTAAGGCGAGCCAGCAAGAGGCCAGACAAGGTGGGGAAGTAGGGGTGATATATGAGAAGTGAATGTCTAAAGAGATGAATGGATTCAGCGTTACGATCCGTTCTCTTGCTCCGTGACAGAAAACGCCTCTCACAGTGAGCTGCGTGACCTGATGTCAGAATTCACTTTACTGAAGCAAGTCAACCACCCGCACGTCATAAAGATGTACGGAGCGTGCAGTCAGGACGGTAAAGGCATCCCGAATATCCTACTCCAGAGTGTGTGTGTTGGACGTGGCCTCTAACTGCTGCATTTACCTGAATAGGTCCACTGCATCTGATCGTGGAATATGCCAAGTACGGGTCACTCCGCAACTTCCTGCGCGAGAGCCGCAAGGTCGGCCCGAGCTACATGGGGAGGGACGCCAACCGGAACTCCAGCTACCTGGAGAACCCAGACGACCGGGCGCTCACCATGGGGGACCTGATCTCCTTCGCGTGGCAGATCTCCAGAGGCATGCAGTACCTGGCCGAAATGAAGGTATTTGAACAACTCGCTCCAACTAAAATAAATATGTGTGCTTGCTGTGGAAGTTCTGCAGTTAAGACATTTCAGATATTTAATTACTTAAGATACTGGAACATTTGCAGTTTCAGTCGGTTTCGAATACCGTGAGTAGAAAGTTCTGAAAGAGGTTGTTAGATTTTTTGTTTTTAAGGGCTGAGTGGAAACTGCTGACAGATTTCGTTTGAAGTATAAGAGATGAAAGCAGTTGAAACGTCAGTAAATGATGGACGGTCGAGATGTTGGTTGTGGTGTTTCTTGACAAAATAGGTTTAAACATTGATCACAGTTGAAGCCACTCACGGCGCGATGTGTTTAATTGAGGCTTTTGGTGCGACAGCTCGTTCACAGGGACCTCGCAGCGCGAAACGTTCTGGTAGCCGAAGGGCGAAAGATGAAGATCTCAGACTTTGGCCTCTCCAGAGACGTGTACGAAGAGGACTCATATGTTAAGAGGAGCAAGGTAAAGTGCGATAAAGATAGAAAAGCATTCATTCTAGTTTCCTTACAAGAGCCTTGAAAACACTCTCTTCCTCACCTCCAGGGCCGTATACCCGTCAAATGGATGGCAATAGAGTCCTTGTTCGATCACATTTACACAACGCAAAGTGACGTGTGAGTACAATAAACATTTCATGAAATCATTTATCATGTTGGGAAATATGTTGAATTATCCTGTAAGCATTTAGCATTCCATTCTCTATTTATTGGAATATTCCTATAAGCCCTTGTGGTTTTCTTGCAGCTGGTCCTTTGGTGTCCTGCTATGGGAGATAGTGACACTGGGAGGAAATCCATACCCAGGTATCGCTCCTGAACGCCTCTTCAACCTACTCAAGACCGGTTACAGGATGGAGCGGCCGGAGAACTGCTCGGAGGAAATGTGAGCCCTGATCTGTCGCTCTGCAGCATCTCCTCTGGGTGCAATAACTCCCTCCACCTCATTCAGACAGTCACAGAAATGACGCTGATTCTTTCTCCTCCTCAGGTATAATCTCATGCTTCGCTGCTGGAAACAAGAATCAGAAAAGAGGCAGACGTTCACAGACATCAGCAAAGAACTGGAGAAGATGATGGTGAAAAGTCGGGTATGACAAAGCTACACAATACAGTGATATAAGTTGTTTGTATTCTTCAATGGGAAAGCAGGATCTATTAATCAGCCTCTTTCGAAGACAATTGCAGCAACTTTGGGATTTGCAGCTGCCCCAAAGCAGTATATCAGCTCCGGTTGACTCTGTGTACTGTTGGTTTTGCTGTTTGAAGACACAAACACACATGAGGCCTGACGCTGCTGTTTTTGCTCTATGATCTGCCTGTCTTACCAAAGGCTTTGGATACCGTAATTAGTGCCTGTAAAGATCCTAAAGTGTAGGCTTGGTCCGCTTAATCACAAAGCATGTATACCAGCCGGGCCTCTGCTGTTGAAGCGAGGCTAAATATAAAACATTTAAGCACAAGGGAACGCAGACGGCCCACGGTTCAGCGGGCCAGTTCTTCGCTGTTGTAAAAAAAGGAAGAGCTAGTGGCCATGTCTCTTGATGCCCCGGCAGACAGCACTTGCACCTTTGTGAGTAGACGTCACCGCGCTGTGATTCCTCCCCTCACTAATCGGCCTAATCCCACCTGCGTCTGCTCTTGTCAGGATTACCTGGACCTCGCAGCGTCCACGCCAGCCGATGCCCTGCTGTACGACGACGCCCTCTCTGAAGAGGACACCCCACTAGTGGACTGTAATAACGCCCCTCTCCCTCGAACCCTCCCCTCCACATGGATTGAAAACAAGCTCTATGGTAGAATCTCCCACGCATTTACTAGATTTTAGAAACAGGACACACAACACAAGCTCTCTTTTTTGGCAAGTTGTGATTGGCTTTCCGTAGTGTGCGTGACTGTAACCTCGGCATGCCTTCTGCTGATTAATGCTGACGCGTCTCCCATTTCATCGCAAATGAGAGACTCAGTGAGAAAAAGATCTTGTGTCTTGACTTCTGTGTTTTACTTGGACCTGCTTCTAATGTACATGAATGCCGACCAAAAGTTTGCTAATTGTTAATATTGAGAATACCCTTCATTCTAATTTATATGGCACTGCTCGTTCTCATGCTTCATCTGCATTTTATTTGTAGACATTTCGTCACTCCATCACATTCACATTGTCACCATTCCATTATTTGTTGACATTGGAAGAAACAATGTGCAACATTTGAAACAGGTCCCTGTTTTTTTTTTATTTCAGATTGCCTTGAATTTTCTGACTTTCTAATGTATATTAGCTACCTATCCATAATGATTTCACAATGCTGAACAGAGGAACAGTAAGGCTTTTGAACACAACTCTCGAGTGGCATTCATTTAAAATAAGGAACGCATTAGTCTCGTTACTTATGGTCCACCCGCAATCCTGAACCTCAACATCAACGTAGTCGCAGGTCAAAATATGAGCCTTGATACACGAAACTAGTAAATTATACAATCATAAAAACATAAAGCCAACACTCTTCGAATCAGGACCTTCAGAGACGGACACTAGAGAGTTTGATGTGAAAGCCTTACTGTCTGCACGCTGTTAATCTTTCACTGAGTGCAGACAAATGATATGTTCTCGTTTTTAGGCATGTCATACCCCAACTGGCCTGAGAAGAGCCCGGTACCACTCAACAGACATGATGCCACTAATCCAGTCTTTACAAGATATGCCAATGATAGTGTTTATGCAAACTGGATGGCTTTGCCTTCACCCGCAAAAGCTGTGGACAAGCTCGATAGCTAAAGACAAACCAACACTGTAGAAAAGATGACTAATTAGTAGATGTGTATATTTCTATAAAACTGTACATATACAATCTGATGCTAAAGTTGGGTCCCTTTTTATTTCTGTTGCACGGGTATTCAATGTGTAAAACTGGGGTCTTTTTGCTGCAGAAGCGGCAGGATTGATGTAGACCACGCTTCATTCAGCTCGTCAGTATGTTAATTATTACCTCACGGGTCATGTGGGCCAAGTTGTATCACTGCATGACTATTGTACCAGATTGTATGCCAGTGTCAATGTCTTTTAAGTGCCTGTACCGCTTCTACAATAGCCTCCAATTATTAAAGTGCGACTGTGAAGATCTTGTTCCGGCCCAGGAATTGAAAGGGGACGTCTTCACCCTCTCCCGCTGTAGACAGCTGGGATGGAGTGGAAGAAAGCAAAAGGCTTAACTTGTTGTTAAAAATGTAAAGTTTCTACTTTGGAGCATCGTCCGTTTTGTGTTTCTCCCGATAGACGTTTTAAGGCTGTTCTTGCCAAAGAAAAAGTACCACAGACACAATGAGTGAACAGTTTTATTTGTTTCTTTTTTTACATGAAAGATATCAACTAGTGTGTGCTACTCCAGCGTAAGGACATGAGACTTAATGTAGATTGTGACCTTGTCCCTGTCAGACCACAGCAATCTCTGTAGAAGATGATTATGTAAACTAATGAGTGTTATCATGTTGTTATTATTTGATTATGTTCCAATAAACAATACAAATGTGCAATATGTCTACTCACCTCATGTCTCCAAAAATAGATACTGAGCGTCTGTTGGCACATTCAACTTTTTTTTGCATTTCTCCTTACAACTTAATACATACTATAACAAAAATCATATCACTCCAAGCTAGATTGTAATATAAACCATGACCACTTACAAAATATTCTATACTTATTTATTTAATTGTTTTTTTTGCTGTCATTATTCTCCATATTTCTATGTAATTTGCTACACAAAGTTAAATATGGTACAAGTTTGGATTTCAAAGTTTATAAAAGAAATAGCATTGAGCTCTCACTGCCTGTGAAAGGTAGAGTTTATTGCGAGAAGGAAAAAGTCTGTTTGATGATGACTTTGTCATGATCTCACTGGTTGTACCTTTATGTTAACCCTAACCCTGGTTAATATAGATGCAGTCTGAAAACATCACTAAAGTTTCATGTTTTATGTCCTTTGAATCCTGCAGCTTCTGTTGAGCTTGTTGTTGTTATTGTTGTTTGAATGAGTCCTAGAGACAGGAGGAGCAAAAGGGAGGAGGAAAGAAAGTCAAAGTTCTCCAATACCGCTTACTTTAATTAAAATAGATATGTGACAGACTGGTCATCACATTATCTGTGGTGTCTCAGGCTGGTGGTGTCTCCTGGCTGTCATTCTTAATTGGAATTAATGAAGGAAATGACTAAAAATAGAACCTAATGGGAACATTTCCTGGTTTACTCTATGAACCATAATGATAACAGATGTCATGTTTGAACAAAAGTGATCAGTCTCCAGTTAGCGCTTATTTAAGAAGTGATTCATTCTAGTTGTCAATCAGTGTGACATCACACAAAAGAGGTTTGTTTTAATAGTTTAACAGCACACAACGAGCCGCAAAGTACACGGTGTTTTTGGGTGGATGAGCTTAAAAAAACGTTCGCAAAAGGAAATTAGTTAGTATTTTTATCACGGAAAATCTTTTACTGGCAAGAGATCAAAACGGTTTTATTATGAGCAAGAAGCTTCAGCGTGTACGATGACGACACCTGTTAGCAAAGCGCCCATTGGTTAGTTGTTGACCGGAAGTAGATCACATCCACTCCTTTCTCTCGGCTCCGTGGCATTTTGCAGCTCAGGCTGACTGCTGCTGTTCATTTTACACTAAACTCACAGCTGTAAACAGTCACGAATGGACAAAGACGGAACTATGTGAGTAGTTGTTTGAAAACTATTATAACTGCTCAGCGGGCTCTTTGTCAGATATATAGACATCCAAAAGCGAATTGAAGCTCTGAATATCGCTAAGCTAGCTACATAACCCTATTAATATCCGGTTTAGGTTTTCAGAGTAATGATACACGCGATGTATTTTAACTTATCACATTTTCCACAGGGACAGAATGAATGTGCGTATATTTGGCTAAAGACCTCTTTGCTGAGTAGAAAAACGTGCATGATACAGGTTTAATGCCGAATGTCCCACTAAATTAACATGTACTTTTTTTTCCCATGCCAATTGGACAAATATCCAAATATTAGATTTCTTTAACACAACTCACTTTTGTCTGCCTTATTAGTCTTTAGAATTATGTAGGTGCATTTACTCGAGCATTTCCAAGCCCTCTCAATGTATGAATATTTAGTCTTCCTGAGGTTACTGCCAATAAGATGATTTATTAAGGAGGGGTATGTATTTATACAAATGCCACGGATATCAATGTCGAACCTGTACTTCAGGTTTCATCCAATTCTGTGTCGCATGTGTCTCTTAACTGGTCCTCGGCAGCTTGAAAGAAGACCAAGCTAAATTTAAAGAACATCGTGGTTTTGTAAAACATTGGTTTTCCCGGCATGCGAAAAGTGTGTGTCTCCTGAAAGTTCACACATTGAAACATTGTGACATTGAAACACTCTTCGAAAAAAATGCAGAAGTGATAATGAAGGAATTTACTGCCTTCCTCAAAAATGTCCGGAATGTGTCGTGTCTGTCTCTGTTTTCATGATTGTACAATAGGGAAAAAATCTTTTATTATACAACTTCCTTTTTGGAGTTGTGGCGAGGCACTGGTACATTCTCGTACGTTAAAACCACAAAACAAGCAGTTCTCGGTGCAGAGGTTTAGTCTTTGTCCTGTCTGTTTAACCAAGTGGCTTCTTTGTGTGTATTGTATTGGACTCAGACCCCTGCTGGTTTCATTATAGCAGTCTTGAGCTTGATTTACAGCTTTGATGCCAGGTGAAGACTATGACTGTCAGGACCAAGAAACAGCATCACTTTGTTTGCTGAGTGCTTGAGCTGTAAATGTCACCGTGTGACCTTCAAGAAACAATTGTATGTGTTGGATGAGATGTGGTTTAAAAGGCTCCATGCTGCAGCATATGACCAAGTCACACTACAATCCTACCGCTTTAAATACTCTGGTGTTTTACATATTTATCCCCCATTATACATCCTTTCATTCAACAAGGCGCATATTTTCCTAATTCCGTAGATCTTCTGGAGAGGGTCGTGCTGTTATTTTGAAAGGAACCCCTCCGACCGGAAGCCATCCCTTAGCGGCTTGCTGTGGCGCGCGCCCACCAGTTTTCCTCCGTGCTGTTGTTTAGCTTAGACAGCTAGTCGCCGTGTGTGTTTGCTCAGTTCTTCCTGCCCCCGTTTCTTCAGGTTTATATCAAATCTTCGGAACGCAGTAGAAGTTGAAAACACAGTGAACGCGTCGCTACAAAAGAATGTGGAATTTATCCCATTAATTAAATGTCACTGACCGGTTGCTTGAACGGGACCACGATGTTGTATCATGAAGGTGTTACTTTCTGAGTATCTTGTAAATCATCTACTTACTAATGTATGTTTATCCACAGAACGAGTTCTCCAAAAGTCTCCACTAGTGGCTCCCTCCCTGCATAGTGAGAAATGTGTTGTCTGATTGAGGACTTGTGATTTTTACCCAGGTGATCATCACATGGATTTAACCAGGAGAAATGTATGAAGACACAGTAAAACGACACAAAGGCCCCTCCGACCCTCTGGGATGATGTGCAGAAGCACACTGATGTGATCGAAGGGGAATGCAGACTTGCCAGGTATAGTTTGCGTGCAAGCGTGATGCCCAGGAGGGGGTTGACGCTGCAGGGCCGGGTCCGCTGGTTCTTTCTGGGCCTCTTCGTGCTGCTGGTGCTGCTGCTATTTGCATACCTGCTGGAGTGCACCCCTCCAGCAGACGTCGGCCTGGCCCTGCCCGGCCTAGCGGGCGATCCCTATGGGAAGGAGTACTACCAGGGCCTGCTGCAGGAACAGGAGGAGCGCCACCTAAACCGGGCCGCCAGTCTCAAGCGCCAGATTACCCAGCTCAAGCAGGAGCTGCAGGAAATGGGTGAGAAGCTAAAGCTCCTGCAGGACAAGAAGGAGCTTCCTGGGGTGCAGGGCCTGGCTGAGACAAAGGACCAAGAGCCGGGAGATCTGCTGGAGTACCTGCATTCTCAGATTGACAAGGCCGAGGTGAACACGGGGGCACGGCTCCCCAGCGAGTACGCCCTGGTGCCCTTTGAGAGTTTCACTTCGTCCAAGGTGTACCAGCTGGAGATGGGGCTGACGCGGCACCCAGAGGAGAAACCTGTCCGCAAAGACCGCAGGGACGAGCTGGTGGAGGTCGTTGAGGCCGCGCTGGACATTATCAACAACCCTGATGAGGAGGACGGTGTAGAGGAGGACATGCCGATGCAGAGACAAACCTACACAGAGGGTCTCTTTACAGAAGTTAAGGGCTACACGTGCCTGTGGACCAATGGGGGGGGGGGGGGGGGTCTGCAACTGATGCTGATCATTGTTTTTCATATTTCCCAGGACTGTACAGGACAGAGCGGGACAAAGGCACTCTTTACGAGCTCTTCTTTTCCAAAGAGGATTCCAGCAGCTTCCGTCATGTCACGCTCTTCAGGCCCTTTGGACCCTTAATGAAAGTCAGGAGCACATCTGTAGAAACATCAGGAATGGTTATTAACATCATCGTGCCACTGGCAGGCAGAGTGGAAACGTTCTCACAGTTCCTACACAACTTCAGGTGAGACCAGAAACTGGCTGGCTGACATTTACCCGGCGTGTCCTCTCCAAATGCGTCTTCCGTGGACACCTTTCCCCGAATTCAACCATTGCTTTGCAATAGGATACAACGTTGCTGTTCTTTAAGTTCATCTGAAAAATGTATGATCTATGTTTTCAGAGAGGTTTGCGTACAGCAGGACAGACGAGTGCATCTCACAGTGGTTTATTTTGGGCTGGGAGGCCTGCAGGAGGTGAAGTTGTCTTTGGAGAAAATGTCGAGGTTTGTCCTTCCGAAAGAGCTTTTAACAAAAGTTCATGGTAGTAATGCGTTCTGGGCATTGAAAGCTACCGTTGTTTTTCAGGGAGGAGAACTTCTCCAATTACACGCTGATCCCAGTGGACGAGGAGTTCTCACGAGGTCGCGGTCTGGATATTGGAGCCCACGCCTGGAACAAAGGCGACGTCTTAATGTTTTTTTGTGACGTCGACATCCATTTTACTCTTGGCTTCTTAAACACTTGTCGTCTCCAAGCTGCTCCAAGTAGGTTTTCGACACCTCGTGTATATTCTCGTTTTAGAAGAATTTCATTAAATTGTACTTGACTTGTTTGTTTGTAGATAAGAAAGTGTTCTATCCGGTGGTGTTCAGTCTGTATAATCCGTCCATTGTCTATGGGAATTTGGAGCTGGCTCCACCGACTGAACTCCAACTGGTACGTTATCATTTGTCTCTTAATAGTATATGTACAAATATCATTACATTTCAATCCAAGCGTCAAAGGGCTTCTTTTAACAAACCCATTATCTACGACTCTGCAAATGTTGACTTTGGAAGTTTAGGTTTCAATGTAAAAACGGCTCAAGTATTCGTATCAAATGCTAATTTAATTTCAGTTCAACTGAATATGTGAGTACAAATCTCTTTTCAAACAGATTCACAAAAAAGATGCTGGATTCTGGAGGGATTTTGGCTTCGGAATGACGTGCCAGTATCGTTCAGATTTCCTAAATATTGGTAAGAACTGATGCCATTAATAATAAGAATGACTCCCAAACGACTGGTAACCTCACGTTTGTCCCTCCAGGTGGGTTTGATCTGGAGGTCAAAGGCTGGGGGGTGGAGGACGTCCACTTGTACAGGAAGTATCTCCGGGGCGAGCTCATCGTGATTCGGGCGCCAGTTTCCGGGCTTTTCCACCTGTGGCACGAGAAGCAGTGTGCTGACGAGCTGACGCCGGAGCAGTACCGCATGTGCATCCAGTCCAAAGCCATGAACGAGGCCTCCCACTCGCATCTGGGCATGCTCGTCTTCCGGGACGAGATCGAGGCTCACCTACGCAAGCAGGCCTTCAAGACCGAGGTGAAAACCGAGGACTGAAGCGCGCCGCTTCCTTTAGACTGAGGCGTTTACACGGCGCGCAGCTGGAGACCAGTGAATGTACAACTAATGTGAAACGCAACAACATGGTACAACAGCATTACTAAACACTAATGCACCGTCAGTCCGCTAATATTTAACTTGCTGGATGAGAACTAACAGGTAACGCGTCCCGGGGATTTAGGTGGACATTATTCTTGGGGAATCATACGTCTCATTCAGCCGTCCGTCCAACGGAGCAGCTGATGTGCAAGCAGTCTGCTCCCCGGCATCTGCTGCGGCCCGACGACCTTTCTAATGTCGAATGTGACCTCAATCAGCAGATTTCTGCTGTTTCTGGGGACACCCCCCCCCCAAAAAAAAGAGTCAAACCAGATCAAATGCAACAAGCTGTTGATGTGTAGAGGAGCTTTTTAACACAGAGAGAAAGCAGCTGCAAAAGGGTAAAAACTCAAACTACATTTATTTATTTACTATTGAGAAAAGGAAAAATAAATTGCACTTTGTTCAAATGGAGGATAAACAATGTCATTTGACCCACAACCGGTCTGTTAATATTATTTATAGTTTATTGGACAAAAAGGGAAGTCATTTTGTGTTCAATGTGAGTCACTATTCTTTGTGATGAGTTCTACAGAGAAGCATGATTTAATAGCCAGGAGCAAAGATTAGCTTATAGCATGCAGCGCTATCAGGTCTGTGTGGGACAGTATTATTGTCTAAACATTAACAGCACTAGTCATTTCTGCCCGGTGAGTGACTCACTACGTTAGGATTTCCAATACTGGACTGTATTTGAATGTTAAAGCTACACGTGTAAATACTTTTCTAATTTTGTTTCATACATGCGAGTTGTGCAAGACTTCATGCTTGACATGAAATGTTTTTAAAATGTATTCCATCTCATGAGTGGATGTTGCGGTGTTAGAGGTGTGACGTTACTGAGGACAGCTGTTAAAACCACATTAACAGGAAGAAGTGCTTCATTTTTTTCTTTCAAAGCAGCCTTTTCTTGCATCTCATCCTGTTTTCAATTAATGTTTTGCTAATGTTACAGCTTTTTGTAGAAACATTGTCCTCATCTCAGCAGCACACAAGTGAAAATGAGCAAGGATGGAAATGATTTATTTTGTCCATTAAATAAAACAGGGCTTCATTAACTGCTGATTGTGTTTTTGCATTTGCTTTGATGCATATTGAGTAAACTTGATCAGTTCTATAATTTATACTATAAAATAATATCAAACATGCCTTTCTTTACAAGGCTCATTTGTATGTTTCTTAATTTAAGACAAATGGCATAATACGATTGTATTATTCATCTGCATACAATAAACGACACTAATAGAAAATAAAAACCAGGTAAACTGACATGAAATAAACCAAAAGGGAAAGTCTCAGGCTTATTTTCGTCTGTGGTCCTCGGGCGTGTCAGTGTGCTAGCTGCTCTGGATGGATGCCCATGGTCTTGTAGATCTCTTTAAGAAGGAGTAGAGCCGTGTCTTCAGATTGCCTACCAAACAACAGCAGAGTTAATACAAAGGATTTACGTCCTGCAAACGGGTCACTCGTAGCGCTCGAGCAGCACAGGTGTCACTAATGACATTAACGCCGGCTCAGTTCCACTCAGGCGTCTGATTAAGTCACGCGTGTGCCAGCGTGCACGACAGGGCGGCTAAATGGGATGCAGCCATCATTTGTTGGGTCTATTGATGTGGTGGAAAACAACATCCTCTGCATAGAGAATCACACTAGAACAGAGGAATGTAACGAAAAATCACTACAGCCAAACGGAACTTAAAGGTGGTTATTAAATTCGGCAGAACAGCACAAGAAACTAATCTGATCACATTCCTGGTATTTGTATGAAAACGTATTCATTCAGAACCTCACAATATTATTTTTTCCATTGGCCGACTAATCAGCCGTTGTTGTAATTGTCGTTGGGAGACGGACTGAATTTGAAACCTGGTTAACACGTGTGTGTGTGTGTGCGCGCGCTGTGGCAATGGCGTCTGCGTACCAGTAGCAGAGGTGACTCTGGAGGGCAAACAGGTACTCGTTGAAACTCTCTATCGGCTTCTCCTGGAGCACGTAGTCGATGCGATTCCCTCCATTCAGCATCCCGACCTTTATCTGAGGCTCCTCCTCTTTCGGAGGCTCGGGGATATCTGGGATCTTGTGTTCTGTGACAAACCAGATTGGCATTCAAAATATCTCACCATACGGAAAGGACTCGACTGAAGGGCCACCACACTCACCCTCCTGCGCTTGCTTCTCCTCTTCTTCGATCTGATTGGCTACCATGGCCAGCTCGGCCTGCAGCTGGGCGGAGGAGGTGTGAGCGCGAGCGAAGTCATTGAGCGTCTGCCAGGCGCTCCTCAGGGAGCTGATGAAACCGTGCTTCAGGTCGGAGCCCATCCTGGTGAGGCTCTCCTTCAGCTCTGAAACACAGACACTCATTACTAGACACACCGGCAGGGAGAAGCTGATGGTGTGTGATCGACTTACGGCATCGCAGCATATCTACCCAAACCATGTACTATTTAAAGGATTATTAGCGATCCATTAGTCATCACAATGAAACGCATCCAAACACACTCAGAATAGAGTCTTTGTATTCTGCGAGCACACAAACAAGGGCACTCCACCCATGAGAGACAGAGAGGCCCGAGCGGAGGACGGCGCAGGAACAATAAACCAGAGCTCAGCGACGCCATGCAGCATTAACTGTAAATGGACCACAGCGGTCTGGTTATGGAAGAGCAAGAAAATGATGACAATCAGTGGGGGTCGTACCGAGATGGAGCCTCTTCCTCCCTTTGTGGTGTGGGATCAGAACAGGCTTAAAGTCCACGTCTGGGATTATCATGGGCTCGATCCTGTATGCCACTGGGTCCAACTGAAGGAAAATGGGTCATTGATTAAGCCATCAGACTGCAGCTTTACTGCTTTCATCAATTAGAAATACATTCAGCCGCTTAGTTTGTGTTTTCATTCAGTCACTATTGAGTCAGGTTTAAGGGGAAATAACACTTTTCATAACTTTAATATAACACTCGAAAGTGAAAAAGTGTCATTTTAAGAAAGATAGCTTCTGCTTTTGCACGCTACATTTGCTATTTAAATCAAGGGAAACATTCTAAAACTTAAGTTGGCAAATAACATTCTAGCATCAGCAGTAAAACTGCTCGTCCCTCCCTCACTGAGAGCAAAACACTCGACTAGATCACAACTCTTTGCTGTCCTTGCTCCGGGTTAGGGAACGAGCTCTCCGAAGACACCAGGACCGCAGAGAGCCTTCACATCTTCCGCTGCAAACTAAAGACACACCGCTTCAGAATAACTCGACTAAAGACTAACAAATTGTAGCACTTAAATTGTACTTATAACGCCACTTATCTATAGCAAATTGGCTTATTTGAGGATGTTCTTGTTTCCTGCTCTTCTGAGTTTGCATATGGTTGAATGCACTTATTGTAAGTCGCTTTGGATAAAAGCGTCAGCTAAATGACACGTAATGTAAAAATGTAATGTGTGTGCTGCATACCGGGTGGTAAATGTTGAAGAATCCTTTGCACGTGGGCAGCTGGTACGTCTCCTCGATCTTTTCCAGGCCTCGGACAGTCAGAAACATGCCGATCGGTGAACCCAAGGCAAAGAAATGAATGGGCTCAAAGTCCAGGGAGTGGTAAACCACTGACACCTGCAGAGCAAATGGTGTCATTAAATATGAAACCAGAATCCGCTGGAACGTGATCCCTGATCACCTTTGCGGTCACATTTACCTGCCCAGTGCCCACTTCAAAGTAGTTGTAATCGACGTGTACGGAGTTGCCCGCCGGAAGCGTCTTCAGCGACAGATCGGGAGCAGCTCCAGCTGCTGGTGGGGGCGCCGCGGCCTGACTGACCTCCGCCGCCTTCTCTAGGGCTGCTTGACGTGCCGCCTGCAAACCGAGACAGACGCCAGGAGTGCGTTAATCCTCCCCAGCGGTCCTCGAGCCTCGCGGGAGCTCAGGAAACTTCCCGTACCTGCTTCGTCACCCTCTCTTTGACGAACTTGGCGACCTTTTTCCTGGGGCCGAGTGGGATGCCCATCTCTTTCAGGTCCTCAATCGTACACATGAGCTGAAAGTGACAAAGTGAAAGTCAGCAATGTCTTGCATAGAAGAACTTCAAAAGCCAAGAAATACCCTTCTAGATATTCCAGTACTTAATTACCACATTTAAAATGCCCCCATATGATCTTTATTCTGACCACATCCTTATTTTCAATATTTTTTCCCTTGGATTACCAGTTTTGACTTTATGACAATTAAAGGGGGCTTTTATTCTTACAAAAGATTCAATGTCGATCTTCTCCTCCTCAAAGGTGTTCTTGTACTCAGACAAGCCCAGGTGCTCCAGCATGGCGGAAATATCCTCAAACTCCTCCCAGTCTTCTTTGGGCTTCTCTTCCACAGCTGGAGGGGCGACACCAGCGGGGGCTTCCGCCTGATGGGAGAGGCAGAAATTACCACCGGGCACAAAAACACTACGAAAAACGCTTGGTTCTGTCCGTGCATCCACCTGTTGGGCGTCTCCGTTAGCCGCGGGGACGATTGGCACGGCTGGTGCAGAAGAGCCACTCTTCTGATTCGACAAAAGGTCAAAGAGAATCAAGGAGCCTGCAGGCGGGGAGGAGGATCAGTACAATGCAGGTGAAACACAGAAGAACAAACAAAGCAAAGTGTGAGGAAGCTGAGCATCGCCTGGTGTTTACCTAAGCTGTGTCCGGCCACTGACGTGCTTCCTCGGTAGTCCGGGTTCCTCGTCATGAACAGGGCATAAAGTCTGTTAATCTCCTGGGCGACTGTGTCCATGATGGTCTGGCAGTAAGTGGGACTGTTGTAGAAGAGCACATCTAACAACGTCTCATTTGTAAAGTGACGTAAACGTCCAGTGCTGGGCAACGTGATCTTCTTTATCCTCCTGCAAAGAGAAAGAAGGCGGATTAAGAAAAATAAACATACAGAAGGAGTCTGGTGACGTTTTTCTCATTGTTGTTAAATCTCAACGAAAAGATCCAAAGCTTTTGTCACTTCCTGTTCGCTAGTGCACTTTATTTTTTAATTTTTAACTTTAACTTTATTCTTTTATTTTAAACTAACCCATAGAATTATATTTTATTTTATTACTCGTGCACTGTTCTCTTGTTGTCTATTGTTATACTGTCTACTGTTACGCCAACCGCCAAGTCAAATTCCTTGTATGTATGACATATTTTGGCAATAAATGTTTCCTGATGCCTAAAAATACTCCGATCTTACTATAATCGTAGAATACTCCGGTCTTAAAACACATCATGAGCCTCATTGTTCCTTCATTACCACAAACATGCAACATGCAGCGGCTGAGTCACAAGAGCACCAAATAAGTATTAATCCGCAGCTGAAAATAGTCAATGGAAAAAAGTTAATGGATTATTTCCCCTTGTTTAAGTAAGAAAAGTACTACAACAGCAAGCTATTTCTAGGAAGTTGCTGAGCCTTGCAATTGAAAGAAATGCACTTATGGCCGAGTGCTAAAGACGTGGTAGGGAGTGTGAGCACACTGTGGCGCAGACAATTGCACCGTTGGGTCATTTGCTTTCAATGAGAAAAACACAAGAGTAGCACCAGTTTCCCAGTTTTTTGCAGTTTCACGAGCGGAAAACAGAAAATAGCTCCTGAGTGGGTGTTAACCAGCCTCTCCTCACCTGTCCACCCCCGTGGCATCTCCATGTAGTGCCGTGTGCCACTGGACGGGGAGGAACTCCACCCTGCTGATGGCGTGCTCATCCAGCGCTTTGTCAAAGTGACTGTGCAGCAGCTTCAGCGACACGCTGCGGAAGTCGTCCACTGAAAGCAAAGGAGGTTTGTACAGTCGGAGTCAGGGAAACTGTCACCGTGAAGGCTGAGCCGAGTCGGCCCGGCGGCGTGGGGCTTCGCTTACGCACCACACTCGATCATGCTCCGAAACCTCAGGTCGCACACAGGACCGATGCCGTGAACCATGAACACCAGATGATCCACCTTCGCGAGCTCACCTGAAAGAGATGAACGGGATGGAAGTTTTATCTGCACACACCCATGAACATTCAACAATTCAAGTCTGTATTGCTCTCATTTATAGTCAACCTTTAATGCTTCAACAGCTAGATATTAAAATGCATCTCAGTTGATTCAGACTTAACTGTCCCTCATAGAATAGATTGATGGCTGGTACTTCTTCCAAAGTCTTGTGAGATAACTCACCTCCGCTTATGATACTCTGACAATCAGTTTTTCTATGATTACTTCCAGAAAAGCTTCCTTGCTTGATTAACAAGCATTTACTTTATTACAATGTAGGAGTATAAAATGTTACAGTAAAAAAGTTTTATCTTGTTTTCAAAATAACTGCCTCCACTTCACATGAAATGAACTTGGGCACAGAGGAACTTGACTACCATCTGGTACTTCGTCATGGTCATCATCAATGCCTCTCTTCACCACCCTGGGCCTGGTCTGCCCATCCTGAGTGGTGCTCCACTCGTCTGGCATGGAGGAGGGCTGAAACTGCACAATCACCTGCGCGGGCCAACAGACGTCATTAGGTCAAACCGATAGGTTGAATTATTAACTCTGATCCGACAAGAGTTTACCTTTGGATTGTGCATCACAATGGTCTCTCCTGATGGGAACTCCAGCCTACGGTGCCACTGGTTGGTCGACACAGCTTTCTTATATTCCGCCTGAAGTTGAAGACATACTGCTTAGGTATATTTACTGATTTATAACACAGAAATGTCACATTAGAGTGGATGAGAAGGAGATTTGTTTTTACTGGAATTGGCAAGATGTTTTCCCATCGACACAATAACGGTTAATAGACTCAAATATTCTGCGGTAATGTAATAGTGAGACAAACCTCCAGCTTGTCACTGAACTCCTCAGAATAAGGAATAAAGCGACTATCCGTATCCCCTTTGTAGAACCAACTGCAGCGCCGGACCTCTGTGGGCTCCTCTTGCCAGTACACCGCAGTCCGCAGGCGGTCATAGAGCTGCACGTCGTACCGACCTCCGTCGGTTCGTATGATCACATTTTCTGGGTCTGGTTGAACTGGAAGAACAGAAATCCCACAAACGGGTTAGGGCGTCTCCGTTGCATTGCTCTACACAGACGTCTGGAGAAAAAACATTGAAAGAAACTGCACACCTGAGTTGTACGTCTCCTCTAGCTGAAGCGAGTCAATGATACTGAACGGAAGCCAGACGCTCTTTGATTCCACTTGCTTGCAGTAGAACCAGTGAGGCTGAACAGCCTCGTAGACATTGTAATTGTACGGCATCATGGGACCAGCAGGGACTATCGCTCCACTAGTGGCGGCTGCAGGCGGAGGACCTTGAAACTGTGTGGGAGGAGGCTGGAGACAGAAGAGAAAACACCCTGATCATGAATTCTCCTTCACTAACGATGACGACACATGAAGCTTACAGATGCTTCTTTCAATAACTGTGTTAAATCAAGTTACCGCCAAAGACGCCTGAAAGCCAAGGACAAAAAAGCTTACACGTACTTTTGTGAACGTGGGCCCCGACAGCGGGAACGTCTGTGGCGGAGAGCTGAGGGCGTACGGGTTCTGCTGAGGTGTGTGCATCAGAGGCAGGACCTCTGGAGCCGGCATGTACGGACTGGCTCTGCTGCTTATCGGCGTGTGTCGGTACGGGTTGTGACTCTGTGGCTGCATCTGCGGAGGCGGCGGGGTCATCGTGTGGGGGGGAGGAGTGTGACGCCCCACGGGACTCTGGTAAACTGCAGCGCCAAACGCGGGGGGCGCCGGATTCATTTGCGAGCCCGGCGGGGGTTGCGGAGCCATGGCGGCACCGCTGGGAAAGGACGCGGGGCCCATTGGTGTCGGGGCCGCAGACGGCGCCGTAGAGGGGGCCGGCAGCGGGCATGGCGACTGGCCGATGGCGGCGAACGGGTCACTGCTGGTCACGGGGCTGGAGAAGTAGTTGAACGTAGAGGGGGGCGGCCCGTTCGCAGAGGTCTGACCGAGGAAGCTGTCTTCTTCTCCGACATCAGTGGAATCAACTAATGGATCAGAGCAGTCATTTGAACAGCGATCAACACAGCGCAGGAAGTGGACATTCGTTTAAAAAGTCTAATCCATGATATGGAAAATAGAGAATGTCAATAAACATCTTCAACAAAACTCAAAAGAAATTCTATTTACAGTGATATGAATGATCAACGAACCATTTCAGCTTTAGATAATAGATCACTCATCTTTACCATGAACACCTTCGATTGAGGATGTTGTGGAAACATTGGACATACAACCCAGAATACAGCAAGAATCGGTGTTTATAAGACAGACTAACGTTGGTTTAATGAGTTTGACCCTGACAGGATGTGGCCAGTTTGAAGGCAGAACATGTTTTGATAACTCAAACCTGCTCATGTAGCATGAGGGTTCAGTCTGAACGGAACACATCGCGGCCACCGAGGCTCGGTCCTCTGTGAAACGACAACCGGCTCAGACGCGCCGTTTCCCCGCGTTTCTCTCACTTTTACACGTAATGGCAGCCTGCAGCCGCACAGGACCCGGGTTAGCTAGCTAGCTTAGCCTGCTAACGACAGCGCCAACGTTAAAGGCATTTCTTCAGTCGGCATTTAATCTCACCTCCTGACAACACCGCCGGACCAGTGGCCCGACTCACCGGCATGAAAGGCAGGTTGAAGTTAAACTCCGGAGCCGCGCTGAACAGTAAATTTGCACTGTTGTTGGGAGCATTGTTATTCTTTCTATCTGCCATTTTGCCCCAGAATTTACACGTAGCCACTAACGTTGCTGCCGCGGCTCGGCGGCGGTCGCTCACTTCTCCAAACAGTTGCTGCGCTCACAGATTTCGTTGATCTATAAAGCATCGACAGCGTCCTGAAGTAATACAAGATGGCTGAACACATGGTCTATAGATCTACTCAATCCACGTCGGTCGTTCGAACGTTTTCATTAGTTGTAGGAAAAATAAAGCCTTTATCTCACTACTGCCGCCTATGGGTCAAATTGTTTACATACAGCGAACAGATGCCCTTTTAAAATCATTTGAATCGGATAAAATAACCAATTAAGAATTAAGAATATTATAATAATGGAGCGTACATAATAGACTAGTGGTCTCCTTGCTACTAATCGCATCTGTCACCGCGCGTTTCAGTATTCGGTCGGTGTGACAGCTCCGCGCTCCGGCGAGGCCCCGTGAGGCAAAACAAACGAATTACGCTTCTCCACTGGTGACGCAAATTTCCCGCCCTCACTTCTGCCTTCCTGTATGTGAAACTATCCAAATAAGTGTTTTCACTCATAGCTTCTTTTAACGTTATTACACTTAAAACCCTCCAGAAGTTAGTCCGTGCCCAACGATGCCTTCCTCACATGACTGGATCAACAACCCTCTCGGCGTGGTCGAGGGGATGTTTGGTAAGAGACGCACCGGAACGTCACTCGTTGACACCGAGCTTGTGAACTTAGCCGGTTAGCTGTGTGGCTAACTGCCATGCTCCTCACAAGTAGCCCCGAGGAAGTAATGTATTAGTATTATTATGATGCGGGTTGAGACCTGCAACGCTGGTGTGTCGCAGCTTGTTCCGGCGCCGTTATTCACAGAGTGACGAGATGAAGTGCTGCGTGTTTCCAACACATTAAACAGGTCCGTGATGCATTCACGGGTCTTTAAAGTGTCTTAAAGTCGACTAAAACCGCCGTAACTTCCCTCTATGCACTCAATGGTTTTGAATTGAAAGTTGAAATACTTTTGAGTTATTTCATTGTCAAGATATGATTGATTGTTATGTTGTATAGTTTTTTTCAAAATGCATCTTTGTAGGCAGGTCGTCCTTCCTAAAGTACTTAGTCCTAGCTATTTTGATTTGTTTTATTGTTTGTTTACCCCGTGTTCACATTGTTAGCTTTTAATTACAGTAATCCGGCCAAATTAAAAAGATGAGGCACATTTTCTTTTACTACTGTAAATAAACAATAAAACCATTTTGCTCTTGTTGATTATACCAGCTGCTTCCCAGAACAATCCAAACTCCGGTTGGGAGGCGAAAGCGGTTGAATTCTTTAAAGATCATCTGAACGAGAAGGACGCTCACACCTGGGTAACGCAGCTCTCAGTGGTTTATTCCAAAGAGATGCAGAAGATGCCTGCACACTTACACGCCCGTTTCAACGCCTGTAAATGACTAAACTACCTTTCCTTTTGGCGCAGGTCCCGTCTTTAAACGACGTCCCTCTTCACTACCTGAAGCCAAACAGCCTGGTAAAGTTCCGTTGCCTAATCCAAGACATGTTTGATCCGGAGTTCTACATGGGAGTGTACGAGGCTGTTAATCCATCTACACGCGATAAAGTAAGCGCTTCGTTGACCTCCCCCGTGCAGCCATACATCCTTGTCATGTGTCCTGGGCAATGTTTTGTTTTTGTTTTTTTTAGACGTGATCACAGTATCATCTGATTTGAATGTCTGACTGTTCCCAGGTGTTGCGCTGTGGGAAGTACAAAGATGTGACGGAATGTGGGGTAGGTACTACTCGAGAGAGCCGCACATCCCTCTATTCTGATTCGGCTGAGCTAACAGTGCTACGTGTGTATCTGCAGGTGGATTTTAACTCCAAAAACACAGTGACCGCAGAAAGACAGACTTTCTACTGTGTGCCGATCCCCGGAGAAAGTCCCTGGGTGAAGGAGATATCCTAATCTTGTCCAGATTATGTATGTAAACGTTCCTCAAACTGGCGTTTGTCATGTGTTCTTCGCCCGACTAGTGTCGGAATGTATTTTCTTAGTGGTGTGCCCAAGTTTCCCTTAATTCTATCACACTGCTATGCCGGCCTCAGCCAAGCGAGAGACGTTCCCTCCACCTCGTATGCGCCGGCTAGACAGAAACGTAGCTACGAGGAAGACGACGACATGGACACACAACCGCAGAAGCAGAGGGAGCCGCATGCCGGTACGAGCTGCTGTTTAAGGGAACCTGGTGCAGAATGTGTTTTAATAGACACAAGTCTTACTTTTGAGTAACATCCTCTCGGCAGATGGAGGTTGTGTTTGACTGCTTTTCGAATAAGTAGTCACCTTTTTTTTTGTGTTCCATTATGTGGACTCCTTTCTTTGACTACTTGTATAACACAAGTGAAAGCAACGTTCCTTTCGACTAGCCTCAAGGCACTCTGGGAAATGTAGGAAACTTCTAATCTGCAGCTAGAGAGAGCTGGCACACCAATATGTAAATTATTATTCACGCGTCATTACTTATTTGAAGTGTTAGATTATATAGATCACAATAAAAGTGTAGGTTGGATTGCTCCTCTTCTCTCTGCAGGTCCTCAAACGGCATCGGAGCACCACGGCAATGGTGATTGCAAGCGGCAGGAGACGGAAGCTCCTTCCAGCCAAGTGGCATCTGCCTCCCGTGTCGACCTCAACTTCCCCCTGCCAGGAGAGAAAGGCCCCTCCTGCCTCCTCAAGGTATGTTTTTACCTTAACACAGGGCTTTGGTCCCCTTTTCCCCTCCCAGCTGGGTTTCATTATCCCGTCAGAGAGGCATCGCTCCTCTCTAACGGGGGATTTCTGAGACCTCACTGCTGTTCCTGGCTGACCTGTGCGTGCCGTTGGCAGGTGTACGAGGACTGGGACGGCTTCAAACTGAACGACGCCGTGGAGGTCTTTGGCATCCTCTCCGTCAGCCCTGCTCTCAGCGCCCTGGCTGACGAGAAGTAAGGCACCACCCTTTTTAGTCCCATTTCCTTTCGGAGTCAAGGCGCTTGTTGCTTATTGTTGGTTGTGTCCGCGCAGAGACGCCTCCTCGTCCCTCCTGGACCCCGCCGACAGCATGGAGACGGCCGAGGAGCAGAGAGTGCACAGCCCGCCTGCCTCGCTGGTCCCTCGCCTGCACATGCTCTACGCCAAGCCGCTGCCACACAACAACCCCCTGCTGCCAGCCGCCGCCTGCGAGCAGAACAGTGCCTGTGAGGACAAATACTTGTCTTCTCTTTCCCCCTGTGTTCAAATGACTGAAAACGCCGGTTATCATTAATATTTCCACCTCATATTTTCAATACCAGGCTATTGGACTACACCTGCGCTGACACGAAGCTGAACTGTCACACTGTCGAAATAGATCTCTGGAAATATTTGCTAAGCTTGCAGCAAATTACCCAAGGGGGCACCACCCCCCTTTTGTGTCGCTGCAATTTTACACTTATGTAAATGAGCCCAGCTGCTGTTCATCTGATTTGCATACTGACAGTGGGCTGGTGTGACACATGTTGCCCTGCACTTTGGCGTGTGTGTGTGTGTGTGTGTGTGTGTGTGTGTGTGTGTGTGTGTGTGTGTGTGTGTGTGTGTGTGTTCATCCCGCAAGAGAGAGGACTGCATGCGTCAGCATCTGTCTACAGCTCAGCCAACAGATCAATATTTCAGTTTGTCATAAAAACAACGTGGATGGTTTTTGGTAAAACATTAAAACACTGTTGACTAGATTATTGTTGTAAGGTAAAGAGAATAGAACAGGCCTAAATACTCTGTATTATCAGTTGGCCTCTGCAAAACCTTGACATTCGTCTAGTGACACACAATGTTGAGTCACACACAACGGGAACTGGTGGTGATGATGATGCTGCTGCATGCTTCGTCAGCTCTTCACAAAGACGTTAAATCAACACTCACAGCTCCTGACGGGGACGTTCTCTTTGCACGCGACATGAGCTCAGGTCGGTTACACTGTGCAGCCTCGCCGCTAGATGTCGGCAGATCCTTCCCACGGGGCCTTTGAGGAGCGCGTGCCTGAAGCAGCCATGAGGACTTGTGTTGTGTTTACCTCCTGTATCCTTCCTCCTTAGATTTATCTTCGACCCGGAGCGAGATGGCCACCGTCAGGACGGAGCTGCTCGCTTACTTCACCCACATCCTTCTGGGAGACGCTCTGGCCGCTGAGTACCTCATTCTGCACCTCATTTCTAACGTGTGAGTTTAGTTAGTTCTGTAATGTTTGTGCGGCTCAAACGAGCCTATTTAAAATATTTAATTTAATACGGTGTGTTCAATTTCCTCGCAGGTACCATAGACATGATGTTCTCCCACTGGGCAAGTTCACCTTGAACCTGAGCGGCTGTCCCACGGAGGCCTCGTACACGGAGCGCTTCTACCAGATCATCCAGCAGCTCGTGCCGTCCGTGAGTCAACTGTCACCGCCAGATTATCCATCCATTTATTTATTGTTTGTTTTTGGAATAACCACAAAAGTCACCGCCCCACATCCCCCCTTCCTGCAGTCGTACTATCTGGGCATGACCCTCCAGAACATGAACCAGATGCGATTAGTGCCGAAAAAGGACTATGTTGCCAACCGTCTGGTGAGCGGGGCCCTGCAGCTGGCCAGGAACACCTCCCTCTTCCTGGATGAATCCCGGCTGGAGCAGGGACAGCTGGACACGACAGGTGAGGCCCTGAGGAGGGGAGGGGGGGGGGGGGGGTGCTAATGCTATGGATTCCATTGAGCCGGCGCTAAACGGGTTGTGTGTTCTGTGTGTGTCTGTTGCCCAGGTGTGCGTAACGTCACGGCGCTGGGGAACGTGATCTCGTGGCAGAAGTTCGATTATGACTTTAACTACCACCAGATGGGAATCCCCTGCAACATTAACGTGCTGATCGCGTCGGAGGGCCGCTCGCTGCTGCCGGTGAGGACCAACCTCCCCCCATGGGCGGGGAGGGCTTAGCCTTCTTCCAGCCTCTCCGGAGACGAGCCACATCTGACGCCGGCGTCACGCCGTCACCTCGGCTGCCATTGGCCGGCTGTAGCGACCCCCCCTCCAGCCAGCGGCTTTAGCTCGGGTCTCACTTTGTTGTGAGCGGCCCGAGGAATGTGCCGTGTGCTATTCCTGTGCGGCGGCCTAATGGGTTGTCATGGTGGCAGCTGTGTGCCAAAGGAACAATCCTGGGAGAGGCGTCAGGCTCGGCCCTCCGTTAGTCCCGTGGTGAAGGGCAGCGCGCCGCGAGCCGCTCCCTGGGTTGATTAGAAGTCAGGAGCGCACGCCCGTGTTTACGTTGAAGGGCGACTTGGCCGGCGGTCAGCTGGCCGCGTGCTTCGGGCTTTGCTCCTGTCTGACCACTTTGAGGTTTTGGGTCGGTGCCAAACTCGGCGTGCACACAGCAGGCAGAGTCCACTTTTGCATAGCAACACAAAAAGTGAAGCTGCATTCAGCTCTTCTAATGTGCTACGGTATTCCTCGGCAAAGTGCCCATGTTTCGTTTGTCCTCTACTCCACAGTCCGACTGCCGGATACACCTACAGTCTCAGGTGGCCCCGTCCGACGTGGAGGAGTATCTCCGCAGCATCCACACGCAGTCGCAGGCCTCGCAGCTGAACAAGTTCAGGGTGTACCTGAGCGTGGCTCGGCTGCTGGACTACAGCATCTCTGACGAAGTGACAAAGGTGAGATGACTGGCAGCTGGGTACCAGGCCTATGTGTCTTTCTAATCATCTGTGCATTGGAGTGGCCTTTAACAGCTCGTTCCTGGTGTCCTCAGTCGGTAGAGGATGACTTTGTGGAGATGAGGAAGGACGACCCGCAGAGCATTTCTGCCGAGGACCTGCACAGGATGCTCGTTGTGGCGAGGTGGGCGACTTAAGTTCACATGAGCCTCATTCATTTTTGTTAGCTAGTAAGAATAGCAGCCTGTGAAGCCGTCTTTAAACGTGTTCGAGCCATTATGACACAATGGAAGTGCCAGGTATGAATCTGACGACGAGCGTGGGTCCACGCAACCAAAATAAAATAAGTTGTTCAATACTTTGCCTGGGAAACTGAAACGTTACCACGATGTTTGTAGAATCAATGTGTGTGTGTGTCCTCAGGTTGCTGTCTCTGAGCCTGGGACAGACCTCTCTGTCCAGAGACGGCTGGCTCAGAGCCAAACACATCGAGGCGCTGCGGAGGAGTCGGATGGAGCAGCACAAGTGTGTCAACGGCAACGAGCAGTGATCAAACTCTCCTTTTGATACCTAAGTGTTTGTAATAAAGATGTAGTTCACTCGGTTTAACTTTAAAGGATGTTCAAGTCTTTTTTTTTTTTTTTAAAGGTCAAATTAGGTACAAAGTAATGTCTCAGCCCGCTGTGAGGTTCATGGCAGTGATGCTGCAGAGTGACACTTATGGAAATAATGAGATGAGGTTTGCAGAATTGGTTCCAATTGAGTTTGTATAAATATATAGTGAGTTGCTAGAAAGAGCAAACTTTGATATGCTGGCATGGAGAATTGCTGTTTGACAATAAACCTCATGCAACAAATGTTTACCCATTTACATACACTTTATTTCAACAAAGCTTCTGGGACAAAGTGTACAGTAAACGTCAAGTAAAAACACACCCAAAGAGGATAAGAATAAATAGGATACTTTAATATATATAATACAATCTCAGTACACAGTGGAAAACAATGACAGTCAGTTGGTAAAGAGGAAAGACGACCACGAACATTCAAACGTAATGGTGCTATGGTAGAAAAATGTGCTTAAACAGTGCAAATCAAATGCTTTTAAGACCTCAAGTCACTTGGTAGTTGGTCATGCTCTGGGGTCCTGATAGAAGGGGGGGGGGCACAACCGGACAAGAGGGGGTGGTCGCAAAAGCACTTGGTGTAAAAACGAAGGAAATGGAGGAAAATCCCACCCAGCAAAAATCAGAATGCAACGTAACTGCCAGCTTCTGCATATAAAAAGAAAAAGAAATTGGGAATGTTGAGCGTACGGTTCCTCTCAGCAGGTCGGGACGTCCCTGCTCTGCTGGACAACTGCTCCAGTGTTTGCGCTCCTGCTCCAAGTTTAAAAAAACCCTCCGTATTAAAACTTTGCATTACAGCTATTAACTTAAAGCTTTGGCAGCCCCACACACTATCAGCAGGTTCAATAACTATGATCTAGCACCCTAAAGCAGCCATGGATAAAATCTCACTTAAACCAATTATAGTCCGATAAAAGACACAAATATCCCAACTATGCAGAAAGTATGCAAATGTAACGCAAAAATATGAAATGTGTGACTGTTTATCTTGGGATATTTCAGCTGAAAGCAAACCAGAGAATTATTTATCATAAATAGACACGGATATACAAAGCAGCGTGACCCTGGTTCATTATACTTTCCTCTGTAGGACATTTTCCCAGAATGTTTAACGGATGACTAATGAGTCAAAAAAACATTCAACATAACTACTTTTACGGCTTCACAGCACATGAATATGAGTATGCTGCTCATTCCCATGTATGTGCCAGGAGATGAAATATCCCAGGATAAAGTTCTGACTTACAGTAACTGAACGTGAGCTTTTATGAAGTACACCAAATGTAACGTGTATATGATGGACTTACAAAAAAAAGGTAGATTTAGCCATAAATACCTGATATACATAATCCCACTTCTATTCCCCGTTAAGGCAAATATGCTTTCAGATGGGGGAGTGCATAAAGCGTCAGCGTGTCTAATAATGGATGGGTACGTGGCATATATACCTACTATATGCTACTCGCCAAACATGCAACGCCGATGCGCCGCACCGGCCGACGACTTAATAACCATTAGAAGAATAATTATTTCAAAAACAACTCCAACCAGTGGTTTACTGGTTATTCAGGGTACTGGGCTTTCTTTTCCAAAATATAACGCTCATATCTCTCTGGACATATTGACCCTACCATCAATTAAATAAAAGCTTGCGGGAAGGCTCCACTCGGGCAACAGATAAACATACGACACTCACTGTACAGATCAACAACCAGGGAACTCTTACTACGGTCTTGTGGTGTCATTACTTCTTTAACGGCGTATCGTCTTAAGTTACACTGGACAACATTGATATCACGTGGGATAACTACTGACTCTATGTCACCCGGCTAGTTTCTGACAGCTATACAAAGGGTAATAGTTTACACAGAGTTGTCCTTTGGGAATCCCAAAGGGTGTTTGGTCGGATTCTACTACAACGGTTACAAATCGAGGGCTGTCACGAGGCCCGTAAGTGACCAAGAGGATGACGTACAGTACACGATAAAGTCAGGTTGGTCTGTCAGCGTGCAGCTGACGTTTAACTGCCTGTTCCCGCTCAGTCACATGCGAGGATAGTGACATGTTTACATGCACAAAAAAATACAGTTTACGATGTTGTAAAACCTAAAAATGTTCTTTTGTCTTGTTAGGTGACTCTTTGTAATGAAAAGGACTTTGATGTACCGGTACATAAAGTTATTTCTATCAAATAGTCAAGCGTCTGAATTGGACATTGGTTGAGTTTGCGTGGCAGAAAGGGATATGAGCTAAACCTCCCTGCACGAGAGAGTGACTGAATAATTATCTGCACATAAACATGGTCAACATTGAAGAATATATTTCCAAGTTCAAGTATCACCATTAACCAGGGCAAGTTGAACTAAAGGGCGGCTTTACGAGCGCATTTCTTGGCCGAGTACGGGCGCCACGTGTGGGCTTTTGCTACTGCAGTGTGACCACAAAGTCCTGCTACGGGGAAAGCACTAGATCTGAATGATCCTGGTCTGGCACTGTGTAAACATTGCCTTCAGCTCGTTCTCCTGCGCTTCGTTGACAGCGTCCGGCTCGGGGCTCTTCTGCACCTTCGCCACGGCAAAGTTGATGCCCTGGGTGAGTCCCGCCTGCGTGAGGCTGGCCACCTGGACCATGGAGCTCTTGATCTTGGCAAAGGGCGACACCACCCGGCTGCCGTTGCTGTCGGCGGGTGAAGGGCCGAGGCTGCCCTCCACCTGTGAGCACAGACTCCTCTGAGAGCCCCCCGAGCCGGGCTTCTGGACGGAGAGGAGGTTAGAGCTGGGCGGGGCGGAGTCAACGTCGAGCTGCGACGGCCTGGGGAGCTGAGGCTCCTCGGGTTCGTGCCGCGGCTCGGGGCGCCGCGCCTGGCGGTCGGAGTCCGCTGGGCTCTTGTTCGGCACACGCGCCCCCGGGTTGGGCGGGGGGGCGGCGGCCGGCGGCTGCTCTCCGAATACCTCGACAGGTTTGGTCTGTGCGTCCTGGACAAACTGGTGGCAGTAGGCGTCGATGGGGGTACCAAAGTCGATCAGAATGGCTTCCTCGGCCACAGAGGCGGAGCCTGGGGAGTTTTCGTCGCTGCCTTGAGAGAGGCCCTCCTGCTTCCCGTCACAGCCGGTGACTCTGATGACCGAGGGGATGTTGAGCTCCACGCTGCCGATAGACTGGGAGCGGCTGCCCAGTCGTGGGTTTGATGCTACGATGCCGCAGCTGGGCAGCACATAGTCCACGTTTTCCAAAGAACCAGAACACGGGTGCTCTGGGTCAGAATTGTAGGAATCAGAGTCATCTGAGAGACGGTCCCCGATACCTTTGAGGGCTGCTGTGCCAGGGTTGTTGTCGGACGTCTCCAGGCTACTGTCAGACTTCCACAGGTTGACATGCATAGTTGGCTTCAGGAAATTGACCTTTACGTCAGGCTTAGAGAAGTTGCCCAGCCTCCCGAGGGGCTTGAAGGGGCCCATGTTTACGTTTGTCTTGGTCTGTTTCACTTTCTGATTGAGAGAAGAGAACTTGTTGAGGAGGAAACTTTTGCCCTGCGCTAGACCAGAGCTGCCCTGGACCGGGTCAGCGGGCTTGTTCTGGATGCCCATTATGTCCTCATGAGGTTTACTCTGCCGCCTGGGACACAAACAACATTTAGTACCCAAATCACAGACCTCTGAAACGTTGGGCAATGATGGCTGCTAATGTGTATCCTCATCACATCTAAATATGTGAAAAGGAGACAGAGACTGAAGCCGATCTCCTCAGTGAAGACAGATTAGTACTCACCTATCCAGCCTCTTTTCAATCACGAGCAGGTCCAGCCCCGTAGCCTGTTTAGTTATGCGAAGCATCTCGGCTATGCATTGCAATGTGTCTGAAACGTGTCACAATGTAATTTAGTAGCTGTAGTTTACCTTACAAACAGTTAAAGAATAGAACTATATAACTTTCTACCTTTTCCATCATCATCGGGATTCCGTGTTGCCGCTCGCAGTGTGTGGAAGTATCCGCTCATCTCTTCACTCCTGTAATGCAAACGCATACAGCAGAACTTCGGCTTCCCAAACAGAGTGGGCTCCGGACCTGCAAAAGAAACCACCACTTCACTTCAGAGAGAGAGCCTTCCCTGCGTGACTCATAAAACGGCCGCAGATATTGGTAAAAGGTTACAGAGAAACTGTTTTGAGAAGTGGGAAGTGTCGGGTGACTCAGTGAGCCTGTGAACCCGCACTTCTCCTTCGAGTCAAACTTCTTACCAATTTCGATCTTTTCCAAACCCTCTAAGTTGAGACGCTGGTATTGGTCAACTTTATCAGCTTCTTCGTCGTAGCTACAAGAAAATTAATCCAAGCATAAGTGAAACTACAACAACAAGGTCTAACAGAACAATGTTGGTGCAACAAGTCAGACTTACTAAGCAATGTAGTAGGCTTTGTCAGACAGAAGAAGCAGCACATCCACATCTTTGTTGTTGGCATCGACGAGGCTGGCGGGACAGGAGAACGCGTTGTCATGCAAAGAGAACTTCAGAATCTACTGAAAACGCATATCAGGTCGCAACTAACCTCATGTCACAATTGATGAGGGCCCAACCTCCATGAAACGTCTCATCGTCGGGCAGCAAAAGCTGCATGTATGTCTGCAGCAGGAGGCCGACCTGCTCCTGCGCGCCCCTCAGGCTCTCCTTCTCTTTCTCTTCGTGCTCCTTCTCCTTACTGAAGATGGAGTACAGGTCCTCCGTCACTGGCAGGCCCATCATTAGGTCTGCGGGGAGAGGCGGAGGATCCGTAAGAGTCGATCAACAGGGAGCAATGCTTACATATACAGCTCTACAATGTGTGTGTGTGTGTCCATACCAATGACAGATTGTCTGTAAGCGTCCCTAAAGCGGTTCAGATAGTAGCGGTTGGCTGAGTTTACGCCATCCTTCATCACACCAGCCAGTTTCCTCTCCCCTGTCCGGGTGAAATCTCCCTGAAACAGATCAAACAGTGTTTGCTAAATATATCTTGTGACTTGTGACTCGGCCTTGTGAACCCTTGGATTTGACGTTACCTTGAGCGCTGCTGTGCCTGCGTACTGCCTGCTGATGGTGTCTCCATTGTTGGCCCACATGATCTGATAAATCCTGTAGCATTTGGGAGGCAGAGGCTGTTCTGGAGGCATCACGCCCAGTTTCTTCAGCTGAAGGAAGACGAGAGACGTGTATGACGTTTTAACTGAGAGTACACGCAATGATGCTGCCTCTCTGTAGCTTTACTCTGCATCAATAGGAAAGTTCTGTCTTTATTTCTTTGTATATCTATTTAGATCCCCATTTTTTTGCACATTGAATTTAATCCAAGATGGATTTATTGGAGTTTCTATGGAAGTAGGAACACTTTTGTGTGGAAATACAATGGTTGTGTTTATGTGCTTTATTTATAGAGATTAGTTCTGCTGTACGAGCATCAAAAGGTCCGCCATCCGTGTGTGTGTGTGTGTGTGTGTGTGTGTGTAATGTGATGCGATGAGCAAATATGTGCACACTTCAAGGCTGCACAAACATTCCGTAAACTGCCCGTTGGTAATCAACAGTGACAGGGATTCATGTTGCCGAGTGAATCCGTTGGACCTTTTATGAAGTAATCCAAGTATTGAAAAGTCATATCAAATATGTCACCAGTGATGGAGATATTCTATATTATTAACACAGACATTATTTATTAAATATGACTTCTTTTAATAACACACGCCTTTGCCTCAGTCCAGACACCAAACAGATCTCACCTGTTGTTCCATCACGGCCCGAGCAATAGCAGCCTGGACCACGTTGGTCCTGTCCAGACAGTCCATGCAGTTGACTCTAAAGATGCCCTCCTGCTTGCAGATGACTCCGGCCTGATCCACCCTGACAGAGAAGATGCATAGTAACAGTAATCGTTAACCCAATATGAAACTGGATTTCTAACAAGCACTTGTGGTTAATCAGATTTAAAGACAATAAATAGGCATTTCTCTGAAAGTCCCAAAACACTGATATGACACTTACCAGGCCCACTTCATTTCAGTGATGATATCGGAAATGGCATCGGTCAGTACTTGCACGTTCTCAAACTTCATACCTCGGCTGAGAAACAGGATATAAGAAGCATAAAGAGGAAGTGTGCAATGTGGTATAGAACAAGACTCAAATTTAAAAAAGGTTCTCCTACCAGTGCTCATGAAAGTCAAATGAAACGTATGTGAGGTTTGGGTTGTTGTAAAGCAGGACTTGCTTCAAATACGTGTCACCAATTATCTTCTCACGTCCACTTTGATCCACCAGGTTAAGGATAACCTGAAGAAGACAGGAAAAAGGGCCGTCATTAAGCCTTGTTTATGACATCTTCATATATTTGTGTACACAATGTCCTCTGTTGGAACTTGGTTCTGGCTCGATTCTGATCCGGTCTTGCGCCCTCGCGTACGGCTAAATTGGCACTTTCAGCGAACTCATTGTGGGGATCAATTCTAGTTGGGATGCTCTGATAGGAAGCACAATGGTAGTTTGGAAGTACACTATTTTTCAACCCCAGGCAACAGAATAACCACATTTGTGATTAATAGATGCAGCAAAGAATCCTAAAACAACAGACACAAAGTCCATAAGCATGCACACAGATACCGGAGCATAAGCTCCGGCACAGCAAACCCACCTGTGTCTTGTAGAGTTTAAGCTGTTCCTCAAAGTGAGCGGAAAAGTAAGACATGGTCTCCTTCTCTCCTGAAACAGACACATATGGATGCAAATGATTTCCATGTAATTAAACCTGGTTAAAGACACCAAGAGATCCAGGTTACAAATGATTATAACTTGCACTACACACATGTGCGATTTCCAAAAGACCCTTTTTAATTCCCCTGAAGTTACAGCAAATCTTCTCATATCCAAAACTAGAATTCCTCCAAATCAAAACAAGTGGAGCAAGAACCAATGACTGACAAGATAATTGTATTTCTAGAGAAACCAAAAGAACACTGAATGAAATTACATTTTTTTTTCAAGGTAAAAAAAAAAAAAGGGAACTGGTGCACTTTATTAAAACAAGAACCTCTATTGGACCATGTGAAAGACGGTGTAGTTCCACTGACCTTTCTCTAAGCGGGGCCGGGGATTGTAGCGGTACCCGGCCTGGCTCCAGAACACGGGCACGGAGCCACGAGTCTGTACGAAGGACAGCGTGTGGCTGTGCACGTGGATCAGCTGCTCCGTCTCCACATAGTTAGCCACATGGCCATCGGTATCCACACCGCGGCGTTTGTACCGCATCCCTTTGGACAACGAGGAGATATCGACTCTATTCATGTTATTCAGATCACAGATCATGCGCCAGACAAGAAAAACAACGTCATTGTTTGCCGGATTACTCAAAGCCTTTTGTGAACGAAACCCAATGAGGTGGGAACAACAGGTATCAATTGCACAAGAGGAGCCACGTGTCTGGCTCAATCAGAGCTGTGGTGCACCTTCCTCGACGCCGAGCCCGACAGTAGCCGTAGCTTTACCTGCGCGGTGGCGGCTACGTCTGGAGATGAGGGCCACAGTAAAGCGGGGATGGATGTCATCAACGCAGGTGACCTCCTGTGGCGGCGTCTCCGGGCTGCTCCTCTCCTCATCGGGAGTCTCGTTGTAGTTCACCACCAGTTCCTCCACCTGGACAAAGCCCTGGATGATCGGTATCACCCATAAGTCCACCTCCGGCACCTGGAGCATTCAGAAGAAAAGTCAAACCAACATCAGGATCCATCCATCCATCCATTGTCAAACCGCTTATCCTGCACACAGGGTCGCGGGGGGGCTGGAGTCCATCCCAGCCAACTTCGGGCAATAGACAGGGTACACCCTGGATTGGTCGCCAGCCAATCGCAGGGCTACACAGAGACATACAACCATTCACACTCACATTCACACATCTACGGGCAATTTAGAGTCCCCAATTAACCTGATCCCCAGAGCATGTCTTTGGACTGTGGGAGGAAGCCGGAGAACCCGGAGAGAACCCACGCAGACACAGGGAGAACATGCAGACTCCACACAGAAAGGCCACTGGGCGGAATCGAACCCAGGACCTTCTTGCTGTGAGGCAACAGTGCTAACCACCACGCCACCGTGCCGCCCCCAACATCAGGATGAGAAATCTAAATCATCATCCACAAAGTAGATCATCCTTAGTAACTCTGAGCCGTTAGCCGTAGAGCCGAAGAATTTGTACCTGAAGGTCAATGACGTCTTGGATCATATGTTTATTCCAGAAGAAACGGTCGTCCACCTTTAACAAAGAACAACAACAACAACTGTAGTTTCAGATGAAAGAGTCTTTGTCTTACACTGAGAATGTGTAAGACAAATGGGGCCGAGCAAAGAGTCGTGAGATGTTTCCCAGCTCACCCGTTTCCATAGCGGTAGGCTGGACTTCTCAGAGTCTCCCTGACGCTGCACACTGTTGGTCAGGTCATAGGTCATGCTGTAGTAGAAGGAATCCGAGTCCATGAATACCTTGTACAGCTCGTCCAGCAGCCGCCTCTCCAGGCGTTCCTTCTCTTTATTTTCCTTGACCTGGAAGGCAGGGGAATACTGGATTGGGTGCGTGGATAGAAAAGAGCGAGAAGTTGAAAAAGCAAATCATATGAGGACTTCACAGCCCCAAAAGCGCACAAGGAAAGAATAGAAGCATCTCTCCTGGAGGATGATTGGATGCATTTGAATATAATCACAACAAAAACATACCTTTTTCTTGATGGGGACAGCCACATTGGATTTGATCTGGCTGAAGGTCTTCATCAAGAACTTGGACTCATCTGGGGACTGGACCAGTTTCTCTGGTTTATCGATTCCGAAGTGATGCTTCTTACAAAGCTGAGAATTTGCATTATGACTGAATTGGTATCAAATTGTATGAACAAAATGTGTAACACTACCACCTACAGACAGCCCCAAAAAAGTCTAAAAATACATTTGACTACATTCCGACCCTAAAGCTGTAAACAATCTAACATTTACATTGACCTAAAGGATTTCTAGGGACAACGGGGTGGACTGTTCATACTGCAGCACAATGTACAAACGGATGGGTACTAAAAGCCTAACTAGCAAACGATCAGCCTCCCCCATATTTACTCACTTGAAAATATACTGTCTCACCATCCATGAAGCTCCCCTGAAAAACTAAAAGCTTAGTAATGTTCGAATGCCTTTTGCCATCAATTACAGTGAAATTGTATGTTGTTTTCATTGTAAATCTATGAGTTAAAAATAAAAGCTTTTTTTAAAATTTAAAATCTGTGCATCAACAACTCATTTGGCATCGCGGCCAGTACATCAGAGATGAGTCATACGTTGATGCACACCGGGTATTTTTGGATGCATTTAAATATTAGAATGAGACATTCTAAGTTGCTGTTGTATTGATTGTCAGGGGGTGGAATGCGTGCCGGAGTACACAAACAACACTCCTCATGGCTCATTCAAGAAGTTCTGTACACACCTCCAGCTCGAGCTCCTGGGGCTCTTCGTCGGACAGAGGGATGACGGCTATCTTGGTGATCTTGTAGACTTTGTGGCCGCCTGGTAAATTGCCCACCAGAGCTTTCTGTCGGATTAATACGAGGCCCAGAGGAAGGTCTGCCAAGGGGAGGAACGAAAAGAAGAAGAAGGAGGGGGAGTTGCGTCATGGCTGTACATTTTTCACATTCTTAGAGGTGTAAAGAAAGCAGCAGCATTGACTGCAGATATTCTCTACAGGCAACATCATGTTTATAAATGTGAATCAACAAAATAATATAATTTTTCAAGGTAGATGGTTTGCTTACAAAAGGTCTAAACTACGAGGCACCATCAAAATCATATTTATTATTGATGGAATCATCACATCAGCTTACTCAAACGCTTGAACACATTTTCTCACACCTTTCCTTGTGAGTAAGAAACTATCATTTTTTTGGTCAAGCATTTACTGCACACAGAAGGAAAATACTGGTGAGCATGTGCGTGCTCTGTGTAAAGGCAATATACAGCTGAGGGGCAAATGTTTAAAAGGTTTATCATTCTCTACTTACCCGTGTGAAGCTGGATCTTTCCAATGACACCTTCTACCAGACCCAAGCACACTGGATTCCAGGCCAACAGCAGGTCTGTTGCTGGAACGGAAATATGAAGGCGAAACCTCAGAATAGTGGCGCAGCGAAATAGCTCAGCCAGACACAAGTGAGATCAGATAAACAGCCACGGTGACAAATGACATGAAGCACAGCCCGCAGCCTATTGAGGTCTACGGTTACGCCACGACACGTGGGGAAATGTGCAGCACATTAAGCCAGATAACACACAAAGTTCCTCACAGCAGTTGTGTTGGTCAGTTTCATGTTCACAAAAAAAAAGCTTTTTTTCGATACAGAGTTAAACACTCTTCACCTCAAAAGCTCTGTGTGCTGACATGTTCAAGCGTCAGTCCACATTTGAAGCATTGCACGCACCCGGTGACTCACAGAAACACTGGAATGCCAAATCACTGATGAAGGATTAAAGCGCACAGAAGGGGAAAATGGAAAAGTGTGACGGGCGTGGCTGAGGCTCGTAGTAAATCTCCCGCAAGCCACCTGAGACCATGACACTTCCTGCTCAACCAGTCGCAACATTTCGTGGAGATCTGAAACATTTGGGGAGGGCCAACAGGAAAAGTGCTGCAGAAAGAAGAAATTCTAAGATGACACAAATAATAATAACAACACCCCTTTGCCACTCAGAAAGTGCAATATCATTGAGGCACTTGGCTGTTTGCGAGCGAGCGAGTGGAAACCCAGTGGGGAGTGGAAACCCTTTTCCAATTGAATAATGAAACAGTGGTGCAACTGAGAACCTGTTCAGGATGGCTGCACCTCCGTAAGACTTCAGCTGACACAGCCGGGACTTCTCGTGACTGTAATGAAACTTCTCCTTTGGCTCAGCACTTCTTTCCCGTCCGTGGAGATCCCACAGACCTGCTGCCTTTCATTCAGGACTGAACCAGCAGCAGATGTGCTTCTCAGGTGTAAAGCCACCAGCTGTTTTACACAATTCAACCCCTATGCAATACATATTAGTGTACCTAGAAGACCTCAGAATGGTGTTATAGATTCATTCCACTGTATTAGAATAGTACAGCTAAATGTAGCAGTTCATAAGACAGATAAAACATCTGTTAGTTTCCGCCTCCTTACAATGACACTATGTACAGTATGTGTACTTCATTGTGCAAAGAATATCGGAGGAGTTACGGTGCGTAACATAAGACATAAGTTCGGGGTGTTGGCACTGCCCGGAATAAAAGCTGGGAAGACGATGTCAAGACTAAATGGCGCATCCAACAATTTCTATGTCAAGATGAAAACAATCCCAGCGGTTTTGTCTGACGCAGCTGGATCGCTCGCGCTAACGGTTATCTCCGCGGGGTGCGTTGTAACGTTACACGGGGACATGAAACACGGCGCTTTTATTTCACTCTAAAAAAGGGAAAGGTTACGCGCGATGGCTCCGGTACAGACAGCTGTGCTCGCGCTACGTACCCGGTCTGACGGTCACGGTCCCGTCTTTTCGGCTGCACCACAGAGCACGGTCCCCCCGCTGGAGAATGTAGTCGTCTTTGGCTTGGAACAGCTCCATTTTGTCCCCTCGCCCGAGACAGGAGTAGCTAACTAGCCGGCTCGGCGGGCAGGGCGCAGGGATCTCTACAAACTTCTACGTCTTCGCTGTAGCGAGCCAGAGAGCGCCCGGCTAGCCACTGTTAGCTCGGTCCCCCCGCGCGGGCTGGAGAGCAGCTAGCAGCTAGCGGCTAGCTACCTGCCGAGCTAGCAGCAGCAGCAGCTAGATGCGTGTCGGATTTGTTGATTCCGTTTCCACGCATCCTGGTAATCCGATTCCCTTTTCCACTGGAGAAGTATCGCGTCACGCAGTCACGCTGGACAGAGTAACGGCGTCCTGGGAAGCTGCCGCGAGGAATTTAAGACGCAACAGACAGTTTCCTGCTCTAAACAAAGACACGTGACCTGCACATCGCACTATTTACATCATCCTGTGAATGATTAGTGTGATCACACGTTAGACTAACTGTTCGTGACACAATAATTATATGTTGGACATGTATGTGTGTGTTGTTATATACTCACGATTCTGATCAAAGTGAAAATGAAGTGGCTTTTATTGTATTGTTATTGTTTATTTAAACATCTCATACACCCAGTTACATGCTGCTTGTTGAGTGACAGCAGGGCGTGTGGCAGTTGGGTCTGAGAAATGAGAGGATAACATTTAAAACAAACACCAAACAAAAGCAATTGCGTTTCTAGTCTGGTGTTAAAGTTTGATGTAATTTGGATGGTACCAGAGCACCCTAGGCCAAAGATCAATGATCGATTTTGTAATCGTATCGTCTGATCTGAGGCCGCATGTTCTGGACACTCGGGTAAAGAGAGGGGCAGAGCTGTCAGCTGATCACCGTCTGGTTGTGAGCTGGGTCAGAGGATGGGGGAAGACTCGGGACAGACCCGGTAAACCCAAGCGTGTAGTGAGGGTGAACTGGGAACGTCTGGAGGAGGCCCCGGTCCAAAAGATTTTCAACTCACACCTCCGGCGGAGCTTCTCTCACATTCCTGTGGAGGTAGGGGACATTGAACCAGAGTGGTGTATGTTCAAAACCTCCATACCTGAAGCGAGTTCTGGCCTCAAGGTCCTAGGTGCATCACAGGGCGGTAACCCTCGAACCCCGTGGTGGACACCGGTGGTCAGGGAAGCCGTCCGACTGAAGAAGGAGGCCTTCCGGGTTATGATATCCGGTGGGACTCCGGAAGCAGTTGCAGTGTACCGACAGGCTCGAAGGGCAGCAGCCTCTGCCGTGATGGAGGCAAAGCAGTGAGTATGGGAGGAGTTCGGGGTAACTATGGAGAAGGACTTTCGGTCGGCACCAAAGTGCTTCTGGAAGGCCATCCCGCACCTCAGGAGGGGGAAACGGGGAATCATCCAAGCTGTGTACAGTAAGGATGGGACCCTGTTGACCGCGACTGAGGAGGTTATCGGGCGGTGGACAATGCGGTTTTCGTCCTGGTCGTGGAACAACGGACCAGCTCTTCACTCTTTCCAGGATTATAGAGGTGGCTTGGGAGTATGCTCATCCAGTCTACATGTGTTTTGTGGACTTGGAGGCGTATGACCGGGTCTCCCAAGAGAGACTGTGGGAGGTGCTGCGGGAGTACGGGGTGAGGGGGTCCTTGCCTGGGGCCATCCAATCCTTACGCCCAAAGCAAGAGCTGTGTTCGGGTGCTCGGCAGTAAGTCGAAGGCGTTTCCGGTGGGGGTTGGCCTTCGCCAGGGCTGCGCCTTGTCACCAATCTTGTTTTTGGTTTTCATGGACAGGATATCGAGGCGTAGTCGGGGGGAGGAGGGTCTACAGTTCGGGGGCTGCGGATCTCATCGCTGCTTTTTGCAGATGATGTGGTCCTGATGGCATCTTCCGTCTGTGACCTCCAACTCTCACTGGAGCGTTTCGCAGTCAAGTGTGAATCGGTCGGGATGAGGATTAGCACTTCTAAATCTGAGGCCATGGTTCTCAGCAAGAAACCAATGGATTGCCTACTCCAGGTAGAGAATGTGTCCTTACCCCAAGTGAAGGAGTTCAAGTACCTCGGGGTCTTGTTCACGAGTGAGGGGAAGATGGAGTGTGAGTTTGGCCGGAGAATCGGAGCAGCGGGGCCGGTATTGCACTCGCTTTACCGCACCGTTGTGACGAAAAGAGAGCTGAGCCAGAAGGCAAAGCTCTCGACCTACCGGTCAATCTTCGTTCCTACCCTCACCTATGGTCATGAAGGATGGGTCATGACCGAAAGAAAAGGTCACGGGTACAAGCGGCTGAAATGGGTTTCCTCAGGAGAGTGGCTGGCGTCTCCCTTAGAGATCGGGTGAGAAGCTCAGCCATTCGCGAGGAGCTCGGAGTAGAGCCGCTGCTCCTTTGCGTCGAAAGGCGCCAGTTGAGGTGGTTTGGGCATCTGGTGAGGATGCCCCCTGGGCGCCTCCCTAGGGAGGTGTTCCAGGCACGGCCAGCTGGGAAGAGGCCCCGGGGAAGACCCAGCACTAGGCGGAGAGATAATATCTCTGCACTGGCCTGAGAAGCCTTGGGATCCCCCAGTCAGAGCTGGTAGATGTGTCCCGGGAAAGGGAAGTTTGGGGTTCCCTGCTGGAGCTGTTGCCCCCGCGACCTTACCCCGGATAAGCGGTTGAAAATGGATGGATGCATGGTAATTTGGATGTCATTAACGAGCGTTAAGTATCCCCCCTCCACAGTTTCCAGTCACGATTCAGTCAATTCTCCAGCCGAGCTGGAACTCAAATATGAGTCAAAAACCATGTCAAATACATTTTTATTTTCAAACATACCAAGGTGACTTTCAACAATGCATCAGTCTGCTACTCGTAAACTGTGATTAACACTTCACCACAAATTCACCATCATTTGTAAAGGTGTGTTATGCAGTGACCACACCTCACAGATGGCTTATGATCACATCAGAGCGACAAATTACTACACAAACAATTAGCGTAACCTTCAAAATAACATTTAATATGAAAGATTGACGTTTTCTTGCACTTCATCTCTTAAAGAATTGTCCAACTTCTGTTGGCATTTTTAAGGCCATCTTTTGTGTTAGCGTCATTGCAGATTGTGGCTGTGGTAGTTATACATTCTGACAACACCGATTGTCAAGTGCCAACAAGGGCCGATTGTCGGACGTGTCGAGTAAGATACACATCTCAACTCCGGTTGTCGTTACACATTCATAAATATGCCAAAATACTATGTGATATAAATACTGATAATAGCTTTTGGAATTACAAGTAAACCAATGCACATACAAACACATCAATCAAACCTTATGTAAGGTGTACATTTTAAATGAAGTGCTGATAATGTTTCAGCGTATTACATTTCAATGATGGCAAAGTGCAAAGTCAGTAATGCACCAGAAAGCAGCATCTAACAAACAGCTCCAACATGTAGAGGGAAAAGGCTTTTCTGTTGACTGAGTTGTGCACTGACTTCTGCTTTAAAGGCCCAATGTTTGCAATGTGCACTGACTGGTTTGTTGACTGGATTAAGGAAAGCTCCCAAAAAGATTTGATCAGGACAAAAGCCAACCACACATAACATTTCTTAAGAAAACTACTGCTGCTTTTCATTAATAAAAGGCCTCTTATTCAAACTTCAATTTGACTGGAAATTGTTGACAACACTGTGATCAGGACAGCTGTCTTATTACGAAGACTTCGGCACAACATAGAAGGCAACAACATTGGCTTGAAAAACATGATTGCACTGAGCTCCCATATGTGCCCCAATATGTTTTGAATGGCAGTAAATACCAACACTGTTAATCAATGCATGCAACTCCCACAAATGCTGTAGATGGAGGGGTGGGGCTTGATCACTATCAAATATAAAGCAGGTTGCCCTAATCCCCTCCTGATTATGCTGTGTGAAATCATGATATCTCCTTTGCCAGCTCGACATTTTCCTTGGTGATCATTCTGGGCTCTCCTTTTGGTGTCGGGCTGTCTCCCTCCATCGACATCTTGCTTGCAGGCCTGCCCGGCCGCTCCTCCAGTTGCTCCAGTTCTTCCAGTATGGTCTGGACGCGGCGGACTCCGTCCCGTCTTGCCTGCCGCACGTCTATGCGACCCTCTGGGTCAACCGAGTCCAGCGCTAAAAGCTCCTTGGTCAGCAGCTCCTCCAGCAACATGTATCTCTTATCATTCTTTTTTCCATCAAAGCCTCTCACCTCCTGCTCCAGTTTGGCGACCCTTCCGACTATCTGCTGTACCTTAGCCAGGCCCGGGTGCACTGGGCTCTGGGCAGCCGGTTCACTCTCAGCCTTAACCGGTGGGACCTCTGGGGGAACAGCTGTCATGTCCTGGGACTCTTCTTTTGGAGGTATTTGAACTGTGATATCTGCAGTATGCTGTTGTTGTTGTGGTGGTGGTTTCTCAAACTGAGACTGCATTAACTGTTCGGGATGCTGAGGCTGTGGAGACGTTTGAGGTGGTGCGTGTTGAAACTGTTGAGGCTGCTGAAACTGTTGAGGCTGTTGAAACTGTTGAGGCTGTTGAAACTGTTGAGGCTGTTGGAGCTGTTGAGGCTGCTGAAACTGTTGAGGCTGTTGGAGCTGTTGAGGCTGCTGATACTGCTGAAACTGTTGAGGCTGTTGAAACTGTTGAGGCTGTTGAGGCTTTTGGACGTCAGCAAAAGTGGGCAGCGACTGTGGGTGCTGCACGCTCTCTGGTTTCTGCTGAGGGCCTTTTTGCTCCTGCTCCATTTTCTGGGGTGGCTCTCTGGTGAGGACATGCTGCTGTGCCTTAGGAGGTACAAAGAAGTTGTCACAATCTGGGTCAACACGCGCTGACAAGAAAATCGAACGTTTTTGAGCCCAAGGAAAAATCAAGGGTGAAAACGCACACAATGATTATTTACCTGTGGTCTCTCTCCCAGCCCGACCTGCGTTACAATAGGTGACTGGCTTCTAATATGAGGTTGGAGGTGAATAGAAGTAGCATCGCGATGCTGGGGAATCGGAGAGGCTCTCTCCCGGGCAGGCGGCATCGCCGCAGAGTAGCCGGGCCATTCGTCAGACTGAAGGCGGTAGAAGGGCTGCTGGTGCTCTGAGTAGGGGACGCGCTGGGAGTAGACGGAAGGATTCAACTGAGGCTGCGTCTGTGTTTGGCCTCCTCCACCCTCATGGATCACCGGTATGGGGATGTAACCCGCTTGAAGACCAGTGCTGCTAGGCCGCGGGGGTTGGTGATGCGGGGCGGTGTAGACCTTGAAAAAAAAACATTGCAAATTGAAACAGTGACAGAAATGCGACAATTTCGCGTATAGATTTCAAAGTCTCGCCGCAAGCATCCGGATATCAAACCTCTGCAGTTTGTGAGACAGGCGAGCCGGCCTTTCCAGGCTCAGCGGAGCAGCTGTTTGTGGCGCCGTGTAAAGGGGATCTGGGCCGGCAGTGGAGCCCTGGTGTCGGGGAAGGTGTCCGCCCGTCCAACCGGAGGCTCTGTGCGGCGTTGGGCTGGATGTAGGAATAACACGGATGCTGTTGCTGCCTCAGTTCCGCGCCCTCATGGAAGACAGGGATGGGAACGTAACCGGGCCGCAGAATGGGGTGCTTCATCTCCCTCACGAAGGCTTTGTGTGACTCCTGAGGGCTCGGTTCTGGTGGTATATTGGGTCCATTTGATGAAACTTCTCTGACCTGAAACACGACCAAAGGTGTATCATTTAAAATGCTATTATTGCTATTGCATGATCCAGCTAATGTAAACCACTTCATATGATTTTTTTCTCAAATCGTAACATGTTTGTGGCTATTTTTTTAAATAGTTAAGAGATTGCCAGAGAGCATGGCCATTTAGCGTTAACACAAAAAAACTTTATATAATTATCAATTGTAACCAAATGTTGTCAACGATTTTGAGCAATTAAAAGTTATAAAAACAAAACACACCAAAAATAGGCAACGCTGTTTTCAACCATGCGCTTCTTACTCAGAGTTGAGTGAAAGAAGTGACTTCACTTTCATCTCGTGGATTGTATCAGGACTTTTCTGGTATCCTCGATCTTTGAAAAAGTCTTTGCTTCAATAAATGTAACATTCCTATCTGAATAAATGCAGAGAAACACATTGTCTGCAAAAACTTATTACAGATCAGTACGCACAACCAATTGTTTTTCAAAACATGGGGGCGTTAACAGGAAAGCTCTCAGACATGAGATAACTGTGGGGAGGACGCCAAACAGGTCGCCTCTGCTGAGTATTTGATGAATGAAATGAACCTCTGATTAACGTGGACTTGCGTTCATGTCCATTGTCCAGACAATTGATGAGTTTGTTTGTGAAATTTAACTCCACGGTCAAACGCACATTATTCACCCGGCTCACTTATTCCGCTCACAATAGTCTGGCTCACACTCTAAAATAAAACAGCTAATAGCTAAAAGTCATGAAGGCACACAGAATGTCTCTCATTTGACCACACGTGTGCTTCTCCAGTATCGTGAGTATGAATAATCCCAGAAATAAAATAGTATGCATACCAAACACAAATTCACAATGAAAGTCACGAGAAATATAATTGCTGGAAATAAAAAAAAGCATATCTCCTTAAAAAGAACAATGGCCCTATGAGACACCAGGAGAGAGGTGATCTGATTTCTAATGAGATCTAATGTACTAAGTGACAAGACACCTCCAGATGACAGCTGTGCAGCAACAAGTCACCTGGTATTTCAGCTCTCTGTCAACGACAGATCTGAAAAGTCCTCCACAAACCAAATAAACTGGATTTCCGTGTAATCCGTGTATATCCTCGCTCCCCCACAAAAGTTATTAAGTAGCCGTGAGCGACCCTTTGCCCTCCGCCATTTCTGTACGGGACTCCTGCGCACTGCCAGGGCCGTTGCACCCATTTTATCCCCCGACAGCTGTGTCTTTCTAGCAGATTCTTCGGGACACTAACTTTGGACAGCACGGTGTGCCTCTCTGAGACGAGAGATCAGCAGCTGGCGGCCTGTCGGGTGAACTTCAGTCCACGGGGCTAATGTTCTCCCCCCTGCAGAACGCGCGTGTCTCCCTCCCCAACATGCGCTAAACCCCGTCCCGCTGCCGAGGGGAACCGAACCGGCCCTCGTTCCTTGTAAGGGAAAAAGTTTAACGCGAGGCGTCGCGGCAGAGACGGTCCGGGAGGTCCGTCGGCTCGCCGTAGGAAGCCTGCGCATAGCGCGCGGTGACTCATCGGGTAATAATAGTGTTGGATCACAACGGGGTCGATCACCCGTTATAAAGGGCGCATGAGCCGCGCGTGAGGCCTGCAGTCAACAAGACCACCACACCGCAGCACGCGCACGGGACGCGGACGCGCGCCGCAGCCCACGCAGCTCGAGGTTTAGAAGAAGAAAACAAAACAGCTGTCGCACAGCTGCGGTACAGCTGTGGTACAGCTGTGCGTGACAGCTGTTAGCAGTGGACGGCGAGGAGCCAACTTTATCCCGTTCCGCTTTGTTTTTTTTGGGGGGGGGTGTTACCTTTTTGGCGTCGTGACGCGGGTCATTCCAGGTGGTCGCGCGGTTGTTGTGGTCCACGAAGAAGGGCCACCCGGTCTGAGGGTCAATTTTTACTTCCCAGCCGACGGGGAGAGGCTCGTTCTCGTTGTTGTTCGCCGTCGGTGTCGGAGACTGCGTCTTCACGCCGTTCATGTTGCCGGCCGTCGAGTACTGGAACATGTTCCACAGGCGACGGACGCTTTAAAGATTCCCTCAAGTGACGTGGAAAAGTGGGCTGGAAGTTTCTGGAAATAGCCGGGTTAATGCTGGGGGCGGACAGCGCTGGATGCCGAGGCATGGCTTCCCAAAGCTGTTATGTCAATTTGTGCTTCCCAGTCGGGGGGGTCGTTCATGTTGTTGGCCGTCGAGTACTGACACATGTTATAAGAGGACAAGAAGGCACGCTTTTTAATAATAATACAACCGTATAATAAAAATAATAACAATAACCCTTATGGAGGACAAAAAATGACTTACGTAGCCTATACATGAATAAATGTATAAGTAAATATATGCTTAAATAAAAGAATACATGAATGCATTAATATAAGTTAAAAAATACATTTCTATATTCCTACGTTCATTTATTTCAACATTTCTGTATTTCTTCATTGATTAATGTCTGTATTTCTGTGTCCGTATGTAAATGAGCTTAGGCGGTCCGAACCTCATTCTTGAGCAGGATTGGTCAAGTGGAGGAGCGAGACAGAAGCAATCGATCGCAAGAGCCCCTTGCGCGCCTTTTCCCACCTCCTTGCGTGCTTGCGTGTGTCGACCAATTTTTCTAGATTCAAAAGCTACGCAAGCCTCCTGCAGCCCGCAAGGCTGCGATCGGTCTGCTAACTGCATCCTTTATGGAGTCTCACATTTCCGGTTTTATAGCGCAATACTGCCATTATTAGAACAAATAATTTTTACGAGAGAATGAATCAGATTGAAAAGCTTTTGTCGAAGAAATCGGTAAATATGACCACTTATACAAGCCGTCATTGGTGGACTATAAGGTCGCGTGGATGGCCTCCACTCATGGAGGGAGATCTCCACAAACGTTGGTTTGCCGGTCGAGGGGAACAAAGTTGCGGAGGAAAATACGGGACAAATGTGTCCGTGATGAAAAGCAACAATGGCGATGCACGGGGCAATAAAGTTTCTGATAAATAAATAAACAAACCAACGACTTCCACACACAAAGACGTGACTCTCTACGTCGTCTTCGACAAAAAACGTTACTCCACCTATTGTTCTGGTGGTGAATTGCTTTGCAACACGCGCAAGACTTTTAGAACCGTGGATTGAAACGAGTGTGTCGACACAACGGTTGGTAAAGATGCAGAACAAGCGCCAGCCTTAAGCCTAGTTTATGGTTGTGTGTTTTCAGAGACGCAAGGGCACGCAGGAGCCCCTTGCGTGCCTCTTGCGTGCCCCTTGCGTGTTTTTTTTACCCCTTCTTGCGTGCGTCGACCAAATTTTCTAGACCAGCGTCAAAAGCTACGCAAGTCTCTCGCAGCCCGCAAAGCTGTGATTGGTCTGCTAACTACATGGGTGAGTGGGGGAGCACGGTTGTCCTCCAATCAGAGGGTTGTCGGTTCGATCCCAGGCCTGCTAACCCGCATGCCGATGTGTCCTTGGGCAAGACACTTAACCCAACGTTGCTCCTGTAGCTGCGACTACAGTGTGTGGATGTTAGTTATTGATGGGCAGATGACACTGTGTATGGTTCTCCTGTCATCAGTGTATGAATGGGCGTGAATGGGTGAATGATGTCATGTAGTGTTAAAGCGCTTTGAGTGGTCAGAAGACTAGAAAAGCCTATACAAGTACAGTCCATTTACCATTTACATCCTTTCAGGGGTCTTGCAAATTATCTGATAAATTGAAGAATTTATTCCATGGCAACCATGTAAAAAGTTAAAAGTTACCATCAGTAAATATTAAGTACATTTGCAAAACGATATACAGACACTTAAAAGATAATACATGACACATTATACATCATTACCTTATTCAATACTGCAGCATCCTCCGAGCAGCTTCGCCATGTCCCAAGCAGGGTGCCCCCAAAGGAGAATAAGATATACGATGGAGGTCCACGGGTCACGCCTCTCCAGTAGGATCGAACACTGTTTGGTCAACTTCCACATCCATGTCGCATTGAGCTGATCCAAATCCTCCGTCTGTTTGCTAACTATCGCAATTGATTTGAAATGTACAAACAAAACCATGTAACCAAATGCTAACAACAACTTTTGCTAAGAAGCTAACTTCAAGACATAAGTAATAGACCAGGAGCACTCCTGTGACCAATCCTGCTGTAGAAATGTAAGCAAACCGAAATGTAGAAATACATATATGATACAGACCCATAAATAAATAAATGAAGAAATGTAGGCAAACAGAAATTTTGAAATAAATATATGATATGTATTTGTTTATTTGTTTCTGTTTGATGAGCAACTTTTTTTTATTTATGGATACATTCATTTACTTACTTCCATATTTATTTCAGAATTTATTTATTTATTCATACATTTATCTATTTATTCCTGCATTGATTTATACATTTATTTACACATTTATTTATTTATTCCTGTATTTATTTATACAATTATTTATTCATACTTAAGTCATTTTTGTACCCCATAAACCCCGGCCCTCCTCCCCAAAAAAAGACATAAAGTAATTTGATTTTTTAAAATTGTATTATTATTATCATTGATCCGCAGTGTTTTCCAATGATGACGGTTATTTGCTTTCTCTAATATTCCCTTGATCCCAGGAGCCCCTTTCGAGAAAGACCTTCTGTGTATTACAGACGTGGGTATCCCAAAGCTTTTTTCATACCAAATTGGGTTCCCCAAATAGATGTATTCATACTCCCACGTGATAACTCCCTTCCAGGGAAAGTCTGTGGTTGCAAGGATCAGGTACACAAATAAACCCACGTAACTGTTGTGGAGTGCTGCAGTGTGGGCACATGCAGTGACACCTCTAGTGGCCTTCCTTAATCACAGGACTGGTCCAGTTGAGCTCCAGTGGACTACTAGTAAATGTCAAGAAATGTATCTCGGCTGAAGCTTGTGTTTAATCAGCTAATTGGGGTTTAGAGAGATATTTGGATATTTATTTGGTAACCCGTCCTGTCCTGGCTCATCTCTGATGAGTGGGGTGGTGGTTGTTGATACATTTATTTATTGAGTAAAGCCCTCAGCGTTGCTCCACTCCAATGGAACCACAAATTCAAAAAACGTTATCTTTATGGAGATTTCCTAATCCAACGAAACATTAGACACATGTCTTTTTTTGCCTTTAAATATAAATTACTTCGAAATAAAAACATCTGTCAAAAACTAATTAAGAGTGTGAATGTTATTTTTTTGGCGCCGCCCAGTGGTGGTTGAAAAACAGTGCCGTAAAGGTATTGCAACAATTTATTATTTAATTATTCCTTCATTTAATTCAGTCTAGTGATTCAGCGGCATACTTTTTACGTGTACGTTGGAATAAGAAGTTTTTTGAATACTCGATGTATTGAATGTGTATCTCTAAATTAGTTAATACACATTTTGTTCAGTTAGAATTGCACTGCTATGACAGAAAACGTCTTAATCAATAAATGAGTAATTTAAATAGTGATCGGCTCACACCGATGCCTTCACGTGACTCCTGAGTTCAGATTATAGACTGGGAGGCTCAGATCCATAGATATGATATATACAATATCTATGCTCAGATCTAGAAAGGTCGCTGCGGTTCTAGACACTTCCGTAATCCGTCGAGTACTGGTAAATAAAACAAGCTCACCCTGCTATACCACTTCAAAATAGAAGTCTCTTTCGCAAATTACTTCCGCCTTATATGATACATTAAATACTATATGTGTTCGCACTTGACTTTTGTAGTTATTAACGTAATTAGTAAAATCAATATATATGAAATTAATTATTTCTAATGTTGAAATGGTAAAAACGGATGCTATTCGTTAAAGTTTCCTCACTCTGACATCGGTTTGCGGAAACTCTTCTTTTTACACCAGACACCGAGAACGAAAAACAAGAAAACAGTGTTTTCGTTCTATGGTTTTTACGGTAAAAGGGACTATCAAAAGGTACACAGACCCACCGACCCTCCCTACCAAACTACCAACTACCCTAGCAACACCCTCCCAAGATTAACCCCACGTACGCACGCACGTACGCCCGCCCGCTTGCTCTCTGGACTCCCAGCGTGACGTATACCCTGCCGCCCGGTTAGCTAGCTTCTAAGCTAGTTAGCTAACATAGTGTTGTAATTAGTTAATTAAAAGGGTTCACCAGAAACGGTACACGTTAGCTATTGACTTCGGTCATGGACGACGAAAGCTACCCAAAGACTCTGTAAGTAATTTTAGGCGTCCAACTGCGGCATTAGGTATTCTTAGCTTAGCTGTCGTCGGGGACCGGTGGCTAACCTAGCTAACGTTACTCACTGTCCAATGTACACAAACAACCTGGGTGAATAACCCCGAGCAACACAATTTTATGGTTCACTAGCTTCTGTTTATTTAAAATAAGATTACATACACAACGCGTTTGAAGAGTTTACGGTGACAACTGTCTGTTAGCCGTAAGAAACGTGGGGTTAGCTTGAACGCGAGGCAAGCTAATGTTAGCGTCCGACTAACCACGGCAATGGCTCACATTAACTGCATATCCGTCAGTTTTTAAGAATGAATTAATAAATAATATCCCATTCAGCACCAACTCGTTGTCAGCTTGATTAAACTTCAACCGTTAACAGCTTTCCCTGAATTGAATTGCACTCCTCTTTTTTCCCGCAGGTACGTGGGAAACCTCTCCAGGGATGTAACAGAGATTTTGATTCTGCAACTCTTCACCCAGATTGGGCCTTGCAAAAGTTGTAAAATGATCACAGAGGTAGGCAGCCAAGATAGTAAATGTAATCATTTACGTGTTCTCCTTTTCAGGAGATATGTCTTCACATATATGGAGATGCCTTTATGAGATATGTATGAATACATCCACTGTTAATAACTATGAAACACATCTACCTACCTAATTAACTGTTATTGTTTTACTTCGTCCCATGCAGCACACAAGCAATGACCCCTACTGCTTTGTGGAGTTCTTTGAACACAGGGATGCTGCTGCAGCTCTCGCAGCCATGAACGGGAGGAAGATATTAGGAAAGGTAGATCAATAGGTTGGGTCAAAAATGTAAAAGCTTAGCAGCTTAACTGCTTGAAATCCTTTCTGATTGGTGTTCCCTGTGTAGGAAGAGTCGATTCCTCTTCAGTTCTATCAATACTTTAATAGTTATCTGTATCATTATTTTAGGAGGTCAAAGTGAACTGGGCCACCACTCCAAGTAGCCAGAAGAAAGATACTTCCAGTAAGTGTTCACCTACTGATTTTATAATCTGCTGAAATCAAAGTATACAGAGAATTGTAAATGGTTTCTTTCCTTGTTTTTGTTTTCAATCTGGTCTCTTTCTAGATCACTTCCATGTTTTCGTGGGAGATCTGAGCCCTGAGATCACCACTGAGGATGTCAAGGCCGCATTTGCACCCTTCGGGAAAATCTCGTAAGTTTTCACTTCAATGGAGTATTCTTGTTATGTGCAGTGCAACAAATTGAATGATAAAGTGTAAGCAAGCTGACTTATTTAAATGTTATGATGGTACTTTTTAATAATCCTATTAAGACGTCTGATTCAGGAAAAAAGTCCACAAGCCTTGTCTGATCTTGTGAATGAATTATTTAGTCTATGGATAAAAACAACAGTGTGATATTGGATATTAGTAGTCGTTTCAGGCGGGCGGACGCTCGCTCTCTGTCCACTGGTGTTGGGGCGGACCTGCCGTGCTCAATTTTTTTAACTCCAGACTTTCTTGGGGGCGCCCCTTGATATAATGGTAGGGGAAACACTGAAGTATATCAGCAAACCAAGTTATCTTTTGTGAGATGCAAGGTTTTGGTTGTAATATACCAAAATAAATACAATACAAGGACCTTTTCACATGAAAGTTAATATCGGTATGCCCCATATCCTTCTACCAACATATGTATTGTATATGTAACATGCTTTTCAACTATTTTAAGTCTCATATGAATCATCTTTCAACATATCACGAAAGCTGTTAAGAGCTTTGTTCCAGTTACCTAAATGTGAACCGTGTGTTTTCTGTATTTTTTTTGGACTGAAGTGTTCATTTCTAGCCTACTGTTGTTGCTGCTTTTGCATATCTAGGGTGTGGTAAGTAAATATTATGTCAGATGTCAGAACTGTAAGCTGTACAGCTTTTAGTTGTGGGTCTCAGTGAAGTAATAGCACTTTGGTTATTTTACAGAAATGCTCATAGGATTGGACAGGAGCTTGAAGGCTAACAGCAAGGAACTGTGCACTCTGGAGACTCAGATGTAGTTTTTTTTCTCTATTTATTCCATTCTTTCCACATGTCTTTTTATGTAGATGCTATGTATTCACATGATCTAGCTTAGATGAACAATTCCCAGCACACAATGTATTCCTCTAAATCTATGTTTAAATTGTCTCATTTTGATTTGCACAGTGTTGTTTGTAGTGAAATGATCCTCTTCCAAAATTTCTGAAAATGTCAATTTCTCAAAATTTGCAGCTCCCCAAACTCCGTACTCCATAGTGGTGGTAAAGAATTGACACGGGAAAAAAAAGAAATCTGTTAACAGGCCATGTATGCCGTTTAATTCCTTTTTTCTCTTTTGATATTTTCTATATATTTCTATCTGTAGCGAGAGCACCAACAGCTGATCTTAAGAATGCATGGTAATCCCTCTAATCTGTTTCTTTTGTGAATTTAAATCGGTAGCATTCTGTTGAAAAAACTGAACAGGAAGTGGTGCTCTAGTGGCAACGATCACTTAATTCATCTGAAACTATTTAAAAACACTACTGTAGGCTGCATGTTTTTGTATTTTTTTTTTTCTCAAGTGTTTGAAGTTACTTTACAGTCAGTGCTCAGCACAAGGTCATGATAGCTAATGTACTTTATTGTAGGACAGAGTAGAGTAGTTCAGTTTGTTTTGCGTGGTTCCTTTTTAGTTTGAAACGTTCAAACTGAAAAGTGCCCTGAAGTTGTTTCAACGTTTCCCTCCAGGGACGCCCGTGTTGTGAAGGACTTGACGACAGGCAAATCAAAGGGGTATGGATTTGTGTCCTTCTACAACAAACTGGTAAGGCTCCAGTGCAAGAACACAGACTGAAGGTTATTTCTTTTTTCTGTTTATTATCCTACTGTAATACATTCACAGTGACTTAAATATATTGAATCGTAGTTGACAACATCCTGAATCATCTAAACATCACAAAGGGATACTAATAATACAAACAGTAATGTATATTTTGAGAACCTTTTGTATTGTTGCAGGTAAACTTCTCCGATTCATCCAATTCTGAGGGTTAAATCTCTTTGCTTTGGATTTATAGGATGCAGAGAATTCCATCATCAACATGGGGGGGCAGTGGCTTGGAGGACGCCAAATCAGGACGAACTGGGCAACACGTAAACCACCAGCTCCAAAGAGTGTCCAGGACAGTAAGTGTTAAAGTGCAAACACACGCACGCACATGAAGGATTTAATTTACTTTCATTTTTGATGCCTGGTTCACACAACAGGAAAATCGCTAGCGAAAGTTGAAGTGTGAACTTGATTTTAAGTCCTGTTTTTATTTTAGACGGCTCAAAGCAGCTGAGGTTCGATGACGTACTGACTCAGTCCAGTCCACAGAACTCTACTGTGTACTGCGGCGGTATCCAGTCAGGATTATCAGGCAAGTCTCTTGCTTTCTAAAGGTGTAATAGGTTGGTAGTCTTATCGCTTTCCACACGCTCCTCAAACAGCCAAAAAAACTAACCACATAATTCTCTCTTCGGTTTGATTCTTTCAGAACACCTAATGCGCCAGACCTTCTCCCCTTTTGGCCAAATAATGGAAATCAGAGTTTTCCCTGAGAAAGGATACTCTTTCATCAGGTACTGCCTCACTGCATTTCAGCATTTGGCCACTAGAGGTCAACACAAGCGCCGCCAATGACTCTGTGTCAGTGGCCTTTAATTTGCCGCTCTTATTCAGCTCAAAACAGTTGGTGTAAATATTTGTTGCTGTGATTTTCAGCTTTGCCTGATTGAAATTCTCCTTCATGACTTTGACTGCTAAACTGCTGTTTTCCTTTTGAAGGTTTTCCTCTCATGACAGTGCTGCCCATGCCATTGTTTCTGTAAATGGCACAGCCATCGAAGGACACATAGTGAAGTGCTTCTGGGGCAAAGAATCTCCTGACGTAGCCAAGACTCCACCGCAGGTAGTAAAAGAGTCACTGATAATGTATTGGATGTAAATGGTATGGATTATTCTGGCTGGGTTTATAACTTTAATAAAAAGAACAGGAAATTAGGTGAGTGACCACAAGGGCACACTGCAAATGATTTATGCCATTTTAGGAGTCCTTTATTGACTGAGACAGAAACTGTACCTCAATTCCAAAGACATGTTTTTTTAGAGTGAAACAAGAAATGCATTTGTTTTTTAATTTGACCTTTTTCGTCTGATATTTGCTCCGAATGCACTTATTGTAAGTTGCTTTGGATAAAAGCATCAGCTAAATGACATGTAATGTAATGCAATGCAATTGAGAATAAGTGAATGCGACTTTAAGTGTCCGAAAATGTATTCACCACCTCTTTGTTTGTCACTAAGGTTGAGTACGGTCAGTGGGGGCAGTGGAATCAGCTCTATGGGAATCAGCAGCACCAACAACAACAACAACAGCAGCAGCAACAACAACAACAACAGCAGCAGCAACAGCAACATCAGCAGCAGTATGGGCAGTATGTGGCGAATGGATGGCAAGTTCCCTCCTACAGCATGTACGGACAGACGTGGAACCAGCAAGGATTTGGAGTAGAGTGAGTTTCATTAAGTTGTCTGCACTCAATTTATTCCTAAACCTTTCTTATCACTGTATTGGAGCTAGAACACTTAATTTGGTTATGGAGTGGCTTCAAATGAATCTTGCCCTTTGGGGGTGGGGTGGGATTTATTTATTTATTAATGATGTATCAATCTTTACATGCAGGGACCACAGTCTTACTAACTGGGTATTTGTGGCATCTTCGCAGGCAGTCCCAGTCCCCAGCCTGGGTGGAAGGCTTTGGATCTCAGTCGGGCCAGGCTGCAGCCTCCCCCGGTCAGGTTATGTCCAACCTGGCCAACTTTAGTATGGCTGGCTACCAAACACAGTGAGACAGCGCAAACCTAAGTGTAGTACCAAGAGAATCTTGTCAACCCTTTTAGACAACACGGCACTCTTTGATCTGGCCAGGTGCTGTGTTTGAAGAAGGGCCTGGGCCATATTTACAAAGCCTTTGTAGCTAGTAGTTGCTCCTAAACAACCAATTATGTTTTAAATATCAATTTCACTCTGAACTTTAAAAAAAATTAAATGCCATCATAATTCAAAGTTTGGTTATGGATAATTACTGTTGGGCCCTAACCAACTGTCCTGTTGTTACAAGACATGCCAAGCTTTTGAATGTTTGGCCCTATGAAACCTTACCCAGTGTCTATGAAACCTTACCCAGTGTCTAACAAAGGGATTTGTGGCAGTGGCATGCCTACTGGAAAGTCATCATTACAGAGACCATTAGTTGCCTCTTATCACACAATGAGTGCGTTAGGCAACGGGCCAAGCCATCAAAGCGTTAGTGTAGTCTTTCACTGCCCAATTGTTACCTGCCAATATTTAGAATTTGACCAAAAATGTATCAAAAGCAAGACGTGTACTCAGAGATATAACCACCACGGTATTTTTAATGAGTCATGATACGCTGGCATGTCACTGAAACATGATAAGGATTGAAATCATGGATACCTCATAACATAATAGTGAATTGTTTTACTCAAGCAATATCTACTTTTATTATGCCAATGCTTTTTTGTTCTTTGCAGACTTTTCAAAATGTTAATTTCCTTGTCATACACTCACTGAGTTTTTCTTTAATTTTATACAGCAGAATATTAAGCTCCTGTGATGATGGATTAATTCTGTTCATTTGTGTGAAATAGGTTGGTTGTTTGATGGCATCAAGTGAATAATGCTACAAACGGCACTGAGCCAAAAGTATGAACCAACCTGCTAAAAGTAGGTCTGTGCTTAGCTTCAGCTCGTATATAGAAATTACTTCCTGTTTTGATGTATTAATGATGAATGCTTTGTGAATAGAGGCCCTGAAACAATCAGTAGAAAGAAGAAACTATTTGTATAAACAACTGTCTTTAAAGGAGATTTAAGCAGGATGTGGTATCTATTGGGTACATTTTGTGTCAAAAGAAAGTTGTCACCTACACTAAGAGACGAAAAAATATTTTCTTTTCTGTTTTTGTATCTGATAGATGAGCATGGTATTTGCAGACTTTTGATTGATTTTAATGTACACCTTAATGTAGCCTCGATTTGACTAATTTATAATCCTCTATCTTAAAGTAAAGGCTACAGCACATATTGTAAAAAGCTTGACCCCTAATCTTTGTAAAGTTAACTGACTGTGCTGATTCTGGGGGCTGGTTTCCTGGAACGATTTTGAATCTATATTTCTTCCCTCCTCAATGACATGTTTTAATGTATAGTCATGGCTTTCTAACAGCTGGCCTGAACCAGCCCCTAAAGGTTTTTGCATTGCGTTTTACATCATTCAAAATTCCTCATACCCTTTGGCAAAGACAAATTGTCCATTGATCTAACCTTATGGATTTGGGGTGTTTTTCTTAGATTATACTTGATACTAAATGTCATTTATTTTTCAGGGCCGCATGCACCTCTTAGTGCATTCTGAAAGGTCCCAGTATTTGCAGAAAAATTCGTATATAAATTTGAATATATTCCCAGTAAAAGTATTCTTTAGAAAATTGTGGGACATCTCAAAGGCATACCGCCATCTGGATTTGATTTGTGTATGGGCCATTTCGTACAATTTACTACACTCCTTTAAGCTCACGCTCATCTTTGTGTGGTATCAGCCGACAAACACAATGCGTTTTAGTTCATTAAACCCAGGGGATGTTTTTGTGAATAAAATAGTGTAAAATATCCACTGTAAACACTAATCTTCATGACACATAATGTACATATTCCAGATGGAAAGTTCATAATTAAATATTGGTTTTATGATTGATGAATTAGCCTTAAATGACGCATCAATAAATCCAAACAGGCTTTGTTTCAAACATAAATTCTTTTCCATTGTGGATTTTTCCATTTTTGAGTTTGCGTGCCATTTTCTAGAAAGTAGCAGTAAGCAGGTTTTGTTTATGCTTCAACTGCACGCTTATGACATGTAATACATTTGTTGCTTATAATATTGAATGTAATGGCAATTTGCTTTTATGACAATAATAGGGGGGTTGAACAATATAAATGATGTTTAATAATAAAGAATGAAATGAATTTTCCATTAAAATGGGAAAACTCAGTAAATAAAGAAACGTTTGAACCTTGTCGTTCAGTATATTTATTAGACATGTAACACGACCGAGCTTCTGAAAGAAAAGCATAAATTCACTGAACTATTTTGTTATTTTACCACACGCCGTAAATAATATCTGTAACTTAATCGGGTACCATACCTGTTCCCATCATCCTGCATTTAACGGTAATATGTTTTTTGTTACGTCGTGATGTTCAGGCAGCTCAGCAGGTGAACAAAGGGGAATAATTATTCATCGATGTACTGCATATATAAATACAATGATTATATAAATACATCTCACTACACTGCAAACAAGTCGAGGGGCCTTTCGAGCCACCTTATAGAACTAGAACATTCAGAAACCTTAAATGACTAAAGAAAAGCAAGCATCTCTTAGATAATTGGTGACATACATACAATTGGATTATATTGTGCAACTATTATTTCTAACCTCTTGAAATGTATGTACATTACACAACACCAATTATATGTTGATTATTCAGGTCTACAACAAATATTACATATCTGAGCTTAAACCTGAACCTGATTCTTACATTAGCTCTAGTGCGGTCGCCTAGTAAGCAAAGAATGTCAAACATGTTTTTATTACAGTATTTACATCCATGATAGCGAGTAGCTGTAATTTGAGATCGGTTTTGTCAGTAAGTTATGGTTTATCTGAAGGACCCGGACCTTTAACACGTGCTTCTGTGTCTCAGAGGTTCATCACATTCGGTAATCGTATGCGGCGCCGGTGCGATCTGCTGTTCTCCAGGACAAAGTCTCAGCCTTCGTCCCTCTGTCCACACAAACCAGGACGCTCCCATCTGAGGCAGTATCATCCCTCTGGATAAGGGGTCAAAAGTTACACATTTTTGGGGAATTAAGAATAGCACTATTCTTGGGTTTTGTTTTATGAGTAACCTGCATTATCAAAACACATTTGTTACATAGCTTCGTTAAACCTTTCAATGTACTCTGTGAACTGCTAATTCAAAAGAAAAGTTAAGTGTTGCATCCATTAGGGTTTATGGACGTTGTGTATTTCCAGACTCACATCGTTGTCGGTCACAGTGAGTTTCTTTGCTGATCCCTTCCTTTCCTCTTGCAATCTCAGTTTCTCCATAATCAACTCAATGTTGGATTGGATGCCTACCACCGAGCTGTCGAGCTGGAGAACCTGTCTGGCCAGTCTGTCATGTTGAGAGAAACATTAGTCCCTTGTAATGAAATCCATTTCTTAAATGTGTGTATTTAAGATATGAGGTATTTAAGATTTGAGGTCAAATGTGAAAACTATCCCCACCTTTGAAACTGTTCCTGATCCACAAACATATGACTGGAGTGCTTCTGCTCATTGGACGTTACAGCAGGCTTCTCCATTAAATCTTTCCCATAATGGCTTCCGAGATGGTTGAGCTCAGCGCAAAGAGCGTCCTTACAAAGAAAAGGGAATTTAGTGTGTTAGTCTTGTATTGCTCGTCAAGCTTAACAAGAAACAAGCCAGAGTGTGAAGACGATCATGCATACCCTCTTTTCCTCCAGCTCGATATTCATCCTCTCTTGTTCGCCTTTGTCTAGAATCTGGTTCCCATCATGGTCAAACCGGGAAAAGGCTGCAGAGATTTCATGATCAGCATGTCCCATCCTACAACATAATCGGAGCGGTGAGGGTTACTTACGTTATCAGTCATTTTGATTTATATAGCTGAATAACACAAATTTGCCTCGAGAAGCTTAAGTTTGATGAGCCGTGCGTTCAACAGGGATAAGATCTTTCTTACTCTTTCAGAGTTTCTCTGAAGTCCTTGAATTCGATTTCTCCAGATCCAGATTGTAGCGCCTTCTGAACATCTGATATTTTCTCCCTTCTAAGTTTCAACTTCGTAAAAGTCTTCATGTAGCTCTGCATTAGAGAAGAAATCCATTTGATTTGTAATTCTTGAAAAACTTTATCCATAATTATATCTATTTTTGCATGAGACTGATTACCTGCTTGATGATGTCAGTAATCTGTAGCTCATCTTTTTGGCAAGAGAGCTCCTCCTTAACTTCAGAGTATGTGTCATTTATGATGGCCAGAAACATGTTCTGATGGACAGATAGATAAAGGCCAAATGAGAACGCCCATCTTTATCCTTTCGTAATCAAATGTCTTATGTTGGTGTATGATGCTTACCAGTAAAACAAAGAAAACAAAGAACACATAGGTAACAAAGTAGATTGGCCCAAGTACTCTGTTAGCTCGGTCAATTGCATCGTAATCAAAGTCTCCGAGAATAATCCTGAACTGTGTGAAGCTGCAGGACAAAAAACACACAAAAGGATTGATTTATTCGTGGCGTATGATCCTATTCAAGTATTTGGTGCCAAAACGTTTCTTTTTGGTCCCTTCTTACATGCACTTAACAAAGGTGCTGAAAGATTCAACCTCTGTCCCGAAAAGCAAATATCCAAGCTGAGCGTAGGCGAAGAACACTATGAAGAACATGATGGCGAAGCCCAGGATATCCTTGGCACATCGACCCAGTGTGGAGGATAGCTGAGTCATGGTCTTGTTAAAACTGATGTACTTGAAAACCTAAAGAAAACACAGTCTGCTGATGCTTAAGCCCCACCATTTCTTAACTTGATGTGTTTGGGTGAAAGATGTTTCTTTACCTTGATCCACGCAAAGAACAAGTTCACTGCATTCATGTTGTTGTACTGTGTTTGCCAGAAGGCCAGAAACTCAAAATCAGCGTAGATACCAGGTTGTTCCAGCAGTTTGCCAAGTAAGTTATCCACTTTGACGGTTCGAAAAATATTGAAGATAATGGCAACGATGGCAAGCTGGAAAGGAGAATAGTTATATGTCTTTAATGACATCAGAGAAAAGGAACAGTTTGAATCAAATAAGAATTACATTTTCTTACCATTATGACAACAATATCCAGTATGTTCCAGATGCTATTGAAATAAGAGAGCTTGTGTATTCGCAGCTCTAGGATCTCTTCCACGACATAGTAGAGGATGAATATACAGAAAACCACCTCGCAGCCGAGGACAAAGTAATCCCAGTAGTTGATGTAGCGAATGAGTTTGACGGTTCTGATCTGGTAGGAAGGGATTGCTCCACCAGTTGCCGGAAATTCAACCACCAACCTGAAAGAGTGGATGAAACTTAGATCGACCAATGCGATAGTATCAATCAATGGGTAAAGTTGCTGTTGTCTGTAGTGCTTTTCACCTGATGACACAGAACATGTTGATGTTTGCGTTGTACGCTGAGAAGTCCAAGAAGGCTGCTCTGGTTCCTCGGTCGAGCCACAGGTTGTCCACCAGTTCCCCCAGTATGATGGCGCTCTCGTCTTTGGTGCGACTCAGGTCTTGGTAGTACCCCGCTCCGCTGTACGTGGTCAGCAGGCCCCAGTGAGACGAACCTTTGACTTCTTTCTCTGTGTGGTAGGTCCAGCTGCAGAGGTACAAGAAAACTTAGCTGTAGTTCTCCAAACTAACTACATAACCAAAGCAATGCCACAGGGTGACCGGTGAGCAGCTTACGCAGTGCCGTTAATCAGACCGAAGCTAAGGCCATCCTCCTTCTTGTCGTTGTAAACATCGAAGCATCCCGTGATCTCATCTTTGAAGTCCTTGTGAACGTTGCAGGAGTTGTTCATGATCTTGATCTGCCTCATTCTGGGCACTCCCAGCAGCATGTTCTCATAGTAGATGAAGGACTGTTCCCCTCTGTTCAGGGACTGGTTATTGTACCATTTAGTCCAGTAGAGGCCGTCCAGCAACGGGCCCTGAGCATACTGTTTGTGTAACGAGAGAGGATGCACGTCAATGTTCTCATTTCTTCTAGTGAATTGTCATTGTTGCAAACATGGAGGAAATAAATATGGAGGGAAACTCACAGTCCAGAAGTCGGCCATGGTGCCAATGGACTGAAAGCTAACCCCACTTTCGCCACCCGTGTTCACAAACAGGTCCGTCATGGCTTTAGTGTAGTAATAGGTGCTGGAGCTGGTCATGCCGTATGTCACTGAAAGACAACATTGTCACATTGTTAATTGCCAATCATTGGTTCCTATCTGGCCTTGCTCAGGCTCGGCTGTAAATGTTGCTCTATTCAGCGGCCTGAGATAAGACGAGTCAGAAGCAGACACGCAAGGCCTCTTTGAAGACTTCTTTGTCCATCTCTGTGCGTGTCAATGCAGTCGGATGGATCAAGATCAGACGCCGCCATTTGTTTGAAGAGAGAGCACGCTGGCCCGACGCAAATAGCCTCTTCAAACAATGTAAATGTGACCCAGACAAAGCTACAATGGACGAGGCTAAATGCTCTTATCGCTAAAAAGCAAGGGAGCAGTACTCAAGTTCCTTTCACTCCTAATGCTCAGGTGGACAATGGCCCTCTGGCAGAGGGATGGGGGAGGCCTTTGTGCTTAGAGTTAAAGTAGGGAGAAGCTTTTGATGGTGAATCAACAGTCTAAAAAGCCCTATTCACCAAGACCCTGCAAAAAGCTGAGCACATGAAGAGGTGATCATCATTGCTAATGTGGTCAAATAATACAGGCGCACCTAACTAAATATATGGAGATCAATTCAATGAAAACATTCTGTGATGAAAAATTTAAATTCTCTTTAACCTCTGTCACATTATGGACTAATAATGTGTCAAAGATATATGTTTTGGACAGTATTTGGAAGTAATTGCAGGTCAATTCAACAAGTATTATTAAGTGTGTAACAAATCAGGGAACGTGGGTGAAGTTTAAATCAGGTTTCCCAACTTTTGTTAAAATATCTCAAATCTAGGCAGATAATTGTATTTAATACAGCACTTAATAATTATATTCAGTCCTTCCCGTGCTACTTTGCATCCAGGGTACTGATCATTTAAGAGTGTCAGAAATAGACCTTTATATTTGATATTCCATACAGGACAGTGGGATACTTACAGAGGCAAATATCCACCAGGAACACCAGATAGACCACCAACTCACGTAGAGTGGTTCGGACAAACAATTCTCTGTTGTTTGAGGTGTTTTCGGTCATAGTTGTTCCCCAGAAGCCTACAGACAAATTACAGTCATTACGATGTTACATTTTGAGTCGAGTGTTTTGAAAGACCAACCAGACAGTGTATCGACTTTGATCCTGGGTTGAAATGAATAAGCGGATGTCTCATTAAAGACTTACATATGACTTCCACAGATGTTTTATATATAGGTCTATATATAAAATATACAAAGTAATACATATTCAGTGGACTAGCCGTAGGGATGTTTAACAGTAATTGCATTTTTTCTAGTCCACTGACCACTCACACTTAAAAACCAATTCATCCATTCATACACCGATGGCAGAGGCTGCCATGCAGGATGCCAACCTGCTCATCAGGACCGGTTACGAGTGTCTTGCTCAATCAATTGAAGGAAGCACGAGTTGAATCGGGACAATTCCTAGACAGCCGCTCTCCCTCTACCCGATACACGACGCACCGTTGGAACCTGCTGAATGGGTTCCCCGGCCTACCTTTGATGAAAGAGCAGCAGCCCCGTTTTTTCTTCATCGGGCTTGGGTCAGCGGATGGTGGCTCCTCCGGGAACGGATCGGCCGTGTCCAGTTTGTACATGCTGTCCACGGCGCCCTGGAAGAGGGGCTGGGAGCTGTAGATGGTGCTGATCCCTTGGGGCGAAGGCACAGGGGACCCTGAGTAGCCGTGGTTCACCCAAGCTCCGTTGCCCATGCTGTCCGACTCCACCTGCGGGGCCAGGTGGCTGTCGGCCCGGTTGTCCAGGCGCTTCATGCTGTCACACAGCTGGCGTGTTGATCAGAGAGGACAGCGAGGCAGAGCGGGGCAGGAGGTTTTTAAGCACCTGCTGCAGAGATGTTTATAAAGAGTGGATGACATAAGCTGGATTGAGGGAGGGGCTTCTCCTTTCTGGGACCTTTTGTAGTCTTGAGATTGGGACCTAGTTAGAGGACATCAGCGTCATAAAATGGCGGGATGACACAGCATTGACATACTTGTGGCCTGTGTTGCTTAGTTACACCACCTCCGATATAAATAATAACTATTAAATAACCAGAAAACAACAATAACAACCCTGCTTCAATCAGCTATATAAGTATAGTAAATATACTTTGCCAAATTTCAGAAACTTCCCCCCGTAGCTCAGGATGATACCGCCAATTATTATTTTGTTGGAAATGTCTTCATTAACGTCCAGCCATTGACTGCAAGACTGAACAACTCAGCAGCTAAAAGACGACTCAATCAGTTTTGCCCTCTCAATTACCTCCATGCTGAGTACATTGTTGTCACAATTGATTAACATCTCATCCAATAACAAGCTCCTATTGAGGAAATCAATTAATTGAGCGTAGATTAAATTTATTTCGCCAACTGCTGCACCAAATGAATGAGGAGCGTAATTACAGTGTCACGGATGGTCTCCTCCTAATTACTATCACGCACTTTTGACTCGGCCACATATTCATTATTAACACACCAACTGCCAGAAAGCAGTTATTAGGTATGCAAACATTCGTTGTGGCATATGAATCATTGCGACCATCTGCATCAAGCGTTTGGCACCTCGTCTATTGGACGAGTGTCCTCGACCAACCCGACAAGCCCCTGAAACTCTCACCGCACGAGTATTTACAGGAAGTCATCTTGGCTGATATCAACAATTAGTTGAGCTGATAAAATAATGAATACTCTGATATCTATGTGTGTGTGTGTGTGTGTATTTATGTTAAGCAGCTACAGTCTTTAAACCAAACAAACTTGAATGTGAGATTATTTAAAAACAACGCAATTCCAGGTATGATAACCGAATCACCGTCAGGCTCGTACGATGCGTATAGTGTCTTCCCAGTAGGACAATGCATTTAAGCCTTTCTGTAAATGTCTTAATGCAGATAGAGTTTGGGTCCCGCTATGGGCGTTCATGCTTCAGCGGCTGTGAACAGAGCGATTACACACAGCCATTAACACACAATAGAGTTTAATTTCTGCTCCCCCTCTGAAGCTGGGGTAGGATCTGGCACACAGGCTTTCTTAATTTTCTGTGGCTTGTGCCACCATTCAAACTTTTTCAAATCTGCAACAATCTCTTTTCAATGGCCGATGATTGCCATTTAAATCTGTAGCCGTGTGCTCCAGCAACGGGGATCACATGGCGTCCTGGCGTGTCTCCACCTCTATGAGACATCGAATGATTCTTTGAATCTCTAAGAACAAGTTGTTTTTACAGAGGACATTGAATAAAAGAATGGTGATTGGGCCTGTTCCCTCCCCCCAACATGAGTCTATTTTAAATGTTTATATTTGGGTTCCCCTCTGACGTAAAGCAGTCTTATCTCAGAGTGCAGGAGCTCAGGACAAAAGGAGGATTCATTCATGCAGCAGACATGAGCTGTCATTTCTCCTCCTGAGCACTGTACCCACAAAACAAAGGATGTGCTTTAAATGAGTTGTTCTCCTTGACAACCCTTATTTTATTAGTTTGTAGTTTTATTACCACACAAAGGCGACGAAGCAAGATGCTGAGGGTAAAATTCCAAAGCTTTCTGATCAAACCTTTCTATTGTAATGAAAATTCACTAATTAGTAGATGTATTATCGGCATCTTCGATATATGTCAGGATTATATTTAGCAATTTAATTTTAATAGCCTTTAAAGTCAAATTATTTAAACAAAGACAGTTAAAAACTACTTAATCTCTTTATAGTACGTATAATGTATTTACATTCAGTACCATTTTAAAAATCACATACTTTACCTCTCCGTTTTTATAGGAAATAGAACAAGAACAAGAGAAGTGCTTTTTCTTACAAAATAGTTTATTGTTTTGATCAAAAGCTATAATTCAACAAAAAAGATGTCAGCATGTGAAAAATTATCATCTCTACAAATGTACTTTTACTTCGAGAAAAATAGTAACATTTTACATTTTAATGATGTAAACTACCACAACTGAGATTTTCTCAGAATCCATTTAGCATTGCACATTTTAAGGCCACATCAAAAAAGTATTTTAGATATACACCAAATCACATACAATTGCCTGTATCTCCAGGTCAATATTGCGGTTATTATAAAGTCAATAGATTTTCTGTCATTGCTATACTGTGAACAAATAAAAATGCTCAACATTTCCTTGCAAAAACTGAAAAATAATAAAGAAAATAACGCAATACAAATGTATTTACTTTCTCCTGGATTGGAGGAGAAATATTCACATTGTCACTCACATCCAACAACATGACTGATTGTCCACCACGTGGCAGCAGCTTATGTGTGGACCTGGTGGCCGTCGAACTGGTACGAGAAGGACGAGTGGATGAAGTCCTGGTCGGTGGCAGAGTCGTACCTCATGAGGCACGGGTAGTTCTCTGGCTGCACGCAGTCAAACTGCAGGTCCAGCCACTGCCTGTGAGGAGCGTTGTTTCTCCTGGCTTCTGTCAGGATCCGGTTGAGGGCCATGATGTAGCTGAGGGCCATTTGCAGGGTTTCGTACTTGGACAGTTTTTTGTCCTGACCCCACTGGGGGACCACTTTACGTAAGCTATCGAAGGCTGTGTTCAGACCCTGCATCCTCTTCCTCTCTCGGGCGTTGGCCGCCGACCGCCGCCTCGTGACCGTCTCATACTTCTCCGGGCTCTGGGAGTCTGCTTCCGAAGACTCGGACCCGGAGTCGGCGCAGCTGGGTCGCCGGGATTTCATGATGTTCGGTTGAAGAATGGAAGCGCGGAGTACGTCCTCTGGTCAGAAAAGTCCGGTCGGAGCTTCGGCCTCAGGGTTCCTCGGGGGTCTCACGTCCGAGATGTACGTCCTTCACGTCAGATAGAAGTAACTCCAGAGAGGGGACAGTCTGAAGAGTCCAAGGTGTCTGTGATCCCGGAGACAGTGAGGGAGCAGCTTTTATAAGATGGAGCAGATGAACAGGTGGCAGCAGGTGGAGTCCCTGGACCCCACCCCCACCCCCCATCCTCAATATTGCATGTAGAGAAACACACCAATGCACACTCACCCACACCCACTCTCAAGACACTCACACACACACACACACACACACACACTGTATATGCACACACTCAGTGCACGCACACACAAACAAAACCTTAATGAAATTCCAATTATCTCGGGCTGGGCTATCTGGCCGTGGCTTCACTCCATGCCATGTGTCACAAACACTAAAAGTCTACCATCTGGAAGCACAACTCACCACAGCTCAGAGTGCAGACAAACTTTAAAGGGATTGTGGATATTTCCCAAGTCTATAGAAACCTAGTGAATAACATTTAAGGTCTCAACTCAATTTACATACAAATGAAACAAAATTTTGACATTTTGTATTGGAATATTGATATTGTCTGGTGACAAACAGTAAATTAAACTACTCAAATGTTTCTAAAATGGCAATAAAAGTACCAGTGTCCACATTACTGTTATATACATGAAACTGAATTTTACGTATATGCAAACGAGTATCTCACGTCATTGTACAGTTGTTTTCTACATCTTAATTATTCAAGTTCAAGTTAGTAAGATCTTTGCATGGGGATCTTAATTAGTCACTAATCCATTGTTACATTTAGTTCCCAATTGTCTTTATTTATAAAACTACAACTACATCTTTGGAAGCATCTCAGCCAGAAGTCCATCAGAGGTTTTTATAAGACACCAAGAGATGCGCTTTCACTTCTCATGGGCGTCTGGTCTGCTTGTGATAATAACCATAATCTGAGATTAGCCTGCGGCAACACAAGTGGAAGTGTGGCCCATAACCTGAGGGATTTTAACAGCACACCAGGGATTATGGCTCCCAAACAATATGGGCCAAGATGGTGCACAGATTATTCTGCCATCTGAGATTTGGAACATGTAAAAAAAAAGGTTGAACGGTTTTCTTGTTTAAAAAATAGGTTCACTTTGTGTTTGTCACAGTATGTGGGATGCATTAATGTTCCCTTTGTACTCGGGACCACAAGTGAAATAAATAATTGATCTGTGTGGTGGTCCGGGAAAATTAGATGGACAGAATAGTTGTCTGTCTGTCCTTCCCATCTGCCAACATTAAACTGTGTAATTCAGGAGGCTCTATCTGAATATCTCCCTCAGTTACACACACACACACACACACACACACACACACACACACACACACACACACACACACACACACACACACACACACACACACACACACACACTCACTGTTGACTAGCACAGAAAAAACTACTTTAATCACATTCAGCTTTTACTCCACTTTGAAGTCTCATAACCATCTCAGAGTTTTTAATCACATAATTGTGTTTCTTTACATATAAAATAATGTGCGAGTAATTGCTTCATAATACCTTCCAAAAAAAGAAATCCCCACAGGGATTTATCAACACTGGTAATTTATGACAAGTTTGCACTGTAAATAGAAGGAATTTTGCATGACTACTTTTAATACCAAATACATTTTGTAATAATTACAATTTGAATAGAATTTATCTTTCGATGTTTAAACCCTACTATTGGTACTTTTACCTAAGTAAAGAGTTTTCTGGTGCCATCCTTTGTGCGATCCTGTTGCTGTGCTGACTAACTCAAAGCTGGGATGTAGAGGCAGGTTATGAATGATTAATCCCCGCCAGAGGCCTAGAATAATGCCCTTCTCTCGTATTGGGTCATGGACACAAGCTGATGCTGTCTGGTCATTTTGGGATGGACTGGTTAGCTGTGCAATTAGGCATAAAATCCCATCTCCCAGTTGGTTCATTGATTACAGATTGATGTAGTTTGCCAGCTGCTGCTTGTCCTTCCTGAGGGCCTCGTCTCAGACGTGGCCCAGCCCTTCCGTGTCTTCCACCCTTTTTTTTTTTTACACCCACTCACATGATTGGCTTGTCGGAGGACTGTGCCGTGCTGTCAAAAACCATATGTCACAACTGAGTGACACGTCTGCGCTGACAGAAGCACGGACCCCAGTAACTCCAGCTCTCCTTATGGAGAAATGGAGATTACGGCACAAAGCGTATGTTTCAGTACAGGAGAAAGTGTAGGAAAGGATTTCCTCTGCATGTGTGTGGTTTGACTTGATAAACCTCATCGTTAGCCCAGGATTAGTTTAAAAGAGCAGTCTTATTAAGCGCACGGTTCATTTTAATAAAGAGAGAGGAACTCATGACAAATGTGTGACTACTTTCGTTTCAAAAGTAGGAACCTTTTTTGCTGGTTCAAAAGATGACTTTTTAGTTATTATTGTGTTGACACTGCAGTAATCCAGAGAGCACAATAATATAATCTAAATCAGAATTTGAAACATAATGCAAAGATTCAGTAAAAGTGAGATATGACAAATTAAATAAATAAAACAATATTGTCTTTTCTAAACCCACAGATATTTAGTTCTTAGCAAGACATCAACACAGCAGTAAATAAGGAGGCCTGGCAGCTGGTCAAATGAGGCTCAGAGTATAATTAGGTCACATAAGGTGAATGTAATTTTATGCCTATTTGAACTCTCTTCCCCTATAATTGGACGGATTAGCGATGCCTAATTGGCTTCAAAGCTTTCCTATTTGTCTTCCATTTGTTACCAGTTATACTTAATATATCTAGGACTGGATGGTCGTAACAAGCTCTCAGTAATGACAGCAAAAATTGAGATTGTAAAACAAATTACTGTCAAAGCAAACTATCCATTAACCAAAGGGTGTAAATTACCATGGACGCATGGGGGCTATGGCCCCCAAAAATTTGAGGAGGTAGCACTCTACGTAATACATTATGAAAAGTTTTTGTTTTTGTTTTTTGTTTTTAAGAACTGTATGCGCCGGCTCCCAGTCCTCTTCCAGCCAAGTAAACATATCACTCATTTGAATAAATATAACTTTATTCTGAGCGAGACAAAACTATTTTACAAAGTGCAACTTTACATCAGTTTAGTATGTACTTTTCTTCAATATATATTTGGAAAACAACTTCGATCAAAGTTCAATTATAACGTCCGTTTTTGACTTGTTGATGTCCGACAGCAAAACAAAAGGCTATTAGTCTCATCGGACTCATTTCTCTGTTAATCCATCTCAAACTGTGGATACAATCCAGATAAATCATTGAACCAAACAACTACAAAGCAAAACATATTTGACAAAATCTTTTGTCTTTCAACTTGTAACCATGAATGAGTGAGTGACCTAACTGCATATTATTATTACGACTGCAGACAGTGTTCATACGATATTGCATCATCATCAACCATTGGCAGGCGTGCACATGAAAAAACATGGTGCAAAAATATGAACCAGTGATTAAGGAAAGAAATGATTCAGGTAAATGTAGCCATGGAGCACATATTTCTATTTATATACTCTAAACTGTGATTATTAATAAATACATTTATATTATGGACATTTTACTTTAAAATATGACTACCAATTCAGGTAAATATTTTTTGCATAAAAACAAGCAGCGCTTGTTCCACTTTGAGAACAGGACTAACAATAAGGAACAGCTGTTATAACCAACATTCGGCACCCCCCTCTCTCCCACACACACACACTGTCATAACTAAAAATGATATAGAAAACAAACGTCATTCAAGCCAGTCTGAAAAAACACTTATCAACCCTACTGAAGTCTCATGACCTAAGACCTAAGGTCTGCTTTTCTGTATGTGAAACCAATTCATATGGCTTGAGTGAATAGGAATGGTGACAAACCCACTACCAGCGCCGATAGCCTTAACACAATAACTCATTGCCATTCTACTCCGAGTGTATCACTTCAAAAGCATCACACAAATCCCATAGCATCTGCTTGTATGAGCCCTCCAGGGTTTTGACCTCAGCGCGTCCAATATGCTGCAGACTCACAGCTCCTCACTCTCCATTATGGCCTCTGCAGGGGAGCTGGAGAACAGGATGGGGCTGTTCTCCGACGTGGCGAAAGACGACTTGATGTCGAGCCCCTGGCCCGTCAGAGCCGCGTAGCGGCCGGCCGCACGCGGAGCCTTTTTCATGGGTGCGGGGATGCTCTGGTGCCACTGTGCTACAGGCGCAGCAGATAGCTGGTATTACTACCAAAATGAGGCACATTTCTTAATAAGGCTGATAGTCACGGAGCTGTACAGAATATTCACCATAGATATCAAGCCTGCAGGTGCATGATACAATTCCTGCCTCGTTTTTTGCAGACACTGTGTACCAGCCAGCGTCGTCTTTGGTTGTCGGCTGGATGAGGAGGCACACATACCCGGTTGGATCCTGGGTCATGCTGAAATAAACACATCATTGAGAATGCATTCCACTTCCATTAGAGCTTTTTCTAACTATCAAGCTGAAACACATTACCGCTACTAAAACATGTACCTCGAGAGGCTCCTACTGACCTGATTCTGGCCTTGGTTTTAGGGATGGTGTCATTGTCTTTCTTCCAGAAGATGACTGGAGGGGGCATGCCCACCACCCGGCACTCCAGCCTGACCGGAGTCCCACTAGGAATACCCACGTTCTGCAGCTTCTCCACAAACTGGGGAGGGTGCTTCATCTCCTTCTCTGAAGTGGACATGACTTAGATTACGTGAACAGGGCATGGGGCACGACCCTATTCCACTGACTTGTGTGAGAGCAATTGATTCATTTTCATTCAGTCCTTACCCACAACTTTGAGCTCGAGACTAAAGGAGCTCTGCCCTGCTTTGTTGCTGGCGATGCAGGTGTATGTGCCGGCGTCATTCTGCGTCAAGGGGTCAATGACCAGAGAATGGACGCCATTCTCCCGCACCAACATCTTGTGGTAAAGGTCGGGATAGATTGGCCCCCCGTTGACCAACCACATGAGCTCTGGGTTGGGGAGGCCGCTCACCTGTAGGACAAAAAACAGGAAAAGTGAACTGAGGCACAAATTCTATACCAAAAAATATATATATATTTTTAGCGCACGGCAGAACCTGCTGCCTACCTTACAGTCTAGTCTACATAGTCTTCCTTCATGGGCCAGCATGTCCCCCGGTGCCTGGAGAAAGTGAGGGCGAAAAAATTGCTCCTGGGTTCTCTCACCTTCGACTTCCTGTATGCGGGTTCGCACCCTAAAAACAAAAGCACAGCATGTTGTCAGGAACAAAGACGTAATTGGACGTTAACCCACGTGGATCTTTAATGTGGAGTATGTTAGCATGTTAGTTTAGATACACATGGTTACCATTGCCATGGAGAACAGTCAATAACTGGCTGGTTCCTCATGCTGCAGAAGGCTTTTTCTTACCTCTGCATTATACTGCACACTTAGTCCTGCTCACCTCTGAGAGTGAATAGGTGTCAGTCGGTTTCGGGGAGGTCCCGTTTGGACCATCAAATGACCCGAGCAGCTAATTCTTCCCTGATGGTCAATAAATATAAAATATCAGATTTTGCAGCTTGCAGCAGTGCAGTATGAATGAGAGGTGTGAGGCATCACCTGTGGGTTCGCTGCCATGATGGTGTAGTTGCCGTCGTCCTCGTTGGTCGTGGACTCTATATGTAGAGCGCAGGTCCCATCCCCCTCTCTTATCTTCTTGTAATGGGTTTTCTTCCTCAAGATCTGCTTGCCATCCTTAAACCAGTAAACCTGATGAGAGGCATATGTGGAGGGTAAATATGAGGGATTAGTGAGAAGACCATGCAGCCATTTGTGCCTCACTGTTGTTGACTTCTCACCTTCGGAAAAGGGATTCCCACAACTTTACAGGACAGTGTGACAGGCACGCCTTCCGTTGTTCTGAAATTCTTCAGTTTCTTGTCAAATATAGGTGCAATGCATCTTCCTGTAGGGACGTCATCGTGCTGCACCTCATCATCAGACTCCTCCACCGGCGTCCGCTCCAATCGGAATTCAATCTCGCTCATTAGTCTCTGCTCAAAATTGGACACTTTGTACTCCTGGGAAAGTAAATCCGCCACATAAAAGTCATCGAAAGAGTAAATGTTTGTGTCATATCCGTCTTGGACATGAAGGCTTAATACACTACAATAAAACTGAAGTCTGGGAGAGGTATGCAATAATCAGAAACATGACATAACTTTGGTCAATTAACATGTGGCACCTTGTAAAAGTATTTAACACAAATGTATAAACAAAGTATTTTAGTCACTTTAAGCAAAATTATGAAGATTATCATGCAGGGAAATGACATCTGTCAAGCGGCACCGTTCCTGGTTGGTAGAATAAAATAGAACTGAAGGTGAAACAGAGTAAAGAGGAAGATGAAACAAAAACGAGCACAAGATGTTGGGATGAGTGTGAAATGAAAGGGTAATATGCAAGTTTATGAGTTGAGGTTACAAAAAGTGATCATGGGGATATGTCAAATTAGTTGGCGAATTGTGGCATAGTGCAGAAAAGTAGAGCCGTTTCTTAGCTTAACGAAGGCAGGCAGCGTCGAGGAAGCTCCTATAAAAGCAAAGCCTTGCAAGCTACCAATGACTTCGCAGTAGAAATTTAACTAATCTCGAACGAAAGCAACATGTAAAAGTAGTTTAAACAAAAATCACGTGTGCATGTTAAATTACAACAAAACATGACCCTCAAACCGATGTTCTCAGGGCACACAAATATGATTATGCAATGTGCCCGTCTTAAACGCTAGAATTAAAAAACGGGCTTGCAGTCTTCCTCATCAGTTGTGTAACATTGGAAGCTAAAAACTCTTCATCTTTCTTAAAATAATGAACATCTTCATTGCCCCTGCAGGCAGGCATTACACAAAGGTGAAAGGTCAAGTGTTGTGGTGGCTGCTGACAACCCAAAAAAATGGTGGAAGGATAAATTAAGGTTTTAGTTACACTAGAGGTTATTCAAAATTAAAGAATGCTGCGTTCATTTTTTCCAGAAATTATAACTCAGTTATCTCCATCATAATGCAGAGACTCAGCAGTGCTTTGTGTGTAGGGGGGGGGGGGGGGTTGAGTTGAAAGCAGATGTCTCTGCATTACTTATCTCTAGAACACAGTGAAACATCCAAACATCTATAATGATGAATAGCATTAAAGACAAGAGGAAAATATGTATTTTATATTTTAGGTGAACTGTCCCTTAAACTACTATGCACACTGAATGCAGATTATAGATTAGTACAGAAGCTGGAATGCTTGATTAGAGATATTAACCATGGTATTTAGACAATGGCGATTCTTAATCAAAGTCTTTAACATTTAAAAAACCCATACAGCCTCGAGCAAACCAACGCTTGGGACGGGAAGATCCTTGTACCTTATCATAGTTATTGACATTAGCAGGAATGTTTGGTCCAAGGGGTCTGCTCCCTGTTTTCCACTCATTACTCGGCTTCTATGAGAGGATAGGGATGGATGAAGACACACATATTCCACATACAAACATTCAGGCCTACGGATGGAATAACACACAAGCTAATTGTTAATAGCGTGTGTATGTTGTTACGCTACATGGATACACAACAATGAATGACGGGGGAAGGAAGGATGGCTAATGCTCTGTTGAATGGAAGAGAGTTCTTTGTTGCCTCTGAGCCAATTTAAAAGATTGTATGTCCCTTTCTCCTAAAACGCTCTCTTAAAATGCCTGTCTTTTTACAGCAGTCTTTTTAAATATAAATCTCAAAATCATAAGTACAAACCTGGAGGAAAGGGAGAATACCTCGCAGTCATTGGTTAATATACAAAAACGACATGTATATTTATGTATACAACTTCGTTCTGAAAAGCTTTAAATAGGTGCTTAGTTAAAATCACATACCTACATGTCAACAAGCAGAATCATTTAGTAACATCTATTAGCAAGGATGTGATGAAGGATGAAAAATTCCATAAGAATACATTTGGTTTCTGTAGTATTTTGCATTATAATTATCCACTTCTGGATCGCTGCCACTGAAGCAGACAAAAAGGGAAAATATCCAGTTCTAGCACCTGTTGATGTGTGAAATGTGGAGCGTCGTCTTTAAATCCAAGCTTATTCTCTAGATCATGGAGAAGACTTTCTTTGCTTTCGTGAATGTTTTCATTCGACGAGAGGCGCAACTTTGGGACGCTCTTTTTTAACCTGAGAAGACACAAAGGAAAAAGCGTATTATTGCATGTGACAGTTCACTGATCTCGTTGCCATTGTAGGCCCTCAGAGGGCTTACCCTAAAGGAGCTCCCTTGGGCAGGCCCATCGAGTTGGTGGGCTGACTCGGGGTCAGGGACGGCAGGACGGAGCTCAGGAACGCCACGGGGTTCTGAATGGGGCTGGGGGTGGAGCTGCTGGATGTGGGAGAGGAGGCCTGTGGAGGCGACTGGGCCCTCAGGCTGTTCAGGAATGCTGCAGACACCGGTGTGGGTGAGGAAACCAAGGAGGGAGGGCTGGTGGGGAGACTTGAACACCCTTATTGGGGAAGATCCTGGGTGGCGGGCAGAATGGTGGGAGAGTAGGGGAGCTGGCCGCGGAGGAGTTGAGCTCAGCAGCCAGCTCTTGGAGGAGAGGAACCGGGGATTCAGTCGGGGAAGGACTCATGACCGGTGAGAATGCCTGAGCAGCTATGAACTCTTTTGGCCGGGCGTAGTTGAAGGTGTGGGAGGTGGCGGTGAGGTTCATCAGGGAGGCGTGGGTGCTTCTCAGTAGCGGAGCGGGAGATGTGATCTGCTGTAAGGTTGAGCTCGGACCTGTAAGGGCTGCGCTAAGCTTCGGTGCAGAAGGAGAGTAAAATTGGAGTGTAGGTGCAGTTCTGGCAAGTGTTGAAGGGGAGAGGTTTAGGTGGGAGGCATGGATGGTGTTCATCTGGGGTACAGCAGCCATACTGAAAGGGGGAGCTGTTTTCAGCTGTGGGGCAGGTGGAGGAGAGGTCAGCACGGACAAGGTCTTTAGCTGAGGGAGTGAAGGAGTGGAGCTGAAAGCAGAAGTATTAAGAAGGGGTGAAAAGGTGGTGTTGAGTCCTGGAGCAGAGCTCACAAAGGGACCGGGGGGAGCCGCTGTCAACGGAGGTGCGGAGTTGGGCTTCTGTGGTGACGTAGTGCTAAGGGAAGGCTGAATGGGTGGCTGATGGGGTTCGCCGTGCATTTGGGGTGACCACAGCGAACCTTCATTGGAGACCTCGGGCTGGATCTGTAATTGGGGGTGGGCCTGCGGCTGGGTGTGGGTTTGGGTCGGAGGTTTGGTGTCCTGCTGCTGCTCCATGAGGACCTGGTTGTGCAGGAGCTGGAGCTGGGCCGGGTCCCTGTTGATTCAAGACAAAATCAAATTAAAAGAACTAAGGAAAACATGACACTATACATGGTGATAATGAGAGCGGCTCAGTGCTCCGCTCTCATAAATTAAGACCATGCTGCAAATCCCAGCAGGAATGAGCCACGGTCAGTGTGATAAAAACTCTGCCCTTTTATGGGCCACCAACAAGTACTGACTAACAAAACACCATCCGGGCTTTTTCAGCTTTCATTCTAAATAAGAGGCTCTCTTTGTTTTTCTGTCAAATCACTACAAGGGTTTAAAAAAACAATACAGGAAAAAATCTCATTCTTATCTTTGTGTTTTGAGGCTAGGATGAACTAACACAGCAGTAAACAGTCATCAAAGCATGGAAGATTGTAGTATTAATATACAGTTTTGATAAACATAAATGAATAGAGGTTCACTTACAGATAGAAAATGCCATCCTTTGTTTTAGAAAGCTGGAAGGTCCACATTTCAAGTCTGCGTGCGTTCAATTATGAAGCACAACCGACTGCTGTTGCTGGTTGAGCAAGAGGAGGAGGAACCTCCCACTGACATGGGACTTGTACTTATACTTTTGTTTTTGTTTTTTTTACTCACAGTTTGGGTTTAGCCAGCACTGGTGGTGGTTCTCTGTTCCCAGACATGGCGGCGTCCTCATCAAACTGACTGGACGCATCACTTTCACCCGCCTCGTCCTCAGGCAGTTTGAAGTGCACACGCAGGCCGACCCTGGAGTCTTTGTGGTTGGTCTGGGCGCCTGTCTTTAGGCAGGAGTTCGGCGGAGGATCAGGGAGGGCCACCACAATGACGCTCCCATTCTGATGGTTTGAGGTGCCCTTCACCTTAGGGCTGGTGTCAGGCGATATCGCCAATGGTTGGGACACTTCCTGCTCCGCTGAGGTCTCAGCCGCAAATCGACAAGTGGGGGGGTTTGGGTACGAGAGCACCTGTCCATGCCCGTGTGGTTCTTGACGTGGTGCACCGGGTCCAGGAGGGTTCTGGTTGAGGCAGGTAGGATCTAGGCTTGGGGTGCTACTGCTGCGTGAGACGAGGCAGGAGCCGCTCCTCAGGCTGGAGGGTTCCAGACTTTGTAGACTGGTGCGTAAGGGGTCTGCACGCAACATGCTTGAGCCGTGGGGGTCAAGATGGAGGGTGCTGGTGCTCAGGGGGTCCAGACGTAAGGTGCTTGAGACGAGCGGGTCCAGGTGAATAGTGCTGCAGTGGGGCTTGATGCTGTTGTTCACAGTCACTTCTGGGTGAGGGTCCACGGTGGGAGCTGAAGAAGGTTCTTGCATTTGATGGGGCTTCACCATTAACCCGCTGAAAGGCCTCACATGGTTGCTGTTGCTTCCATTGCCTGATGAGGATCAGAAAGATAAATATCAGAATTTCCCATGCTGTTTCATTGGAATACACATCAGCAGAAAAGGAAACAAGAGGGTTACCTTTGACCGTTAGAGTCGCAGTGCTAGACACGGTTCCAAACTTGTTGGTTGCGGTGCAGTTAAACACCCCTGAATCTTCAGGAAAGACCTCGGCAATGACCAGAGTGCATATTCCCTCTTAAAGTTAAAAATAAAACAAAAGGCAGAGATACTCACATAATCGGGTATGGTATCACTGCATCATATGAACTTCTAAACTAAAGTCTTGATAGACTGAGGAAAGAGAAGCGACTTGTGGTTCAGATGCCCTTCAGCAAGCTAAAGCAGCTAAAGCAGGTGGAAGTGATCTGCTATGTTGGTTTGCACAGGATGAGGATGATACCTTATATGGTGCGGGGAAAAGCAGCCCTGGCTTATGTACAGAAGAACGGCGTGAGCCTTCAGGCAGGACTCTAAACACTTGAGCAGATTAATATGTACACACTGCAGCATCACGCCGGCAGCTGCTGTGGTGCAACAGTTCATTTTGATATGTACCTGATTCAGCCGGAGATCTGGGCTCTGAAATGCAAAAAAACCAATCAAAGTTATAGTGAAACTGTGATAAACATTACATTTTTAACAATATGTGGCACTTCTCCAACTTAATATGCCTACCATCACCCATCACATTCAACAATCAGTTGATGCAAGATGATTCTCCCAGGAATACATTTAGAATATTTATGCTGCTGAATTCCATTCCTTAACACTATATTATGGGGTGATGTGATTAAGTTTTCAAATCTAAATTGATCATTTTTTAAATTCTCCTATTCTTTATAAAACAAGTTAGGTCAAATGTGGCCACAGAATACAATCCCCAGACTCAATAATACGGCAATAATGGAGCATTTGAGAAGCTTACTTTTCTGCAGAATCCGGAAGTCAGGAGAGTCATCTATGATTTTCCCCTCTTTGTACCAGTCCACGCGAGGAGACGGGACCCCTTTCACACGGCACTCTAGCACCACCAGCTGGCCTTCTGACGCAAGGAGGTCCTGCAAGCTCTGGTGGGACAAGACCGTGTGTGTGTAACGTCAAACAAATGCAAAGCTGTGGCATAAATTGTGTGGAGAAAGACTTTACCTTTGTGAATACAGGGGCAGCCATAACGGGGAGGCCGTTCAACCCCAGTGGAGAGTTATGGTTGGAGGTTTGAGTCTAAAAACAAAAAACACACAGCGAACATATTGGAATATTCCCAAACAAAACAGTTAAGGGGGGAATTGTTTCAGCTTGTCTACCTCTGGTTGGGGGGTCTGTGTTGGAGCAGATAGGAAAGTGAGCGCAGACGAGACCACTGCGCTCAGAGGCAGCTGAGTTGCAGCTGCCGATGACGAGGTCTGCAGAGGTGGAGGTGTGGCTGCGACAGATGTTGACGCATCCCGAGCTGCTGAAGGCTCACCAGGGGGCAAAGTCGGAACCGCCTGCACGGCTGATACTGTTCCCTCTTCCGGAGCAGGGTGAGCTGGGGATTTAGAGGGTCCCGTGACTGGAAGTGCGGTGGCCGACGTCCACAGTGTTCGGAGAGGTTCTGGGATTATTTGGGTGGTTGTTGGAGAGGAGATCTGCTCCGCCGGCTCCTCGGTCGCTGCTGCAGGTTGGGAGGGAGGAGAGTCTTTCCCCTCTGCAGAGAGAGTTTGGCCTGATGATGGGGGAGAAGATCTCTTCTGTGGCCTTTGAAAATGACGCAGGGAGTAAAGGAACAGTCTAATTTAGTAGGGTTCCACATCAGGTATTGTTTTCATCAGAGGGTCTCAATGACAATGTGGTATAAACTCACTGGGCTACATGCTCAAAGTGCTGCTCGCCCTCGGAGTCCGAAGAGGAAACACCTGTCGGTTTTAACAAACACGCGCACATAACTCGGTCACTAACAGTGTTTGACTGAACCGTAAACGTGTGAGTGACAAAGCACAACAAGGAATCACCTTCGACATAGATCTCTGCTGACGTTGAGTCAGTGCCGTAGAAATTAGATGCGAAGCAGGAGTAGCGTCCGGTGTCTTCCTCAAAGGCCTCCGCAATGATCAGAGAGTGCAGCTCTCCATCAGTGACGGTCTGAATGTCAGGGCTGTTCTCCAGCTCCTTGCCCTCGCAAAACCACCTGTAATTAAGCATATGCACCAGACTGCTCAGTGCAACAACTCCTCCACTGGCTGGATTTCATGAAACTACCTTTTGGATGATTTTCTGTCATTTTTAAAAGTACGTTGGATGTGCAAATATGTTGGAGGACATCTCCGATAGGGTAAATTGCATCCAACGGTGAGCCTTAAAAGGTACCCTACGGAGCTTTCATGAGGGTGTCCGTCTTTTGTTTGTATCATGCACACGTGGGTGGCTGTGCAGAAGAAGACTGCTATCATTAAACAGGACATTGATTAAGTAATGTTTGCGAACAGGAGACAGAGATGACACACATACTTTTCATACAAGTCATGCTTCAAGGCTCCTCAGAGGTCTTCTGCTCTGGTCAAAAACAGTGCTGGTATCAGCTTTGATTTTTGTGCAGACAAATATTTTGTGTTGAATTAAAAGTGTAAGCATGTAATTGTCAAATCTATTGACGTAGGAAAGAGGGATGAATGCAACAAAGGTCTCTGGCTGGACACAAACCAGATTATTATCAATGTCTAGCCAACAACTAAGGTTTGTAAACTATTGTCTGTCTTATGGTGTCAAATGATGAATAAATCCAAAATAAAATATTTTTGACAAGAAGATGTTACAAAGTAGCATCCCGTTGGAGCTGCAGTAGGCAACAGGCTATTTACTCACAACAAAATAGTAGACTTTAGAATTTCACCGTCCCGACCAGCAATTTAATACAACGCTGTACGTCAAATCTATTTTGAGCAGATGATGCCTGGCTGCTTTCATCCCGCCAATAAACATCCAGGAATGAGATGATGTGTGACCTGCTGGCAAAATGTCATCATACAATGATAAATCATATCCAGGGCTTTCACCAGGCTTGTGTATTACACAATCAAACTAGACACGCTGGGGCAGGTGTGGGGGGGGTCTGGAGTCCATCCCAGCCAACTTTGGGCTAAAGACGGGGTCCACCCTGGATTGGTCGCCAACCAATCGTAGGGCTGACACAGATACGAACAAGCATTGACACTCACATCCACACACCTACGGGCGATTTAGAGTCACCAATCCACCTAATCCCCAGGACACAGAAAGGAGAACATGCGAACTCCACACAGAAAGGCCGCTGGGTGGAACCATGAACCCAGGAGCTTCTTGCTGTGCGACGGTGCAAACCACCACACCGCCGCCCGTTTCTACTGAGTAAGGGTCTAAATTAGATATAACAAGTATATGAAATGGCAAAGACTCAGCTCACTGCACCTGTCGGGACTATTTTCCCTCTGGACTTGAACCGGACCTGGACCACGAAGGAGATTCCCGGTTGGAGCCTGGGAGCGGTGACGGGCCGACCCAATCACATACGCACAGCGCTAAACATAGACTCAGCATACACACAAAGCTATACCCTGACACACCAGACACACAACACCACTGCAAACCGATGGGAAATATGAACCTGACCGCTCTATTTTGACTCATTTAAGTCATAGTCACTCACCCTGGTGGGGGCAGGAGGAAGAAGCACACACGTCACACTCGGGTCAATGAACAGAGCTCTGAACAGAACACGGCAAATAAGAGCCAAGCTTCAACTCAACGCTAAGGACGGAACATTTTAAAAGTAGAAATGACAAACACAACTCAAATCTTCAGTCTAGTGCTTACAACAACAAACAGCAAAAACTTGTAGTTAAGCAATAAAAGAATAATCTTACCAAACTTGTTATGTTTCGGTCAAGTGCTCAGAGCGTTCCATTATCTGAGGCGACTACAGCTCGCACCGCCAGTTCAGTCTAAAAATGGCAGAGAGCTGCATTCTCCCGGACACCTATATTTTGGTGGCTCGAAAATGTTCAGTACAACCAACAAGTCAGTCAAGCCTTTATTTTGAAAGCTTCACTTGATTGATCCAGTCTGGGTTTCTATACATCCCGTCTCCTTAGTCCTCAAAATGTGCATTTATTTACTACTTAGAATCCAAAGCTTTTCTTCCTCAAGAGAGCCAAATGTGAATCCCTCTTGTCCTAGACTTTACCCTGACCACCACACACACACACACACACACACACACACACACACACACACACACACACAATTCCAAATCAGCTGTTGGCCATCGTCACACTCAACTTCTGTCAGGATCTGCCACAGTAAAAGGAACAGCATTCACCTCAAAACACGAATATCTGTACTACTAATGTACTATTATACCACAAGAGTATTATTACTTTTGATTGATGCTTTATTGTATTATTTTTCAATAATGTACTTGTTGAACTTATGTCCAGTTAGTTTTGTGTTGGGAAGTTAAATCTATACATGATGTAGTTTTGTATGCAATGTGTTGACTGAAGTAACTAAAACCATAAATGTAGTGCTGTAAAAAGTGCATATTTGCTAAAAAAAGGAAAAACTTTGGCAGCAGTACAATCCCCCAGATGTATACCAAGGACTCAAGTACTTGAATCACTGAATAAAATGAATATCATGACGCCCTCAACTCTTGTGACATCTTCTCCACACAGACAGGTAATTAAAAAGGATTCAGGCCCTCGACTACACTGTGAAACCTCCACTCACACTTTTCAGTGAGACTCCTTTTGAAAAAGCGGTGAAGCAGAAAGTCTTACGTTATCTTCTGCAAACACTGACAATAACAGCTATTGTTGGCCTTACCGGACTTCCGGCACGGGGAGTCCTCTAACAATGCAGTCCAGTTGGACCTTGCTCCCCTCGGGGACCTCCCTGCTCTTCAGTTTCTGGATGAAGAAAGGAGGCTCACACGCCGGCTCCGCCGGGTACGGCCCTCCCGTCGCGCCACAGTTTTCAGCCCCCTCCTGCTGGGAAACATGGCCGTACTGCGGCTCCCCGGTAACCCTCCTGTCCTGAAGGTCCACGTGGGCCATCCCGGAGTCCACCTGGGCCTCTGCCTGGTGGTTAGCGGCGGGGGGTCCGGGGGTGTCCTGCTCCACCTCCACGGGCACGACGGAGCGCTCCCTGTTGTCTGGCCCGAGCGGGTGAGCCGTCCCATCGCTCTGGCTCTTGTTCTGGTTCCTACTCCTGTGGGATTTGCTCGCTCTCGGTCGCACCCGCTTGGAGCTGTTGGCCTTGAAGAGCGAAGAGAGCTCCTCAATAAAGTCTGCTGCCTTGTTGAGGAACTCCTTCTTGGACTGGGTCTCCGGACCATACGGGGCGTTCCTCCCCGCCCGGTTAAAGTCGTTGAATCCCTCGCTCGTGTCCCTCGTGTCCCTGCTCATTGTTTCCTGCTGCGTGGATGCTTTGTGCGTCTTTCTGTCTGATGCGAATGTTGTGTGTGTTGCCGGCGGTTCTTTAAGTTCGGAGGCCGGCTTGGTGAAGGGCACAGTGGAGGGGGCAGGGAAGGGGTTGGCTACAGCTGGCGGTTCTGAGGAGGAGGCTGGGGAGATGTGGGAGGGGGTTGATGGGGCGACAGAGGCCTTGACCTCTGCCCTCTCCTCCCGGGGCTCATGTCCGATGGCCTGGCGGGCGAGGTTCACGCTCTTATCCAGCTCCTCTTGGCTGAGGAAGGCTGAGAGGTCGTGGAACTGTGGATCGTTGTGGCCCGTCGAGTCCTCGTTCTTGCCTTTGAGTGAGGCGTAGATCTGAGGGCGCGAGGAAGAAGCGTCCGAGCGGCTCATCTCGCTGTGGCGCTGCTGGGCTCTGGCTTCCGCCAGGTAGCTCTCTCTTAAGAGCTGCGACAGCGACGTGGGGTGGTCCATGTTGTTCTCCTGCATGCTTTGGAAATTGTGAAAATACATTCAATTATATTCACTAAAAATGACTTATTTTCTCACACATAACGTCGGTTTTGTGATGGACTAAAAAAATGTGTTAATTAAATGTTCAGTTTAATTACATTTTATCTTCAACATTTAAAGCATTTAGCATTTAGATTATTTATCAGCGCATAAAGCAAAGCAGCCAAATGTCACTCTGGAGTTTGTGATGGTCCTTTTACATAATAAGCAGTGATTTTAAGTATGTGCACGTTACAGTTAAATGAAATGTGCAGTCTTTTAATGTCCTGAGATGTCTAATGCCTTTACTGACTGAGGTCACCAGCTTAAGATACATTATAAGAGCATATGTATAAACATATTGATTTCTCCCATAGAAAACCTTGCATTAAAATTACACCTGTGAAATAGTTGGATTCACTTCAAAGCGGGAGACAAGTTCTATAAATAGTTTTTTATTTCAGCTTATTTCAGCCTCCCCTCCACAGAGTATCGGGTTCATGCAGTGAAACCAGAGCTGAAGGGGTACAGACGGGTTTCCACCTCAGGCCAACGCTTATGTGACGTTTAGTCTTTACACAGCTGTTTGAGACCAGACATGAACAAGTAATTGAAAATAACAACGTGATGGGGTACACACACGCCACCGACACTCAAATCAGTTCAACTGGGAGAGGCAGTGATGTCCTTCCAACGGACCTGGAGCTGCAGCTGTTGTGTATATTATCCCTTTGCAAACGGGCTCCAAGCCCACCGAGTCATATCTAATAATAGCGAGGGGTCAGTTTACATGAAGGAAATCAACACACAAGAAAGCAGCTACCCCTGCATCCTCTGTGGCGTTCTCATGCGGATTTTAATCACTGATCAAATGACCCAAATTGAACTCTAATGATTATAAATGGGACACCGCTGAGTGAGAGAACACTTGCTACCAGCCTATGCAGATCAACGGGGCGCCCCGGCGGAACACAGCAGCCCCCCGGAAGGCAACATATTGCAATAAGCTCAATGTCATAAATGTTCCGAGTCTAACCCTGGCACAAGAGGCCGCTGCCAGAGGACAGTCAGCAGCGCACTGAACTGTCAAACTAGGGGGACGTGTTTTACCTTGTGATGGACTGGTAAATCCTCAGAGTGCACCTGTGCTCGCTGGGGGGCGAGGGGGGGGGGGATTCCGGTCTTCTGGTGGCGGCCACCTGTGGGAAAAGTCGGCCACTCGCAGCTGCTCAGCCTCCACCACGGAGTTCACCTTGGAGTGTACGCGAGAGTGTGGCGGCGAGCAGCAGTAACCAGTCACCAGCACAAGCTGCAACATTTGTCAGTGCAGTGGTCTCAGGTTATTTTGGGGAGGCCCGGGCCATGTGCCCGGGTGGTGTCCCGGCTCATTGGCCGGGGGGGGGCATGCTGTAAAGGGAATCCTCCTCCTGTGGTCCGTCACAGCCCCCATCCCACAGAATTAGAAGCCCCACGTTGAGCCGGTCAGAGACCAACGCACCAGAGTAAAAGAAACCGTTTTAAAGCACTAATGTTGCGTAAAAAAAAGTTTATTCACAGTTCTTTAGTTGTTTCAATATGGGTATTTGTTGCAGCATGTTTAGATGGAAAGTGAACAAGTAACATAGTACTACCAGAACAACAACGTTTGACATCGGCAACAATTCAGACTTGCTTCTAATTTTTATCGTAATGTATTCTTACTCAGGAGAACAAGATTTGTTAAAACCCCAGGTTTAAAATATTAAACACCGAAAAACAAAAAAACACCTCCGCATACCGATGATTAAGGAAATTATTTTATTGAAAAGACAATGAAAACCCAGACGGAAACCAAAGTAAGCCTTGTGTAGCATCTATTTACACTTAAAACAGTGTAAGACCGTGTATCAAATATTTCTGTTCCAGTGAATCATTTAACAAAAGAGTTCACACTGACCACTGTGAAAAGACCAAAAGCAATCTACATCAGGAACAGGCTGCAAGGCGTTAGCAGCATGTAGCGCCCCAGCACGCCAGACGTGGCCCAAACAATATTTGCATATCATCAGTTCTGTAAACTCCATGAATCCAAGCATCAACTTTGATATATTTACAGTTTAGGGACGACTTAGGCAAGTTGTCAAACACACCTGAAGTAAGATTTAGAAATTGTCAAACGCCGCTCTGCGGAGTTTAACGTCCTATGAGGCAATCCCTGCCAATCACACATGCAAGGCTCAAACAGACACGGGAAATCAAAAGTTAGAATCTCATTCAAGTCAAACAAACAAACCAATGGCAGCTCAAACCTCGTAGGTTAAAAAAAAAAAAAAGAATCAAATTGCTCAGGCGGTGTGCGACATTAAGAATGTCCGCAGGAATCAAATGCATTAGATATTGAAAAAAAAAAAAATGAAAATCCTTTTTGGCGTAACAGGAAAATACAATCCGGTTCACCAACACAATAAAGGCAACACGAAGATGAGACTTTGAGTTGAGTTCCGTCTCTTCACACTCATTTGTGTTGAGCCAAGCCAGTGGGTGCAGACACAGAGGGTGAAACTGAGGGGGTTTGTAGGTTAATCACTTGTACATTGTTATTAGCAGCAATAGAAAGTCTTGAAAAGCCCAGTATATCAAAAAAGACACTTCCATGTTAAAGGTTTGGAATGAAATACCTATCAGCTTATCCATGGACATACGATCAGAAGGCACCACGAAGGCACTCTTCAAATGAGGAGAACGTGGAGACACTATCTCAGCACGCACAAATACTGCAGCTGGATGCATCAGAATCTCAGAGGAAGGCATCACCACGGAAGTCTGTGTGCTTCCCTTTTCAGTGCCATAATCGACCTTCTGCTGTACAACTCAACATTGTGTTCTCTTTTTTTTTTGTTCACAGTGTTTTGCAACAACATGCGGGTCAGGAGATGTAAGCGACGCATCGTCGACATGGTGGCTGGTCCAGTGAGCCTCCAGAGCCCTTGTGATAAAAAAATGTAGGAGGCACAGTGAGCGATCTGTGGACGGCCGCTCCGCTCTCAGGGGTCGTCGCTCGCTCTTTTACGAGACTGGTCCCCTCTGGAAGACAAAAGCAGCATCACGTCAACTCGATTGGAAGGGAAGCGGGTGATGAGAACCGGAGTTTGTATTCAACTGAGACCGACGCCTCGGAGAACACACCGCGGAAATCCGTTCATGGAGAGCTCCAGCTGTAACTTCTGGTCGTGAGCAGCGTAGTCAGGCAGCAGGGACTCCACAGTGGGAGGGTTTATTTGGGGAATAAAGCCAGAGAAGAGAGCCGGGGCCCGCTGGGCCCAGTCTGAAAGAGGGAAACCAAAGGAAGCAGTGGGACGTGTGCAGCTTATTCTGAAGGACATTTTTCTTTACTCTAGAAAGACCACATTGGCTTGATGACATTAAACACGGGCAGTGTGGCCCTCAGTGACGATGGGCGTAGCTCACCCGGTCGCAGGCTGTGGAGGCCTTTGACCACACTGGCCATTGTGGATGGCTGCACTTGGAACGGCATGGAATGCGCCTTGAGGAGGAGAGCTGAACGTGAAAAAGGAGGAAGGAATGAATTAAGTCTTCAGTAAATCCTGTACTATTCAGCATCAGAGACAACAGCCCCACAGGCCGAGACCAACATCTGCCCTGATGTAAATAACGTTAACAAAAGGATTCGTTTAAATGCTGAGGAGCAGTTTACTGTCATGAAAGCCTTCAGATGAAACAAATCACTCACGCATAAGTGTGTCCACGTGTATTTCTGCTACATGATTGGCAAACAGCTTCATCAGATCCTCTCTCAGGTCTCTGTTCAGCTTGGACTCAATGTAGAACTTGTTCTAAAAACACATTGAATGTGGGGAAAGACTTAAGAGGAGCAACGCCGTACAATACAATACATTGTGACTTAAAAGTTGGAGGGCAATGCCGTCTTTTAAAAACAGAAAAACGATGCCTACCAAGTACATGAATACAGGAACTATACATTGAAGAGAGGCAGTGTATTGCGTCAGCACAACATTAAAGTTCTCAATGAAGTCCTCAGGTGGGCTGGCCTGGAAAACACCAACAAACGCTTCGTTAATATCTTCTATCCAGTTTCTCTGTAATAAGGAACCTTGCATCTGGATGTTCTTACTTGTAGACGAGTAGAAACCTGCTGCAGATGATTTGTTATCTTCGTGGTCAAATCGTTGTAGAGCAGCTCAGAATGCTGCTGACAAACACACTTATAGACGTAACTGGGGAAACAAATGAGGAGAAACCGATTCAGTTCGAGTTGAGCTGATCGGAGCAGTGAGGGTCGGCGGAGGCCACGGAAAGGCGGCCCGGTCTCACCTGTATATCTGCGAGTAGGAAACGGAGATGTGGTCCGTGGGATTCTGAATCAACAGACGGTCGATCGCCTTCTCCAGGTTCGGCCAGTGGTTCTTGCGGTAGTCCTCCACGGCCATTGCATTGAGAACTGGGTGAAAGGAGGAGAGCTGGTCAAGTTTTGCAAAGTATCTATTAGATCAGCGCAAAGGGTTCCGGTTAAAGGCTCCGGCGGGCCCGACCGCCCGGTGCCCGGTGGCCGCGGGCCCCGCGCGTCGCTACTTACGGAACTTGGAGGTGGAATCGAGGCTGAATTTCCCCTGCGCGGCGGCGGCGGGCGGAACCGTGGAGTCAGTCTCGCTGACTTCGCTGCTCTCACTACCCGAATCCGAGTCCATGAACTTTGACCCGGTGCTGCCGGGCAACCGTTTCCGTCGTCGGGTGGCGGGTTCACCACCGGGCACCGGCGGACCGGTCACATCGGAGAGCTGGCTCCTCGGATACGTGCGGGCTTTAGTAGTAGTACTACTACTACTAGTAGTACTGCTGCTGCTACCGCCTCGGCTGCTGCTCGCACAGTAGTTGTGGTTATGGTCGTCTTTTCTCTCCAGACTATCATCTTCCATGGCCTCCATCCTCACAACCGGTCGCGTGCGCTGGAACTTAGCACCACTACATTAACGTTTAAGATGACAGCCGGGGATTAAGAGGGGAAACTGTCAGGCGTCTTTGGCGGTGCCCATCTCGGTTTAGCTGTGGACTGATTTTTCACGACACGTCGTAAGAGCGAACAGCTGAAGGGGGAAGCGGCCGGGAAATGTAGTTCCACAGACTTCCAGCCACACGGAGTCCTCAGGCCGCGCGCGTGGTGGCGTCAGTCGACTGCACCGCGCGCGGTGGCTCCGTGAGAGTAATACACGTGACTAGCCAGATATTACCGGGGGAAATATATGCCATTAACACACTGCGCATGCGCGACATTTAACAAAAGTCCGTGTTTACAACTGTGAATATTGCTGTCGTGGACACTTTCCGTGAAATATAACGTTAGAACGTTGAACATGAATCCTCTTGGCCTTTGACTACGCGCGCTGCTGGAGAGCCATAGAGTGAAAGGGTGAACTGGTCGCTAGGTGGCGCACTTCTCACCCTGCGCCTTCCCTTTGATGATGTTCATTTAAACAATTGCTTTAAGTCAGTTGTGCACAAAATAACAGAAAGAGTTGTTTTTTTTTCATTCTCTTTTTTTACTGAGAACCCAAGAATAGATAACCACTGTAACAATGTAAAAACATGAAAAATCCCATTTCCTTATATCGTAAACAAAACATCACCATGTATATGGTATGTTATTTAAGTTGGTGCAGATATCCGAAACATTGGTTCAAATACGTCCATCTACCAACACGTAATCTTCACAGGCAGTAGGCCCCTCTGGGTAATGGATGGTTTAACTTTATAACCTATGAAAAGTTCAATAAAACCTTTATGTGAAGGGGAAAATAGTGCTATTTTTCAATGTGAACGCATTGAATAAATTCTTGTGGTTGATAATACAACTTACAGATACACAGATATGAACTAGACTCTTTAGTAGGTCTCGCATCAGAGTATAAAAATAAGAGGTGTGACCATAAAAAGTAGCTGCCACATGTGAGAAGGAACACCGTTCCTGTCGTTGTATATTTCTTAAATATACACAGCTTATGACAATGTAGGAACATGTTAAAGCGTTCTTTGGTCTAAAATAAAGAAGTACTGTTCTTCATTCTAGCACTTACCCTTAAGGTGCCGTGCTGAACTTTTATATTGCAACTTAAATAATGTGTTCAAGTAAACGCTCTGAAGATCATGTATGTGTCTGAAACTCATAGTATCCCCTATTTAACAGGCAGAAGGCTCACATATTTACACATTTTTCAACTGGAAGAAGAAGAAGCAAGTGTAATACACGTAATTAGACCACAGCTGAAGACATTTGACATTTTAAAGGCTTTGCCGGTAATGACAAGTTAGAAATCAAAGCTACGTCTAGTGTTGCTAGATCAGCATGCTGCGGTGATGTCTCGGAAGCATTTCTCAAACAGTGAAAGAAGTTGAGATGAGCAAAAAAATAAATCTTAAAAAGACTTTCTATTAAGCAAGTAGTATACAGTATGACGTTTCAGACACAATGCTTTTGACCAAACTGGGCACAGAAGAAAAACTTGCCGTTGTCACCAAAGTTGTCAAGCAATTTCCACTTTATGAAAAATAATAGATGAGTCAAAAATATACGAAACCTATACAGTACCAGTCAAAAGGTTTGGACACAAACTTCAAGTGTGTCCAAACCTTTGAATGCTACTGTATAGATATACAGACACTCACATATGTATGTGTGTAAATATATATATATTTACACACACAGACATATAAAAAGATTAGTGCTTTGTCGACCGGATACTTTACATTTAAAGGTGTGTGGTGCTTTGTGTCTTTTCAGGCGTACTGTCCTTCTGCACGCTTGACGCGCCCTCGTTGGCTAAAGCGTGCGGTAATGTTTCTCTGAGGCACGTCTCTCCATCGGCTGCCAGCGAGTCGCCGTCTTCCGGCTCGCTTTCTTCCTCCACCCCCTCTGCGCTGCAGTCGGACTCCTCGCTGTCACTGGCACAGGAGCTCGACGTCTCGTCCTCAGAGTCGGAGTAGACCTCCGCCCCGTGGAAGATATAGTGATACGGCGCTTGAAACAGGTACTGGCCTGCTGTGGGACACAACACAAACTAATTACGGAGCCGGAAAACAACATTTGGAGAAGATTAAACAGAATTTACAATTATTTAGATTGACATGTATTTTCCAGCTGCATGAAGGGAAAAAAAGGGGGGGGGGGAAGCTCCAATTAATGGGGTGAATGGTTGGAGACCGTTTTGGCCACTACTGTCTCACTTCAAACACATCAAAATATACTTTACTATATATAAATCAATTTACTATAGTAAAGATTGCCGTTTGCTCTAACACATTCTAAAGCTTACTCTCAAGGCGTTTGCTGATTGGACTTCTGTTTATTCGACTCATCCAGCATCGTCTACGAAATTCGAGGTTGGAGCTTTGGCTCTTTGCTTCAGCGACCTCCTCTTTCGGCACGTCTCCGGTTGGTAACTGTGACGGTTCAGCCGTCTCTTCACTGGGACACTGAGCATGTGGACACGGCTCCGGAGGTGGCACGTCGCTACCAGCAGCGTCCGAGACATTCAGACTCTCCGCCTCCTCTGAAGGCGTCGTTACGGAGTCTGTGCTGTGCTGCCTCGCCTCCTCCTGAGCCGAATCGGCGGCAGCGGGCGAGGCCTCGCTGGGGGGCTGTTCCGGTAGCCGAGGGGGTTTCTCAGTGGTCTCGGTGAGTCTTACAGTATTGTAGCAGAGCTGCTCAAAGTCTCCGCCCAGCCGGTGACAGAGCTCGTTGACTATGACATCGCAGTCGCCAAGGAGCTCCACGTCAAAGTTGAGGTGCGGCAGCTGCTCCCTATTGATCAGGACCTGAGGCACTTCATGGGGAATGGAGTCTGAACAGGAGGAAGACGGAAGCGGTTATGTATCGCGGGTTTGGGTTGAATGCAAGCACAATAGAAAACTATTGGTTATATGGAGTGAATCTAACAGAAACAATCCATCTGACCAACATACTTGGGATGAGAGCAACTGGTCGGACTTTGAGTGAAGAGCCGATGACAATCAAGAGGTCCACCTCATCTTTATCCTGTTTCATGGCTCTGTGGAACATTTCTGGAAGATTCTCTCCGAAGAAGACAATGTCAGGTTTCATGATGGCCATGGGAATATCTGGACAGCGTGGACAGTGAGGGACAACCTACAGAAGGTTGAAGATTTCAAGTTATTAGCATTAGAACTTTGTCATAGGCAAGCATCAACTTAACCTTTCAATAGTAATACGATACCTTTAGATATGAGACGACACCCAGTACCGATCCAATACCGGTGTTTAATTAATGAGCTATACATGTCTCAATGTGTGGAAGGCTAAAACAACACAAACAATCTGATGGGCAGTTCCACCCCCGACATGTGCACGCATATATATCCACGTACGCGCTCGCACCACCCGAAACGACAACCGTCAGACACGCCCCCGCAAGGTTGTACACCAACGGGGAAACACAGATATAAATATAGATTCAGAATGTGTTGTAGTTATGGGAGTAATAAAGCACTAAGCACACTGCTGATGTGAATCCCAAAGCGGTTTTTGAGATACCTAATGAGCACCAATTTTCTATCCCTGCCCATTAAAAGTTGAGTAAAATACTAAAGACCCTTATGACTGCTCATAACATGAGTCATTTCTACCTTCCAACAAATAATACCACACAACGCAGCAAATAATGATAGTTGTATCTTACATTAGCCGGTACCGATCCTGCTTCGGCTGTAGTTCTGACAAAGTGTACAGGATCTCTGACACTGCAAATGTACTCAGAGCAGCAAGTCTACTACTAGTGGAAGATGCTTTGCTCATGTTCGGACTATGAAATAATGGAGTTTCATAGGTTTGGCTTAATACTAAGTCTGTCCAATAGTGTCCAGCAGTGCATGTGAATATCTTATCGTGGAACGTTTGCATTGAATAAATACCTGGTTAAAGATGTCTTCTCTTATGGCTTCACAGCCCATTCTATGTTTACAGACAAGACAGGAAGCAGTTGCAAACGACCCTGAAATACAAATAAATAACAACGTAAAACACCCATGGACAAAATGATATTGGAAAAAAAAGAAAGATCCATCGCTCAGCTGTATCACTCACCATGACACTGAATTATCCGCTTAACTCCAGACACCTGTTCTAATGTGTCAATGTTTTGTGTGTAATTGCGTAGCAGCTTGCCCTGCTTATCCAGCAAAGATATGAATTTGTGACAGGGTGAAGGCTGGAACTGGCCCGGGTAGATCTCCTGTAACAAAGAGGACGCATTCAACCACGGCACGCTATGAGCGGGAGGATCATCCCTGGACATGCATAATCTGCACCCTTCATCTGGAAAAATGTAAACTTCTTTCTAATCTTTGTCATCATCTCAAATGTTTGAAAAGTTCAACCTCGTGACTCCAGATGAATGAAGCCTCCATGTGTGTTTGCAGAGAATGTTTCTTACAATATTACCCAAATACCTTTTCCGAGCACAACAGTCATGGGTTCTAGAGTAGGCCTTCTGTATGCATCACCTCAGGGGCAAACAATTTATCATATGGATACTGTGTGAAATGCAAAAATGGAAAAGATATGATGCGCATTTTAGTGTATATTTCTTCTTGTTCGTCTTCACCTGTGACCAAAACCATGCAACATAGGCGGGCAAATCCAAAGCTATACGTGAGCATGTTTAGTTTTTCATACCTCATTTCAACAAAGTATAGAATCCTGTTACATCATACATCTGGGGCTTGGAGGGCAATTAAATCAGTCATTTTTATCCAATTTTTTGTGACGTGGATCAGTAAACGAACCTTAGCAAACTTGAAAAAGGGTCTTGGGTCCCGTCTGAAATATTCAATGTCAAACATAGCTTGAGGGTCTGGAAGATCTGGAAAATCTACAGCAAGCCGTGCATAAATTCCATCTCTGGAGCGGAAATCGGGTATTCCACATGAAACGGACACCTAAAAAAAAATATTAGAAATTCACAAACAAGATCACAAGTCTGTATCAAACATACAGACTTAATATCATTGGTTTTATGCATTTACTCAAACACATAGTAATTCAAACAGTAGCACTGTTAAATACACACCCCAGCACCAGTCAGCACAAGGATCCTTTTACTTTCATGGAGTAGCCTGACCACATCTTCTAAGGTGTTGATATCTTTCCGCTTCTTTCTTTTTGGAGGTTCTGAGATGTTGATGATAATCTGCCACAATGTCATGTCGTCTAAATCGGGCGGGAGTACAGTCTCGGGCAGCAGATCCCTCAGAATGGTCCTTGGGTCCGTGTCTCTGATCTGCGGCTGGATGTAACCGTAGGAGCCTGGCGGAGAACACAGTGACAACAGGTCTGCTAGACGGCTGAGGCCACTGCAATGGAGTCAGAAGATGCTGAGGACTGTCCTCGTCATACTGGAGACGTCAGATCGAATCTGTTACCTATTTGCGGTTGAGGAGTCCAGTCGCTGGAGCTCGCATGCGAGGAGCGGTCGTCGTCCTCGTTGATGTGGTCCGGCGTGCCAGCGGGTCCGCTGGAGGACAGCTCGTCCTGTCCGAGGACATCTGAGCGCAGAGAGGTTTGGTTAAAGGAATGTATAAAGCTAGCGGGTACGTGCGCAATGTTCGTTCACAGGCGATACAACGTAACATCGTTACGGGACAGAGATGCCTAAAACACGCTAAAGTGTCTCCCAAAGTTTAGTGCCGTGAAGGGACTTCAAACGTTCTCACTGTCATTTTCAGCGTGGACAAACTAGGAAAAAAGTTTCAGCCTTGAGAAGTAGCTAAAGTTAACCGGCACGTCTCCTAAGTTGGACACACGTATTCAACTGTGTTTTAACTGACGTTAAGTTAGTTGGCAATTAACGTTTCAAACTTCAAACCGTTTTAACTGTTACTTGCTAAAAAAACAAGCTTTTCCCACTACGGTTCGCGTAAAAACTTGTAGCTGAGTTAGACGTCCGTCTCTTGACATACCAGCGCTGTCCTCGCGTTTCGCGACTGGAATGAGCGGCTCGAAGTCCAGCAGTCCCAGTCCATTGTTGTCTCCGCCTGGCGCTGCCGGGGCCTGCTCCACCGCCATCGCCGGCTTTGCTTCCTTCTCCGCTGTTTGCGTACAATTAATCGCCGCTTCCCGGCTCTCTTTGGCCACGGAAAAACACGGCGGGCGGTCTTCGTGAGCGACTTTGAATCCGTTGTTCGTTATCGGACAGATTTTCGACCTTTTTGCAGCAGGTTCTTCCATATCGGATCCGCCTGAAAAGGCCATTCCGAGACTAGTCTCGCCGTCCGCCATCTTCAACCCGCAGAGCCGCCGAGCAGATCCTTCCTCTCGGACAGCTGTCTCATTGCTCAGCGCACGTGACTTATTCTCCACCAGTAGACACGGGCGGAACGTCCCCCTTTACGTCAATGACGTAAAACCATAACAAAATATCGCTGCCTTCAGGCTCTGTCCGAATAATTGCTATCGAATCAAAGTACTCACGAGATGGGAATAAAACGCAAACGTCAGACATAGCGGGAGCAGCATATATGAGCTATGTCGATAAATGTGTTTGTGCGGCATTAGCATATTGCTATTTTGATAATAAACTAAATGCCTCCTGTAGACGTTTCTATTTAATTTGGCCACATACTTGACACCGCATGATATGGAGCCCAGTCATTACAGATATGATTAGGTTATTGGTAGTAAGTATTTTGTCTCCTAATTTTGAGGACTACTTTTGCATTAATTCTATGTCCAATGAACCGTCAACACTTCGCGCTGTCGTTTCGACACCTGAATGCATCACACGTCATACGGCGAAAACGGATCGTTGAATTTTCGCCGCAACTCAGAACAGATCCTCGACCATTTTTATTTGTCAGTTGGACATTAAATACTGAACGCTAACTGGTAAAACAATTCAAATTAATTTAACCCGATCCAAACGGCTTGAAGCCAACATATGTTAACCAGGACTGCAAACATTCAAGCTGCTCCGTGACAACAGACCATTAACGTTATAAGTGTTATGGAGACTATTCTCAACTGCAGACCAGAGGACCTGGATGATTACTACTTGTTATTAGGATGTGATGAATTGTCGACGGTAAGTTATTGCTTGTGTGTTTGAGGATCAGCCTATTTGTATATGTGCATCAACAAACCAAGACATCAAGATACTGACTGAAGAATTCAGAAGTTAAAGATAACGTAGAATGCTGGATGCAGGTAAAATATCAGCTGCCTCTAAACTTAAATCTGATTGAATTGCGCATGTAGATGTTCGTCTGATCCTGCAGCTCCAGCAGTACAATATGTCAGAGGAACTAGTGCGTCATAGAGATTCTTTGTCGGGTGGGTCTCAGTGTTTTTCCTTATTAACGTCAATTCATTTAGTCAACATGGGAACATGAAGGAAACATACGATTCACCGAGTGTTATAGAGGTTATGTTGATAATGTCCATAGACAGTTTCCTAGCAGCAGTAAGTGTTTGAGTCACGAGTACAAGGATCGGCATAGATCAATACGTTTTACAAGGAACCCCCCCTTAAAATATTACAATATTATTATTACAATATTCATTTCACGTTGTTTTACCAGTGGGTTGCCCTTGCTAACCAAATAAGGGACTTGTTACCGAATTACAAATATTTATATTAGCAAAAGCTAATTTTTTGTGTAATTTCCTTGCAGCATGAACAGATTCTGACTGAATACAAGATCCGAGCCTTGGCTTGTCATCCAGACAAACACCTGAACCATCCAAGAGCAGGTAGATCAGTCAATCCTTGCTTTTACACCGCAGAGTCTCAGATACACATAATCATTTTTAATGATTACTTATTCCACAAACACGTAATGCCTCTTTCGGATGTCTTGACTTCAAAGCAAATTATGTTAATGTGGAGCTGCAACTGCATAGAAACCAGGATCCTTTCTCTAATTTGGTAGGCATAATAAACCACCTTAGACCCTGATATTTTCTTTCTTTCTGGCAGTGGCAGATTTCCAAAAGCTGCAGGAAGCCAAAGAGGTTTTATGCAATGAAACCAAAAGAAAAAACTATGACCTTTGGAGAAGAAGTGGAGTAACTGTGTCTTTTCATGACTGGCAAGCCTTGAATGACACTGTTAAAACTGTATGTAATGTTTTAACTTGAAAATACAAACACAGTCAACAAAAACACACACACAAGCATGTGTGTGCATATATGTGTATGTGTATGTGTGTGTCCTCATTTAATTCAATGAGAAAGTGTGTCCAAAGTTTTGACTGTTTCAGTGTATACAGTGTGTGTGCGTGCGTGCGTCTGCGTGCGTATACAAGTAGTGTAAAGTGTTTAATTCAGAAAAGCGTGGTGATTTATATGGCCATTTGTTTTCAGTCAATGCACTGGGCTTTGAAAAATAAGAAGGAACCAATGTTGGAGGCTTCCAATGCTGGGAGTGTCCCTTTGCAAGCGGAGGACCTTCATTCTGACCAAGAAGCTCAGAGGATCTCCTCATGTGATGCTATTCCTTCTACAAGTAAGTGAATTTTTGAATATTCTCAAAGGAAGGAAAAGTATCAATTTGCTACTAAAGTTCACCGAGTGCAAACATTTACGAGTGTGGAAGAGACAATACGCATATTAAATTCCTGGTTTTCACTTTTTTGCGGCAGATATTAAACATGCTGGTACCTCTTCCATTCACAGCTACGGTATTTTTACCCTGAAGTTATGGCCTAAAATAAGCCTGGAAAACATTTTTGGATAGAGGGAGAACGTATGCTGCTTAAGTTTCCCTCTGCTGTGAGATTTAGGCCATTGAATTTAATAAATAAATGAAAATGGGGCGCTACGTTCAAACCAACCTTTTTTACAAAGTATGTGTGCGTCTTCGGAAGAAGTTTAAACCGACCCTGTGGTTTTGATTTTATATCATAGAGTTTTCAGCTCCAGGGGGCCAGAAGTGTATCTGCTCCTTTTTCAAATCAAACTGGGTTGGCCTTGGCAACTAAATAAAGACCCACGGCGATGCAAGTGTATGTAGCAAGAAGCCTGAAGCAGAACCCAAATGCAAAAAGGACAATTTTAAAATGCTGCATTTCCATAGTAACTCTTTACCAGACAGCATACTATCTCTGCCTTTCTTCTATAACCACCCACCTTGACATAAGATGATCAACACCAAAACGATAATTTGCATGCATCAAATGTGCAAAGTTGGAAAATACCTTTCATAACCTCAGTGACAAGCAGGATCATGTTTTTCACCAGTATATTGCCATTGTTAATTTATTCTTAATGCAGTAAAACTATTATCATCTATTATTATCATCAACTATTATTCATTCCATTCAGTAATGTATGTATTCTTCTTACAGTATTAAACCCAACTAAATGTCTTTTGTCCTCATTAGGTGATTACTGCCATCGACGTTTCCGTTGGGCTGCTGACTCCCCATCTAGTCTGCTGCAGAAGTTTAGAAATTACGAAATATAAACACATGTGTTTAATAAGTTAAATACTTTTGTAACTTTCTTGTGTCTTAGTCAGTTGGGGCCCTAATTGTTGTATATGATCTGTAAATCATTCAACTTTTGGTTTTCGTGAGCTAAACAATAAATGTGTTTGTTGTATCAGATTCTTTGTCAAGCAAAAATGTAAATGATGTGAATAATGTATTTTGTCAATCGTTTTGCTAATTTGATCAATATGTTCACTAACACACACAATGCAGATAACTCATCTGGGATTATACTGGAGCCCCTTAAGTCTGTCATGTGTATTTCTGTGATGCTGTTAAGTCCATTGGGAACATAAAACTGAAGCATCCGAATTCCATTGATTTGTATTATTATGCAAGACTAGGTTTTGTGAGATGTCGATCAAAATGCCAATCCAAACTATCTAATGGTACTAAATGTTGACGATTACATGGGAACCTTAAAAAGATTGTTAAATTGTTACTTTTATCATTGTCATCCATATCTTGAAATATTAACTGCGTGGAAGGTCCAGTCGACGGGGGGGGGGGGGGGGGGGGGTTTATTTGGACGCAACACTACCTACAGTAGGAGTAGCGCGCCCTGCCCGCGCGCGC